CCCCGGGCCCGCGACACACCTTCCTGTTTTTTTTTATGTAGCCCTTCCCCCTCCGTTACTTTTACTTTTTCTTCTCCCCCCCCCCCCCCCCCCCCCTTTTTTTTTTTTTGGCCAACGACCTGTTCTAATATCACTATTACTCAACAGATCATAAACAATCCAACCCCGATAATGCCAACCCAGATTCGGGTATGTAACGCCCGTGACGAAGCGTTCCACGTGGAGGATTTATTATAGGTAGCATACCTTAGGTACCTTAGGTACATAAGGTACCCCTGGAAATCTAGACTTGCTTTTACTACGTAGATGCGAGATTCGAACTCTTGGGTGTCCGTGTCCCTGGGATAATCCCAGTAGATGCATCATAAATAAATGGTCAGGGTTATCCCCATCTCCACTCAAATCCACTTTCACATGTTCCCGTTCTGGCATATGAAGCAGACAACGTCTCAACCCCCCCTGCGAGACGCCAGATGCAAGCCCTGCAAGGTAGAAAATCAACGATGTAGTAAATAAACGCGAAAATCGAAAAAGAGATATCTCTTTTCTACCCAACCTTATTATTCACTTCGTTTCTTCTCAATTGTCTAATGTTAACAATAACAATAACAGTTATTTCCCCCCAGGAGGGTTTGCATTTTTAGTCGCTGTGCGTCTCAATAGCTAATACATTACTTGAAATAATTTATATACTTAACCTATTCGATTGGATAATATAGAAAATTAAATTCCAGGAGAATCAAACATGTCTTTAACCATCGCTCCTGTCAAATGCGAGGAGAAGAAAGATGAGCAGCAGCATAAGTCGGCATGGTTTCAATTCATGAAGGTAAATAAATACCTCTACCTCTACCTCGTGGCTCAGGCTCAGTCTCAGTCTACTGAACTACCGCCCGCTAACTTTCATTTCAAGTCTGTCGCCACATTTAGAGGCGATCTCACGTCACTAACGGCACCGCCCTTTCTACTTGCTCCTATGTCCATAGTCGAATATAGCACCTACTGGTCTGAGCACCCGCGCCTTCTCGTATCTCCTACAAGAGAAGAGTGTCCCAAGAGGCGGGCCTTGCTCGTTCTCCAGTGGTTCCTCAGCACCCTGAAGCATCAGCATGCAAGCAGAGACGAAAATGGTAGGAGAAAGAAGATGAAGCCCCTGAACCCATTTCTAGGAGAGATATTCTTGGGCAAATGGGTGGACGACGTCGGAACCACTCACCTCATAACCGAGCAAGTTAGCCACCACCCCCCGGCAACTGCGTACCGGATCTGGAATGATGCATATGGCGTCAAGGTCAGAAACCTTTAATCTTGGCTTAGGCGCATGCCTTTCTCTTGACACACTGCTGACCTGTATACCTAGCTTGAGGGTCATATCTCGCCGAAAGCTTACTTTTCGTCTACAATAAATATAGAAAGACAGGGCTACGGCATCTTGCACATAGACAAGTACGACGAAGACCACTGGATCACGATGCCGAAAGTCCACGTCGAAGGGATTGTCACTTTCCAGATAGCCCCAGAACTCAGTGGTGTTTCTCATATCCGCAGCTCCTCCGGTTACACGACATGCATCAACTACTCTTCCAAAGGCTGGCTGAAGGGCAAAAGTAACTCATTTACCGCCTCTATATACCAAGATAATGATGAAAGCCATCCCATATATACTCTAGAAGGCCGATGGAGCGATTCATATACCATTAAGGACGGCAAGGGGAAGTTGCTGGAAACTGTTGATCTTGGTTCATTACGCAGAACACCCTTCCAGGTTGCTCCAGTTGAGTTACAGCACCCTCTCGAATCCAGGCGAGCATGGAAACCCGTTATTGACGCTATCAATGCCAACGACATTTTCACGACAGGGCACGAAAAGAGTAAGATCGAAAACGCGCAGCGTGTGCTACGCAAGATGGAAAAGGAGGCGGGCGAAACCTGGACGAGGCGGTACTTCACCCAGGTCGAAGAGGATCCTATAGCGGAAAAGCTTGCGATCAAGGGTATAAATGCAACAGCAGATAGACATGGTCGAATGATCTGGAAGTTTGACGACGAAAAGTATAAGAGGATCTTGGAGAACCAGCGCAACGGTATTAAAAGTCCTATCCGTTCCCGATTTGATTCCGGAGTTGGATTCTTGGAGATAGAAGAGGTATAGATTGGGCTACATTGACTATAGATCTCTTAACAATTACTATTTGGGTAGCGGGTATGTCGATACAACCAAGGATTATTGATACCACGCCGACAAATTGGGATATACGGGTAGAATCGTAACAAAAACATATAAACCCGGACGGACTGGCGTTGAATGAACCAATAATTTTTATTCAATACTTTACCGGGATATGATTAGGTGAACTAATGTTCTCATAAGAACCATCTAAACTCTTCGACTTTGGGACCATCTCTCAGTTTTAGTGTTGGTATGTCTTTCGCGGTGAGATTCACACCCTGTTGGCGATTGCGGCGGTTATTGTCCCATAGCACTGTAACACGAGTTAGCAAAGATTTTCTTAGGAGAGATTTGATACCTATCACGTACTGTAAAGACCTAGGGATCCCGCAACAAGGCATCCAGTGGCACCAAAACAAGCAGTTGTGATTAGAGCAGGTAAGTACTTGGGCGCATCTTTCTCTTGGAAGACGTTACTGGATACCAGTCCCATGAGATTTGCTAGGGGAACCCCAACCGAGGTCAACGTTAGACGTTCACCTTCGTGCGCTATATTGTTGTTATACCACTAGCAAGAAAGTTAGCTATCTATGAATAGCATCGTGGCGTTCAAGTAAAATTCGGTAACATCACTTCAGGGGCTTGCGGGAAATGAATTACAGTGCTTAATAGGACAGATGGTGCCGAGGTTCCCCAGCACATCATGAAGGTCGCGAAATAAGCCACTCGTATCTGCGCATGAACATCCGAGATCGCAGCGAATATAATAAATCCGATGAACGTAAACGCGAAACCGAGACATACAAAGGGGAACCGGATTCTCAGGTGATCAGACGCAAAGGCAAGCACTAGTAGCATGACCGCACCCTACAGTGTAGACAGGTTAGGAACAACTTATACGACAAAGATTTTGGAAGACACTTACAGTAATATTAGGGGCAACGGTATACAGGTTGATCGTAACCGTGTTGCTAACTAGCCGCTGAACTATCTGAGGCAAGAATAAACCTACTGCCTGCAAAGGAACACCAAGACATATCTCCGTGGCCAGGAAGCCGTAAGTCGTCGGTCTCTTAAATATCTTAAGAGCTTCCTTCAGAACGAACTTCTCGTTAACTATGGAGGAGCTGTCGATTTGTATACGGCGGTATGCAAGTGCTTTCTCTTCTTCGTTTAAGAATCGGGCCTCGGCCGCGGTTCGGGGCAAGTAAAAAAAGGCGAATATCGAAAAGCACACCGTGACACTGCCCTCAACGATAAAGAGCCATCGCCAGGGATGGTCTACGAGCGTCGATTTGATCTGGAAGACGCCGAAAGCAAGGAGCCCACTGAAAGCGTTCGCTATGTTGGAAGCGGCGTAGAAGATAGCAAGACGGCGCGCGAGCTCACCACGTCGATAAAAGGTTGTCTGGTAATAGATAACGAGAGGGAAGAAGCCCGACTCAGCCATGCCCAGAAACCATCGGAGAGCGAATATGCCGCTAAAGCTTTTCGCCGCCGCGGTGAGGAGCGTAAGCGAGCCGAAGCAGAACATTAGAAGGGGGAGGATGCGAGCTGGGCCGAACTTCTTGCCTAGCATGGCGAGCGGTGGCGCAAAGAGGACATAGGGGACGAAGAATATTCCGACTATTTGGTTGTACTGTCCCGTTTTGAAGTTCAAGTCTGCGATAAAATAAAAGACGGGTAAATAAGACGTTTAGAGGAAGTTATACGATGGAAATAATCAGGATGGCTTCGCTTACCTTTAGATAGTCCGGCAGTCTGCGCATTTCCCAGGTTGCCTTTATCAAGAGCGTTAAACAGATACTTAGAGAGGTAGATTGTTAACGTTGAGGTATACGATGGGTAGTAGATTATTTATTAAATTTCTTTTTTCTCTTCCTCTTCCATTCCGCCGTGATGACGTTTAGGAACTTACCATTGTAGCTAGAATCGGTAGTAAACGTAAGTCGAATTTGCGACAAAGCGCCCTCTCCGCAGCGGGATCGATGAGATCTGCCGTCGAATCTTCAGGGACAACCATACGGCATTCGACATCGTTGCTATTCCTGTCGCTAGAAGCGATATCTTTTTTCAATCCGGCCGAGTCCGACTTCGCGAGATCGTGGAGCTTAGAATCTGCCATGGCAGCGATTCATTGGGATAGGAAGAGTCCAAGCGGTGTCGCGTCTACCTGAGGAAGAAAAAAGTGCTAAGACTCTGGAATGTAGATGTATCACAAAAAGCAATGAAAAGTTTTTTTTTTCCAGAGATGCTCGTATTATAGATCAAAGGCTGTGATAGATCACAGGTATACGATCGCGGAACTTTGTGCATCCTTTCCTTCCTTCGGATGATAAACACCCCAATACATCCCGTCCTTTCTTTCCATTTCAAGGTAACACTAGTCATCGTTATCTCAAAGGATGATATCTAGATGTGTAGATATTAGGTATGTAGATAGGTACGGCACGACGTATCAGGTGTCTATGTAGTATGTACCTCATACGTATGCCCAGGTGTACATACCTAATGTAGATAATGCAACCCAAGCAACGTCGTACAATACAACCTTACGGATCCTGCCGCGCGCGCCGGGGCAGTTCGTTAGGTATCCCCTGTCCTAGCTGATAGGATAAGATTTACAATTACATAACCTCCTATCTACCTATTACCTCTTACTATGTATATCTTTGCTTTTCTTTATCCACTAGGTTACGTAGGACCATGAATACATACTCTAAACTACCTATCATGTACAAATACTATGTACAAATCATAACCCCTCAATGTCCGAAGAAGGCCGATCCGGGGTGCGGAGTTAGCCCTTCCCCTCTCCGCTCATAGGTATTCAATGTTATGCTTATGCTTTTACAATCAACCTGTACAAAAATACCCTGATAAGCAACCTACATACATCAATAGTAATCAGGACTTGCAGGATATTCATACCGTGATCAGTCTTCCAGACGAATAAGCTACATCACCATGGCCGAAAAGACTGCTGTCCTTACGGATAAGGCGCCAAAGCCCTTGGCCGGAATCTATAGCCAGGCCATAAAAGCCAACGGTTTCGTCTTCGTTTCCGGGGCCGTTCCCATGGACGCCACGACGGGGAAGATCGTCGACGGTGATATCCAAGCTCACACTGTAAGTCTTGGAAGCAACTCCGGGCTTTCACAGAACCGTTCTAACGAACTACCCTTTGATCTAGCACCAATGTATCAAGAACCTTGGTGCCATCCTTGAAGCGTCTGGCTCCGACCTTAACAAGGTTGTGAAAGTCAACGTCTTCCTCTCCGACATGGACAACTTCGCGGCTATGAACGAGATCTACAGCCAGTATTGGGGTGAAGTAAAGCCGTGCAGGACGTGAGTAATAATCTATTAAGCTACACCGTTAAGCTACACCCGAAGAGATCATCGCCCACCGCAGTAGCTGACTGTTCATAGTTGCGTCGCGGTAAAGACGCTACCACTAAACGTGGACGTTGAGATTGAGTGCACCGCAACCTACTGAGCGAGGATTATTGCCATGGCAAAAGATTAAGTGCTGAGCGTACCACACGTATCGCATGGATGAGAAATAACATACCTGTAACCGTGTAAGGTATATATGTCTTAATTTAAATGCAAGTCTTTCTCAGCACATAAGAGCATTGCTGAAATCTGTGATCCATTCAAACATGAAACCTAGGCGTTCACCCTTCCTATTATCAACTTTTCTTACAACCTTACGATAAGACTTGAAGACGACACAGGGGCTTAAACTACTTAATTTATAATATCATAAGTCAAGATTCGTTTTAAGCTGAAGATTAGCTTAGGCTTTGCGAAGATAGGGTTAATCATCTAACACATGTACCTAGACATAAGAGGTACATAGTAATTGCCTCTATACTGATACAGCCGTAAATCTAGGTACGCCTCAACAAGACAAAGCCCATGAGATGAGACAGAGGTAGCGCATCGCTTATTTTATTCAGGCACCGAAGCCGGCTTGGGATACATTGTTTCCCTAAGCGCGTCGCAGAAGTATGTGATGGCTTCCTTCCCGGCATCCAGGACCCCATCCATAGCGATGAAAGGGTGTGGCTGGCCAGCCATCGTATGAACATTGGCATTGACGCCCGCAGTACGTAGTTTATCCCCGAACTGCCTCCCTTCGTCCCTCAACACGTCCAATTCCCCAACAACTATAACGGCCGGCGGAAGTTTGGACCAATCCCCTTCCCACAGCAACGGACTCGCTTCGGGATGAGACCAGTCTGATTGATTGGGGAGGTAGTGCTTTCGATACCATAGCATCTTGGGCGCGGGGAGGGCTGGGGTATGTTGGTTTTCTCTCCATGACGCGTTGTTGTGTACATCTGCCGTGTTGTCCGTCACTGGGACCGACAATAATTGCAAGGAGAACTTGAAGGTGCCCAGGGTGACTGCGCGCTGACACATTATCGCAGCAAGGTTTCCGCCTGCAGAAGAGCCTCCGGTAGCCAGCTTGGTAATATCCAGTTGTAATTCTTCTTTCCCTTGGCCTAGGGCCCACAGCACACTTTCCCAACAGTCGTCTACGGCTGCAGGAAAGGGGTTCTCGGGAGCAAGTCTTGATGGCAATATTAGCTTTTTTAAATATATCTTCCTTACGTTGCATCAAAGGGGCATAGGGGCTATAATTAACCTGTAGTCCACGGCGATAACAACACACTTGCTTCGGGAGCAGAAATTCGTTGCAATCACGTTTTCTGTATCAATGGTTCCCAGGACCCAGCCACCACCGTGAAAATAGATGCAAACCGGCCACCCCCTGGCAGGCTTGGTCCCTCGAGGTGTAAATACCCGGATCTTAACATCCGGACCGGTGGTCTCCTGCCGGGGGATGCTGTAGTCCTTCGTCTGAGCGACAGGAGCAGGAGGACCAGCACCCGGAATAAGGACACCACTTGCCCGTGATGCTTCTATGGGCTGTAAATGAACTTGCTGGTGCTTTATGATGTGTTTGTTGTAGAAATCCGCATACTGGGGGTTGATACGGTCAACTACAGATGAGTGAAGAGGATAGGGGGGCTCGGGATGATCTCCCCAGGATTGTCTTTGTTCGACGCTCATGGTAAGTATCTAGAGGTTGGCTTGAAGAATTTACAATAATGTTTACTTGAAGGATAACGGATCGATGGTATAAAACCCCCCAAATGTATGGACTACGAAGCCAATGCGCCTGGAGACAAGAATTGAAGCCAGCCTACGTTATTAGGAAGTGTATACTAGCTCTTATAACCCCTTTGCCGAGAAGCTATTGTATAAGGTTAGTCTTATCGGTTACTATAAGTGCAGCCAACTCCAGATCGCCAGATTATCATGCAGCTTGATTTGTCCTAGGGCGCTTTCTTTGATCTAGATACACAATGACACCAAAATTCCGATACCGCCACTGACTGGAGCAACAATGCAACTACTGCTACCGACTTGCGACACCACCTTGAACCGTTCTTCTTGTAGAACCAAGAAGAAAACAAATCATTCTCAGGCAGCTTGTGCGGGACTAATTCCCGACTCGCTCCTTTCGTAGCCCTTCAGGGTCCAACCTACATCGGTCCACCCCAGGTTGACATCATGGCCAACCGGGAGCCCATCCAGCCTTTCCCCTCGGCATATAATGTGCGTGTGTAGCTTTGTCTAGACTTTCCCCCAATGTAACCTAGTAGAGGGACAACGTAGGAGCTACGGGTGGGGGTCAGGCATCAGCGTTGGCAAATTCGACTCCTACCATGGAAAAGGAGGTCCACAGAATCAACTCGTACTCCGGGTTAGTGGAAACAGCGCAAACGAATAAAATCGTGGGTTATACATGGCACGTTATGGAACTCGGGAAATAGAGCGTGGTATAGTCGCTAGTGCTGCCGTTTAGGATGGTTCCGGTAACGGCGCAAGGCCGTGATATCGACAGCTTCTAGGAAAGTAGTCCCAGCATCCGGGGTTAGAGTTGCTCTTATTGGAATACTGGGAGGCGTTAGTCTATTCTCGGCTAGGTTACGGGCCTCTTTCCTTCACGGAGACTCCGATTGGTGTTTCTTATCATTATATTAATTTCTCGAAGCATTCCTACAACTGTTATAGAATGTGCGCCTTACTTGGGTTGCAGAACCTAAAAATGATCCCTTCACCCCTCGAAGTCAATGCCCATTTCACCACGAAGCTGGCTAGAACCCTATGCTACTCGCTTTTGGGACTACCTAGATGTGATATGTGCTAACAACGTTATACATTATCAACGTAAAACTGTCTATGTTCTCTTAGCACGAAGGCAAGATGTCTATATGCTTTTCCGAACAAGTCCTATCTAATCATGGCGTGCGCCTGATGTATTCGGGGGTTTACTTGATACGACAGGGATAACTCTACTATCTAACACGAGGTAATACCAACTCAAAAGGGTGGGAGTAACTTTATTATTCTGTTTATGACTATAAACACTAGAATGAGAACCCGAGGCTTTGTATATCTCTAAAGGTCGTTCCGCTTTCTTTGACTTAGGCATACCGCCGTCTAAATCCTGACCCCGACTCACGAAAGCACCGAATAATACTCTAAACAACCGAAATTCCGCCTTTCTCACAATAATACCTCATTGACAGCTTTTAACAAAGTTACCTATTCAGGTACCTAATACAAACAATCTGAAAAGAAAGACGAGGGAAGGGATGCTTATACTCGAGACAGACCTTTCTCCTAAGGTATTATAGAGTATTGTGCTTACAATTAGTAAATTTTAAGGGACCATCCTCCCGTCATATAGCTACTAGAAACGCTTGAATATGCTGTACTGAGACTCGAGTATATGATACGAGTTGATTAAGGTAAATATTCCACGACGAGAGCTACACGTTATTACTAAGTTTACCTATTTTCGTCAACTGAAAAATGCTGTTGAATGGCCTTATGGTAGATACCAGCGTATGAGTCTTATAAATTTTACATATTGCCATTTTATCATAAACACCATATTTCATCACGCCTTCATCCTAATATTTCAAGTTGGAGTACTTACATAGGTAGGTACCACTTCATCGAGGGCGAATTAGGTATCGACCCGTATGTAATAGTAGTTGTATATTAGATAGGTACTTTAGGTAGCTATGGATATTGTTATGCTACCTATTCCATTTCTATCATAACTTTCTAGTAAGTGGGTAGGTATTTGTTTCATGTTGCTGTGATAGTATCGAGCTTAAGGGCGGTGAAGCTTTAGTTGGTACAACTGCGGGGGCGCAATTATAGATACAGACTCGAATTACTCGCTTCTCTAGTAAATGCAAAGAATAATAGAATATTGAAATCGGTAGTGCTATATATAGTAAAGTACCTACTCTTAGTAAGCTATAATAAATAAAAAAGCAACTTTAACTAGGTGTAAACAAACTTAGGACTAATAAGATTTGCCCAACGAACGTATCACAAGAGGGTATTTATTTATTGTATTGTACCTTAGGTACCTAGGTACCTAACCTAAGGTAAGCTACGTCACTCGAAGTGGTGCTAATGCAAGCTTGTTTCGGTAGGCTGTGCGGGGCACCTAACGAACGTTAACTAAAATCAGGCACCTTAGGCACCTTAGGTACCTGATATTGTTCCTAAAATCTACCGGTAACATGAGCTATTACATGAGGTCTCCCCACACATCATTGATATAAGCCCCTTGTTCCTGGTCGAACGATACATCTTATTCTTGTCATCTTCAAACCTATTGTTCCCAAACCAAGCGAAACCGCTCCAACAGCTCCAACAGCTTGCAGACGAACGGAATACACAACATGGCCGACGAGAGTAACCCTCAGTCTTCGATCGACGAGACCCCCATTTCCCCTATTCGTGGAAAAAACGAGAGGAGAAACTCCCTTGAACAGCATTTGAGGCAGCGTCCTGACCGCTCAGAGCTTATTGAGAGTACGATAGCCCTATAGCTTTTTATTCCTTTTTGATTTCTTTTTTTTTTATATTGAAGCTATTGTCATGCACCTATATCACGCACGGGGCTAACGCAGCCTTATCTGCAATAGGGAACATCTTACCTGCCTCGAACGCCGCTCCTAGCCTCCAGGAGAAGCAAAGAGAAGTGCGTATTAACTGATGATATATCTTTTGATCCACGACAAATATCATAAACAAAAGTCTAACCGAGAGCCCGGATATATAGCTCGAGAGACACATGCGTGCCGACTCGCTGAACGAAAAGATCTCTCACCGACCCACGCCCGAAAAGCTGATCAAGGATGGCGTACTTCACGAAGACCCCCGATCACCCGAGGAGAAGTATGCAGAGGCCATCGAAGAGGAATACGCCAAGCGCGAGGGCGGTGCTTAAAGTGATTTAAAACGAATTTGCTAGCCATGATACTCCTGGGGTTGCTATGATGCTTTGACAGATGCTATCAAATATGATATCAAATACGATAGTTATCGAGTGTTGATTGTATGGGAAGTTTATGATGAAATCATTTAAAAGATCACAACACATAAAAAAGAAAAAAAATATATATACCTATATTATGAGGGATAAGTAGGAGGTACCTAAGGTAGAAATACTTAACGTTCTATTTAAGCTATCATCTGATCTTAAATGGCATGGCGTTTCTCAAGCGGGTGATGGCATGATCCCGCTCTTCTCGCAGCCTTCTCGCAGCCAAGAGCTGCCCACCCAAGGTTTAACTCCAACTCCAACTCCAAGACTACCTAATGTATTACGACTAAAGGTACCTAAGATATCCATCCCCCACTTCCCCGACTTTCTCAAGATGCCACAATTCCACCATTAAGAGAAGGAATTCCCGTTCGGGTCGATGGGCCGATGTAACACTCGGTCCTCAAGCTGCCGAAAGCTTCATGCTAGCGCTGAGAAAGCCCGGATCTTCAGGATGGGGACGAGTTCCGATAGGCACGCATATCGAGAGTGACCGGGTTGCCCCGGATCGTCGTCTATACCGGCGCTATACGAGATGTAGGTCCCGCGGTCTTTTTTCTATGTCTCCACGTGCTATGCTATCCTCGGTGTTGTTCGACGGTGCATCGTGATTTACTGTATATATACCTAAATATATATAAAGACCATATCTGTATATAATAGGTTCGAAGATGAGAATATGACCAAGGCGACCTTGAATAGCGCACTTGTGCCGCCCTCGCTTTAGTCTTCCCCGTAGATGCGACACGATGCATCTGAAGCTGTGTGTGTTGGTCAGCGCTTTTGCGTGTGCGGCCTCTTTAGCCTCCGCTATTGATATTTCTGTAAAGTCAACAGGCGGTAATACGACAAACGGTCATCAATATGGCTTTTTACACGAAGTAAGTCATATAACATACAGCTCTACCTAGCTCATAGAAGTAAGACACCATGTGATACTCAACTTGTTCGACTAGGACATCAACAACTCAGGCGATGGCGGTCTCTACGCCGAACTGATCCGCAATAGGGCCTTCCAGATCAGCGAGGGGTTTCCCGCCTCACTAGACGGCTGGCACCCAGTCAACGGTGCGAAGCTATCGTTGAAGAACCTCAGCGAGCCGCTGTCTGACGTCCTGATAACTTCCCTAAACATTGCGGCTCCTACGGGGAACGGCCAAGTAGGGTTCCAGAATGACGGATACTGGGGTATGGACGTTAAGGCACGCAGAAGATACACCGGTTCGTTCTGGGTTAAGGGCACATATTCCGGCCAGTTTACTGCCTCGCTGCAGTCGAATACCACGGGCCAGACCTTTGTATCCGTTAACGTCACGTCTCAATCTACATCTGATAAGTGGACTGAGCATATCTTCGAGTTGACTCCTTCTCAAGACGCCCCGAATTCCCATAATACATTTGCCATCACGTTCGATGCATCGGTAAGTGATGCATCAAATTCAATCAGGCATCTAGGACTGGTCTAATGAGCCTTCTTACAGGGCGCAGAGACAGGGTCGCTTGATTTCAACCTCATTAGCCTCTTTCCCCCGACATTCAAAGGACGGAAAAATGGGATGCGTGTAGATATTGCCGAAGCTTTGGAACAGCTTCACCCTACGCTTTTCCGCATCCCTGGTGGCAACAGTGAGTTATCCTGGCCCCCATCTCCGAGTTCTACGACTTTGACAACTAATTGGCTATGCTTGTGCCCCCCTCAGTGCTCGAAGGCTTGACAAACAGGACGTGGTGGGACTGGAAGAACACCCTTGGCCCCTTAAAGAACCGACCTGGCTTCACAGGAGTATGGGGATACCAGCAGACCAACGGCTTGGGATTGCTAGAGTACTTAGAGTTTGCAGAAGACTTGGGAATGGATATTGGTAAGATCTACTCTCATTGATGCAATCAGGGCTGAGAAATATCTAACCTCCACACCAATAGTCTTAGGGGTCTACGACGGCCTCTCTCTAAACGGAGACATCGCACCCAAGGATCAACTGCAGTTCTTCATCGACGACGCCCTCGACCAAATTGAATTCATCCGCGGACCAGCAACTTCAAAATGGGGTTCCGTCCGCGCCTCGCTAGGTCACCCCGAGCCCTGGAAGCTGCAATACGTGGAAGTCGGCAACGAAGACTGGCTCGCTGGCGCGCCCAAGGGATGGGACACGTTCAGGGGGTACCGGTTCCCGCTTTTCCTCGAGGCAATCAACAAGGCGTACCCGGATATCCAGGTCATTTCCTCGGGGTCGGTTTACGATGGCTACGACATCCCGGCACCTGGAGCCGGCGACTATCACGTGTATGCCGAGCCCGACACTCTTGTTGCTGAGTTTTCTAAGTTCGATAATGTGAAACAACCGCATATTATTGGGGAGATGGCTGCAATTCATCCGAACGGTGGTTCTGGCTGGAATGGACCGCAACGTCCGTTTCCCTGGTAAGCATGATTTTCATGGTTTTTACCAGGTTCCCTCGTTTCTTTCTTGTGATATCTGTAGTAGGTAGTGGGTCTGAGTAATATTCATCATGAGCATCTGTCGAGGAGGAGCTTTGAATATCTGCTAACTTCGTGTATTTAGGTGGGGAGGTGCTGTTGGAGAAGCCGTATCACTCATCGGCTACGAGCGCAATGCAGATAGAATCATTGGAGCCGCCTATGTAAGTTTCAAAAAGCTTTAGATATTCACGAACTCGTACTGACATAATGCAGGCGCCGGTAATTCGCAATAGTATGTCAAATCCATCCATGACTTGACTCCTATATTGCTTTCCCTAGGGGAGCGGATTCGCCGGTTCTAGTAGTGTAGTCTATCTTAGATGCGCTTTGCTAACATTCATGACAGTGAACCGTTGGCAATGGGAAATCACGGTGATTCAGTTCACTGCCGACCAGGTTACTCGCTCTACGTCTTGGTACGTCTGGGAGGTAAGTTATACTACCGTATTAGAGGGGCCGAATTCGTGCTTATACTACTTGTAAATAGCTTATGGCGGCCCACCCCTTAACAGAGACATTACCAGCGAGTTCGCAGTTTAATCCGCTATATTACGTAGCTGGTAAAAACGACAAAACAGGGGGTCATATTTTCAAAGCAGCAGTTTACAACTCAACGAACGGCGCCGATGTCCCCGTCAAACTATCCTTTGAAGGCATTTCGCAGGGAACGAGCGCGGAGTTAACTATCCTGACAGGACCGGAAGATCCATATGGTAGCAACGACCCTTCCACTGGTATCAATGTTGTGAAGACTAGTAAGGAGACTATACGGTCCGATAAGACTGGAAGCTTCCAGTTTTCGTTACCAAACTTGAGTATTGCTGTCTTGGATACAAGCCCACCAAAGTCTCGTCGCTGGAATAGGGCATAGAACATTAGGTAGATAAATAATACTTACCTCTGATATCAAATCAAATGCAATTATGCTGCGGGTGTGATCAACAAACGACAAACATAATTTACGTGGACTGTGAGGCTCTTGGAACGGGATGCCCGTCACTTCCCAGTCATCGGTTCCTATTGGTAGATATAAACAAGATAGTAAATGGCACTTGTTATGAAATGATGTGGTTTCTAGTCATAGGAGAGCCTTGAGGGATTGTATATCGAGTTGTGGGGTAGCACGTATATGCAACCAGTTGTCCTTGGGGGTTACGCTGCTGAGCTGTCTTTCGCCAATGAACGCGTAATATACGAAAAAAGCAAAAAAAAAACAAAAACACATGGCCTAAGAAACACAGGCTGGCTGTGAGGATGAGGTAAGTATAGGCGAAATTGGAGTAGAGAAACGGTATTGTTGTGTAACTCCCCACGCCGCATCGCTGCCTGACTGAGCTGAAGCGTCTTTTTTAAATGTCAGCAACAATTACGCTCAGATTTGGTAGAAACCTGGAGGCCCATATCCTAGAGAGACTATGGCAAACCAGATAGAGCAGAAGCGGCGCGTCTACCTCGCATCTCGAGCTATCTTCGTAGGCCAGAAAGCGGAGCTACGCAAAGCGAAAAAGGTACGCGAAGAAATCGAGAGATGGCCACAGGTATTGAGATCACTTACTAGTGAGTTGAGCATAGAAACTGTGGTCGAGATTCTTCGCGACCTCCTGACACAAAACATTTTCAAGTCGGAGCGCAAAGCGAAGGCGGAATTCCCTGACCTATTCTATTCACCACCAGAACAGGAGGTTAAGCGTGAAGCATCTGAAATCGACGCTGCTAGGTCAACAGCAGAGGTACTTGACGAAGTTGCCAGCGAGGCACACGAGGAGGCCGAATGCAATAATCAAGTTGAGGAAGACGCCCCCGAGAAACCCGGCGAGGTGGTTGACGAAACGGAACGAGATAATGCGCATTCTGAGGCCGAACCCCCTAGCCTTGAACATGCAAACCTGGAACCGCCTGTGTCTGCGCCTCTGCCTTTGCCTTTGACTTTACCTTCCCTGTACCCGACATATATCCCGTATAAAGCACAACATATTATTCTAAGCGAGGCGCAACGAATGCTAGAAGAAAGCTGCTTCGAATTCACCAAAAAACATATGCCGGCGCTCCTGGAGAATACAGGATTGGACTGCGCCAGCTCGCTAGAACTGACCAAATGGACGCGGCTATTGGCTAAGATGTCCGACGAGATGCCAGAGACAGCATTCAACTTGGGGACAACGCCGCTGAAGGAGGTGCTATTCGCGACGGATAAGCTGAGACACAGTGCTGTTCATAGAGTCCCGATGACTGCTCGCGCTATTAAAACTCTGCTCAAGTCGGCGGTAGTGCTTGGATTTACACTTGGCGACCACAGGCACGCAAGTCAACTTGAGGAGATATGCTACGAGCTAGACAACAAGGTCCAGGCGATGGAGCTAAATAAAAATGCGCTGGTGAATTCTACTACAGCCGAGCTGGAGGATATCCAACGACGGCGAAAAGAGTTGGATAGACTAGAAAAAGAAGTGCTTGGAAACATGGTGAAGAACGATCAGAAGAATAGGGGGTTCATTGGAGCGTTACTCGAGGATTCGGTGGGTAGGATCTTGGAAGGGAAGACGGAGATGGGGATGGAAGACGAGTTGAAGGTTGAGGAGGATGAAGAGGAATTCTCAGAGTGTCATACGAGCGTGGAGGACTTGGAACATGATTCAGTCGAATAGTGGTGATTTGATATCACGATACAACATTGTGGTAGGTACTGTTGTAATGTCTTAATAAGTGTCCAAAGTGTCCAGGAGCTGAGTACAGGTGGTGGAGTTTTTAGCTGTAGATACTAATGAGGTACCGTAGTAAATTACCCCTCACAGTGTCCGCTCCCACCCGCCCTCTATTTACCTTAGGTACCTAAGTATCTGTAATAAGTCGTCACGTGGCAGCGCGTAAAAAGGGTGACGCGCCGCGAGTCAAATAGGTGATACGTATCTTTCTTTTATTCATTATACTCGTTATACTCGTTATAAAGCCCTGCGACGCAAACCATGGCTCCACAGCTACAAATATAATAAGAACAACCGCCCTTCGAACCTACAGCATGATTTCAGAATGGCTGAGAGACCGGGTACAGCGAAAGCCGAGAAAAAAGTGCCCGAGGTAGAGGGGTCCAAGCAAGATGACCACCAACACGATACCCTCAAATACCATCTTCTCGGGCCATCGCTCACCAAAGCCGGCCAGGATTCTGTCGACCAATCCAAAGTTTCGGAAATTATATATAATGCCTCTAAAGGTTCCAAATTCTTCAACCGCGAAGAGGAGAAGGACAAGATCTTGACTCAGAAGATCGAGCAGATTCTAGAGAAGAAGCGCCGTCTTGAGAAACTCGATCTGACCCGCGAGCTGCGCGCTGCCGATCAACTCATAACCCAGCTCGAAGTGTCTCGTGATTTGACCCAGTATATAGTTCACGTCGATTGCGATGCCTTTTACGCTGCCGTCGAGCAGCTCGATCGCCCCGAGCTCAAGGATGTCCCATTTGCCGTTGGTGGTGGCGTCCTGACTACTTGCAACTATGTCGCTCGCCAATTTGGCTGTCGCAGCGGCATGGCTGGCTTCGTTGCTAAGAAGCTCTGCCCTAATCTTCTCCTTCTGCCTCTCAACTTCGATAAGTACACCTCTAAAGCCCAGGAGGTCAGACAAGTCTTGGCGCAGTATGATCCGAGGTTCGAAAGCGCTAGTATCGACGAGGCTTACCTCAACATTACCGAATACTGCGCCGAACGTAACATGACGCCCGAGGATACTGTTCAACAAATGCGAGATGAGATTCATGAGAAGACCAAGATCACGGTTTCTGCCGGAATTGCTGCGAATTCAAAACTCGCCAAAATCTGTTCTAATATGAACAAGCCTAATGGACAATACGTCTTGCCTAACGATCGTAATGCCATAATGAATTTCATGCGGGATCTCCCCACGAGGAAGGTAAACGGAATCGGGCGGGTTTTGGAACGGGAGTTGCAGGAGATAGGAATTAAGACGTGCGGCAATATATATCCTCATCGTCAGCTTCTGGTACGTGCACAGACTCTTTTTTTTTTTTTTTTTTTTTTTTTTTTTTTTTTTTTTTTGGACTCTAGTGCAGTCCGCTCCTATTTTGAAGTATGACTAACACGAATATTCTTAGTACGTTCATATACTCAATTTATTCACCGTATATTCTACGGTAATACTGAGAGATTTGCTCGTATAAAATGCTAACTCATTATAGGCGTCAACTTTTCGGTGAAAAAACTTACGAATTTCTACTCATGTGCTATCTGGGGCTAGGCCGGACCGAAATCCAGCCCGCGGAGGAGTATGAACGGAAGAGCGTTGGCACCGAGAGCACGTTTCGGGATCTTTCAGATCCGGTACAGCTGAGAGAGAAATTGCGGCAGACGGCGGACGAATTGGAAAAGGATATGCGAAGAGCCGAATGTAAAGGCCGTACTCTCGTCCTAAAGATAAAGCTTCATACGTATGAAGTTTTGACGAGGCAAGTTGTGACCCCGCGAGCTATCTGTGCCGCGGATGATTTATACAATTACTCGTTGCCTATCTTGGCTAAGTTGGAGCAAGAAGTGCCGGGTATGAAATTACGATTAATGGGCCTTCGGTGCACGAATCTGATCAGCACTAAAAAACCTGACACTCGTAGCTTTTTTGGGCTGCGACTTTTGAAATCGAGCGAAGCTGCTCCGGCGGATAACATGATTCCACAGGAGTTACAGGAGTTACAGGAGGACAAGTCTCAGGACGACGATAGCCCTGGGCCCGGCCTCGACCGCCCCACGTCAGAGAAAGACGATACTTACCGGCACCATGGCAAAGAGATCGTCCCCAATCCTAAGCGTGCAGCGCCCGAACCAGAGCCAGAGAAGTGGTGGGACTGTCCCATCTGCAGCCGGCCCCAGGCTACCGACGAGCGCCTCTTCAACGAGCATATAGACCTGTGTCTCTCGAGACAGGCAATCCGTGATACTGTACAGCGGGAGTATAAGCCTAGTCCCAGCCCTGCAGCTGATGTGCCACCGCCCAAGCGGCGGAAGGGCAGTGCCGAGAAGAAACGCGGTCGTAGTTCGAATTCGGCTGACCCGAGGCAGACAAAGCTATTCTTTGGCTGACATTCATGAGATACGTCTATAACTTGTAACGACATTTTGTATATATCTTGGGTAACGACATGCATAAACGAAGCAGCAGTGCTAAGTTTCTTTCCCCTTCCTGTCCATTGTATTACCTCCCATGGCTATACAATACCTCTTATTGTAAAAATTTTCTTCTCTATTCTCATAATAATCCTACCATAAACGTATGATGCCCACTATATGGCTGTGGTTTTAGTCAATATATGCTAGGCGTATAGAGGCGGTAATGAAAGACCACAAACTGAGAGGCAGAACAAAGGGGGCGGTGGCTGTAATTCAATTGATGACCACCCAACATGCCCACTCTGGGGTGCCCCCAATAATCTAGTTAATAAAGGCTACCTAGGTAGATTTATAGCTTAAATATCTTTAAAGCACTGAGATGTTACCCCTGAAGCTGCGAGTTGTTAAGGGATACATAATTCCAACACTGGCGCATCCATTCATATTTAGTCAAGATTTCCATGCAACATGGCACTCAAGACATGCAAGAAGATGGATTAATTCTTAGTGCACATGAACATAGAAGTGCCGAACTAAGGTTTCCAGGTTATTTGGAGTCAAGATTTTAGGTATTTCATTGTCCAGGCATAGGGGACATCAATTTCTTTTCATATAATTGCTCCTAGATGTGACATATTTGAGAGGCTATGGAACTCACATTAGAAAAGCAATCCGACTAGTTTGGCCTAAATAGGGGTGGAATCATCGGTGTCTAACTACTGTGGTATGTAACTAGTATCCACCTTGCTACAATAGCATCGTTTGCAGAAAAACAATTAGCATAGAAACTGGAGTAACATACTGTGAACTCCTATCCATGTTAATAGGCGGCCATCATCATATCATATGTCCATGTCGTCAAGACTTGGTCGCCTCACCGACATGGACCTACGAATATGATCTTCCTCTTCGACGATGTGCATATCATCGCTGGGAAGTCTGACAGCGCGATCAAGAGCAACAGGCAATCCGCGGTGCCTACCCCTTATCATGACGGCGCAAAGGACTAACTTGCTTCCAGGGTAGAGTCCACCACTGAAGCTATACGCAGCGTTTGGAAATCCAATGCTGATACCCACGCATCCATAAGCGGAGACCACTTCGAAAACAACATTGAAGACCGAATAGGTGACTGGGTCTTCAAGAAAATGCTTGGTTTCGATGATCATAATTAGCAAGACAGCCAAGACCAGCCACCACAAGTCGTGAGAGAGTTGTCCACGGATCTGGTGGCTGATGAAGCTAATACGGCTCTCTTCTCGTTGGTCCGGCGCAGCCCCAACTCCATACCATTCCGCAAACGCAGCGCGAATCATCCGACTTAGAGACTGAGACTTACTACTCGACTGACCGCGCGAAATAGAACGAGTTAGAGAGTCACTATATAGAGCATCTTCCCCATAGATCCCTAGAGACCGTTCTTCGTAGACATTTGAATGCCTCATTGTTATCACAACCGGATACACGGAGATATACCTGAAGAATTATTAAAATTAGCACCATTCCAATCTCATGTAAGATATCTAGATTGCTTTGATAGAGAAGGAATCTCCGTGCACACTAGCGCCGAATTGTTGAAAGGAGAGGAGGAGCAGAATAAGACCATTGTTTGGGCTATAATATGGCTCTGGGGTATTGACGAACATCATGATAACATAGAGTACCTGGAGGCCGATAAACAATGTGGGGATGGATACAACGTAAAACCCTCCCGAGCGGACAGCTGTAATAGAGATCAGTACTAAGAAACACTTTATAAGATGAGCCAATCGCACCGAGAGCTTGAAAGAGTCCATCGATGATGCGAGACCCAAGAGGAATTTGCTCAAGACTCGAATTGCCGAGATTGAGCACTTCAAATGCTACCCAATCAGTGCCGTTGAGTACAAAGAGCATGAAAACAAGCCAGTATGTCTGACGTGACGGGAAGAGATTGGTATAGACACGCCGAGGGTATTTGAGGATATACTCAAGCGTTTCCTTCCATTCTACCAAATCGTTCTCGTAGGTCACCCACTTCAATAGCTTCACTGGAAAACTTTGGATCAGTAGCCGTCAATTTAGAGCCGCAAAAGGGAGAAGAATATCATTAGAACAGGTGACTTTCAGATATACTGGTGCGCATATTCCTACCAAGACTAAGAATTATCTTGAGGATATAAAGGGGCCATGATAAAAATGGAATGGGAAGTCGAACTTACAACTGCCCCATAAAATGAATCGTAGGAAGACAGGATACGCCGTATTGCCAGCGAGAATCATTAGTCCCATGATGATGAGTACAAAATATGAACTTCCGTAGGGAATCATATTTGCGTCCAGCACACTCATGCCGCTGTTATTAAAAGCAGATACACCATTGAATATACCATTCCACCAAGGCGAGATGGCATTCTCCAAGGCAGGTCCCGGTTGGTTGTTTGCTATCCATGCGCCGAGTGAGATGCAGCCGAGGAATTGCCACAGGAAAAAATACAGCGGAACGATGATAGAAAGGAGTTTGAGAGCTCGGTACTCAGTGCCACCAAGCTCTTCGCGTTCCTCACTCGTTAAACCATGAAACTGGCCATTGCGCCCGACTTTATGTCCTCTTAGATAGCTGCGAGGGTTAACAGCTGTGTCGGTGCTTGACAGGTGTCTTTGCGCGGTAGTACCGCTAGGAGCGATAGATGTCGACCTGGCCCCTGAACGAAGATCATCAGCGAACACGATGTGCTCGGTAGCAGTCGAAGCCCCTGTATCCCTCTCTTCGGCATCCGTAATACCGGAAGCTGGTGTGACATCCGCCGCTACACCCACGCTATGAGCATGGGTAAAGGAGCCGCTAGCACGGATATCTGAGTCCTGCTGTGGAGGAACAATGGCGGAAACTAGCCTCCTGTCACTCGGGCGAGATATGACGGGCAGATTGATGGCTGGGTGCTGCTCCCAAGAAGGGATACCATCGCCACCATCCTGCCCTGTTCTGCTCCTACCTAAGGTCCTAAGTCTGCGAGTGATTGGGGGGAGTGTTAAACTGGCGCTACGCCGCTCAAGGCTACGTTTACGCTCCTTGCGCACGATCTCTTGGAAGCGGGCTTCGAAGGCATGCTTGCGTACTAAGACAGTCCAGATGGACACCCAAATGGAGGAACCAATGATAATCAACAACCAAAGAAGCACCTGTTGCCAAGTGGTCATCTGACTGAGATTGACAGTATTAAGGCCAGCCTCTGTCATAGCAGAGGTGACCAGAAATAAGCTGTCGACATAGCTGATGCTGGCTCTGGGGTTCGACGAGCCCCAGAACACAACAGATGATATTAGAGGCACAATAAGAAAGTATACATAATGTATGGTGATAAAGTTCAATGGTGGTAAGAGCTTTCGGAGTCTGCTCATTCTATGGCTTTCCGAAGGAGGAAAAAAAAAGTAAAAAATAACGGGATCGGATAGACGAAGAGCGGGTAAACCAAAGTAAAACGAAGCGGGTTTAGTGCTAAAGAGGTCTTGGCGGAGCGGAAAAAAAATGAAAATTATTTAATTGAGCAACATGTTGAAAATTCTATTCCAGTTATTTTTTCGGATTCCAATAAGCCTCTGCTTCAATTGACCCGAGAAGTTTTTTGTCTCCTGCTTTTGCTTTTCCGTGGATGAAGAAAAGGAAGAAAGTCGTGCAACGATGACTTCAGTCCTTTTGACGAAAACATGACTTTATGTAGGTACATACCACTTTCCTAACCTGTGACAGGAGGGCCACCTAAAACAAACTTTCTTTTCGTGCATTACGAGATAAAAGACTTAAAACTATATATGTGAGGTACATTTTTCACAATATCAATTTACATACATCTGGAGGTATATATTAAGTACTTATCTCTACCTAATCTAGAGGTAAACATCTAAATTGCGGTGTGTCGTACCTAGTCGTACCCGCCTCTATCCACCTAGGTACCTACCTTAGGCTACCTACCTGCTAGGTATGTATTTTGTATTGTATCGAAACTTTCCAACCCCCTTTTACCTACCTTAGGTTAGGTTTAGGTAGGTTCTTCATATGACAAGTTGGGCACCTTAGACCTATCCAATCACGTTTGGACCGGGCAGTTGGATAGAGTACCTTGAAAGCTTCACATATACACATATATTAAGAGAATAGGCTATATCACCCGCGCACTTACGATAGTAACTATCTAAAAGCGCATTTAAATAAATGGCGCAGCCATTAGACATTAACCATATATTGATCCGCCTAATAGGTTGTCAAGTGTTGGTTATCTACAAATATTTATATCGAAGGACTACTATTACTCGGCCGAGTAACTTATAGAACCAACTTATAGCTCATTGTGCTCCTGAACGTCATCGGTATCGACGAGCAAGGTTCCAACGACCTCAGCAGCCTCTTCGACTTTGCTCGCAATCTTCTCCGCCACCTTTGCCGTTGCCTTCTCAGCAGTTTCGCTGACCTCGCTAGAGGCTTCACTGACAGCTTCACTAGCAGTAGAGCTTGCGCTGCTGGTTGCCTTTGTAACGATGGACTCAGGCTTAGGAACGCCCTTGATGCCAATGAGTTCCGTTTCGAATACTAGTAGTCGTTAAGCATTAGATCATCTTCAGTCCACAGCGCTCCAGCTCGTTACATACCAATGGTAGATCCGGCGGGGATGGGTCCAACGCCCCGGTTTCCATATCCATACTCGGGAGGGACAGTTAAAGTCCTAACAAGCAGTCAGCTTCCATTTGATATTCTAGGGGAAAGGTACCACTTTACCTTTTCTCGCCGATGCACATTCCCAAGAGTCCTTCTTCCCATCTGTACACGTGTTAAGACCCCGTAAGCAGTAAGAAGCGAGAAACGAAGGCGACGGACCCCTGGATGACTTGATGGCCCCCCAACATAAAGCTAAAAGGAGTGCCTCGATCGTAGCTAGCATCGAACTTCTTTCCGTTGGAAGCAAGCGTGCCCCTATAGTGTACTTGGATATTGTCCCCCGACTCGGTCTTTCGGTCGCATTCGACGGGGAGGGTCACTTCAATCTTCAATTCGGGAGAACTCGAAGCCAAGGCTCCGGCAGCGAAGGAGGCTACGAGGGACAACGGAAGGAAACGCATGATGTAGGTTCGGAATGCAATTGCCTATATTGAGATACGATTGGAAATAGATTTGAAATAGATTTGGGTGTAAAAAAAAAAAAAAATTCTAACGCGAGGGCATATAGAAAAGGAAATATCAACGAGATGTAACCGAATGTGTGCTCAAATATAGTGAAATCATCACCAGCTTTGTGCTCTAATCAATTTGCGGGCGGCACAGCGTCAGATCAAGATTGGGGAGTATCTTTTTATGTGCATAATGCCTGTTAATTGACCGGACAATAATGGAATCCACCTTGAATGCAAGCCACCCCCACTGCGAGACCTACATATGTAGGTTAGGCCGGCACTGAGGCACGTCAGTATTTGCCACAATGTTCTATTATTCTACCGCGTAACGGCCTCACAATAAGAATCTTGCACTTTCATTCGTGCATTTCGGTGAGGTTTTTGAAGCGTCGTCTGTCAGCCAACTAGGTACCTAAGATAGTAGCTGGCAAGGCTGAACCTGCCTAAGTGCTAGGTATAGATGTAGGTAACTATGTTCCTCTCACTGTATTTCGTATACGCATTTATCAACTTTCTACAGTTGTACGTAATGTAACCAATGAGTCTACGTAGTGTAAAGGCCTTAAGCTTGCGTGTTAATAGGCAAACTATATCATAAATAAAATTACGTACCTATATGAAGAAGCAGACAACTATCTCAAAAGACCTATTATAGAACTAATGTAACAAAGCACTAACTAACGGGTACCTAACATACCTAGGTGGGTAAGTCTAGGACTATGTTGTAGGCCTAAAAGGACTTATAGCTTTCTCAGAAAACAGGCTACCTAGGCAACTGATAGCCATCCACCTAACAAAAGGTCAAACAAGCTAGGTAACATAGCCCATAGCCACCTTCTTACGCCCCTTAGGTGGACTTTTCAATTTAACGTTTAGTTGTCCTGAGTAGCAACGCAGTAAGTGTATTTAGGTCATATCCTCTCAGATACGGCTGATGTAAGCGGTATAATCCGCACTGTATTTATTTTGGTACTTAGTACCTGGTACCTAATCGATTGTGCCTCACAACCCCAAGTCCCCCCGCGTTCTTCCAAGGTCTACCTAGTATTCCCAGTCCTAAGGATTATGTCACTGTACACTACCTGAATGCTTGTAATCAAATATTTGTGGTGACTTACAACACTAAAACGTTAACCCCCAATGTAACTCATCTTTTTACCTTCCAATTAATACTAGGTAAGCTAATATCGTTTTTCACCTTTTACAACTCGGGCTTCAACGATACCATGCCACTTTGCAAAAAAATAAAATTAATAATAATAATACAAAAAATAAAAATCGCTAAACATTAAGTAAGTAATGATAATATAGTTTCTATTAAATTTTTTAATATTTAATTTTTAAATATATTTCGTATTAAATTTTTTTTAAGTTTTTATATACGAAATATTTTTTTTAATTATTATATAAACAATAAATATTTATTTACAATTAATTATTTAAGCTTTTATTCATTTAAACCGTATAATTATTTTAACGTTTTAAAAAGGGTTTTTTAAACCGTATATATATTATTTATATATAATTTAAAAAATTAAACCATTTTATATTATAAATGGAAAATATAGCATTTATATTTTTAAACGTTAAACTTTTTTAAATAATTTATAAATATATATAAAAAAAGTACCGCACTATTTTAATTATATGGTATTACCATACTAATTAAATAATGCGATACTTTTTTTTAACATATTATTTTATTTTTACAAGTTATAAGATTATATTACAAGTTACAGGCACTTTTCAAATAGACCAATGACTACGAAAGGTTTACGTTAGATATTACGTTACGCGCGTACGTGTGGCACCCTTATTGGGGTATATATGCATCTAATAAGCAGCTTCGCACCTACCACCACATGCAAGGCCACACATACTGAATTGATTGAATTGAATCTAGTCAATTGAATCTAATCAATTAATCTAGTCAATTGAATCTATTTAATTGACTTGTAACGTGTAAGTCTATTAAGCTGTATACATACGGCTTATTTGATTGAGCCTCTTGAATTTTGAGCCGTTCGACTTTTTGAGCGGTAAACATACCGCTCAATTCAATTAAGCCGTATGTATATGGCTCTAAAAGTTGTACGTTTTACAAATTTATAACGTTAAGCGGGGGAGCCGCAAGGATACCATTCAACTAATGAATCGTGGAAATATGGATACGTTGATAAATTTGAGCCATTCATTATTATAAGCCGTATATATACGATTCGAAATATTGAGCTGGTATATATACGGTTTAAGAACCCCCCCTAAGACGCTAAGGTAACTCTCTTCTTCTTCTGACCAGCTGGAACGCTCAATTGCTCAATTTCTTAATTGCTGCCTCAACCGCCACAGGCACTACCACCCTTTTCTTCTCCCCTTTTCTGCCTTGAAGCTTAGGGTGACTCACGTCCTTCGGTGTACATTTATATCTTGACTCTTTCACTGCTCATTATGGCTGGATACGCCCCCATCTCGGTCAGCTTGAGGCACTGCTCATACTTGCTCCGGCTTGTACGTGTTGAAGCTAAACTTGTTCCTGTCGCCATGTGGCAGTACTCTCTCTGTATAAGATCTCTATTGTAAGTATCGAAAGGTAAAGTACTCTCTTGTAATAGGCCAATATCAAATATTTAAAGACGAGATGTCTCCTTGTTTCTGTTCCCATTCCATCTCCGTCTTCAACAACTTAGATAAGTTCGTCGCAATTTATATATCTCTATAATTTCACATATCATTTCACTTAAACACCTGCCACCACCAAATAATGGTATCATATAACAAGGGCGCTTCGAAATCCCCTTACACCATCGTTGTTGACGACCACTCCTCACGTTCGTCATCTACAAGTTCATACAACACCATGTCTTCCCACACTAGCCTAGGTGTTGGTTCAACATCTTACCCTAGTAGCTCCTCTGAGAGCTCACCTGTCGTTTACGAACAAAGCCGATCACCCAAAGCCGGTACGTGTTGCCCACAAGTACATCTTATCACCCTATTTGTAACTAACAATAACCAAAGATGGCTTCACAATTGACATCGTGCGCCGCTCTAAAGTCACTGTATTTAACCACCACAGTTCTGGGTATCAACACGATTCCCCAACTCCGGGCTACGGACAGCATAAAGAGAGCCACGGCGAGAAGTCGCACCCCCACACGGGTTCTCGTTAAATCGGGTCAACGTGTTTTTGATCATTTATGTCAGGCGCATCGGATTTTGAGGTTAGGATAGAATTTTGGGCGGGAAAGATTCTTAATTTGGGACAGGCACTAGGTTATACCATGAATTTTTCTTGTTATTGGGAACTGTATACCTAGAAGGAAGACTACAGGATCGCCTCAAGGCTACTAGATGTGTATAGTTACTGGCGGCATTTCATATCACTAAATATTCATGTGGTCGAATTTAATCTTATCGTCTCCACTCACGACCAATCTCTTTTCCTTATTTTGGGTACATATGTGCCATATAGCAGCATTATCGATTGGTTCATCATGAATGCGACTCCTATAAGGCTAGTCAGCGAGCATTTCATTCGCTACCACCTCTGCCATGAGGTGAGGTAACTGCATATATGCAGGAACATTAGGTTAGGTACGTATGTCTTAACACGAGAGGTGACCTAACGGTGACACCCCACGGAGAACGTAGTTGGGGATCGGCCAATTTTTTCCAACGGCTACCTGCCTTTATTTCAGCTCCTAGGGCTGAGGTGCACTTAATGTGCAGCCTTTGCTCTATTGGTACGGCTAGAGCACCAATGCCGGCGACCCCTGCGTATGATGATCTCACATTGGACAATGGCGACACCTATCTGTCCGACTGTAACAGCTAGGCTAACATAGAAACAATTAAACTAGTAACCTTATGAGGTAGGTATCTATGGGGGTGGGAACACGTGAATACGAGAGTCGCGATTTGGCTCTCAGGCATCACAGTAGAGCACAGGTCTAGCCTCACTCCTACATCTTTTATGAATTCCAGTTTGCTCGACGAATGCCACTTAACAATGTTTGCGCTGTGATTTCAAGAGGGACAGTTTAATGATACACTTCATTAGTAGCAGTAGCTGCTATACACGGTCCACCAGCTGTATAGTGACGTGCCTCCTATTTGAATGCCAATTGTCTTGAATTAGCCAGCCTGTATATGGGTACCTAGGTAGTTTTCCCACAGTACCACATGAGGATCACTATTTGGCCCCTTAGAACACATCCGAGAGCCACCCCCACCCCTTCCCTTCCATTTGCCTCTTTATCTGGGAACCATCTTCCCTCCTACATCAACCTCGATGATACTCATCACGCTCCTCCTCGAAGTAATGCGACATCTCCAGCCCAGAGTTCCTATACCCACATTTAGCATAGAACGGCTCATTTTTCGCGCCGCAGTTAAGAATATTCTTGTAGCATCCCAGATTAATAGCCACAGAATCCAGGGCTTGGATCATCTTCAAGCCAAGCCCTTTGCCCTGATGGTCCTTCGCGATTGAAATCTCCTCAATATGACCACACTTGCCGCGCTGATGTATACTGTTGTTTGTGTAAGAATTCTGTATAGCGTTCCGCTTTTTATGATAGAATAACCACCCAATACGCAGAGGAGGGGACGTACAATTTCTTCTCTACAATCAAACCACCTGTCCCCACGATGCGACCCGCGTGTTCGATCACTGCGAAGTAGTACGTGCCCTTCGCCTCTAGCATCTCGTCGAATTGCTCATTGAACTCGGCCTCGCTGACATCGCCCATCCAGGTGAGAACCCGCAGGCATTCCAAGAACCCTTTGACGTAGTCTTCTTTCTCTAACGGGCGGATGGTGAAGCCATCGGGAAAGGAACCGGCAACTTTTGGTGAGATAAGAGATGCAGAGAAGAGCGCTTCAGTGCCACCCATGGCTACATGAAGCAATTATGTTGTTTTAAACTTGGAATATAGAGGCGTGAATATGGTTATATTCTAATATAAGCACATTTGAAGATAGTTAATGCGGGGTGGTTTATAAGAGGGAGATGTATAAGTGTCAAATACCTAGGCCGAATCGTATCGTACAATACAAGTACAATACAAGTACCGAGTTTCTACATTTTCCGCAGCTAGGTATTCTTCTAAACCCTTCACCTCCCTCCGGTAGTTGCATATACCTATAGGCGGAAATCATACATGTAAGGTAAGGTAACTCATCTATACAGCCGAAAGGCTATACCTATCTTATAATATGGTATATATATCAATTCCAAGCCGAGTATTGAGTTCTCCATGATTTACTTAATATATGAATAGAAGTTAAACAATATGAACTGCCCCCCTCTACCTCCTGAGAAAGGAGCCCCCAGCCTACCTAGCATATTTAAAACCAGAGAAAGGTAGAAAGAGTGATATGACCTAGGTACTTATACTAATCAAATGTCTTTAATAAAGCCGGCAGTGAACTTGGACTATCCTCGAGGTACCCCTGATCGACTAGTGCGTCTATAGACATCTGCGCGTATTTAGTCGCCGTCTTCTTATCCTTTGCTTTCCAGTATAGTCGCGCCATAATCTCGTACTGGCTGGAGTAGAGCGGCGCAAGATCCTCTGCCTTCATAAGTTCCAAGACCTCGTGAGTGAGCTTGACTGCTTTCGTTCCATCCCATGCTTCGACCGCTTTTATGACTTCTCGGCGCAACTCCTTGATCTTGGCCCTGCGATAGTCGGAGGCGGCGACCTCAGTTTTGGATGCCGTACAAAGAGAGCATGTACATTCGAAACCCCATTTCTTCAACGCCTCCTGTCTTTCATCCTTGGTATTTCCTAGGGGAACATCTAACAGAAGTATGAGCGGCGGACTGAGTAGTACAGGTGGCCTAGGCAATCAGAACTTACAGGTAATGGTGATCTCCTCTCCTGGATCAATATCCCTTAGAGCAACAACACTCACGGCCAAAGTTGAAGGTGTGAATCTGATATAAGAACTATAATTTTCTTTAGCTTTTTCGGGACCCATAGGCTATTGTTACTATCAGCTCTTACTTTGGGCGACATGCATGGTTAACTCTCTGTCATATAATGTTAGCATTACTTATATCAAGGCAGGTAATCTAGTAGCAATCGACGAGCTCACAGAAACGTCCGGATATAGCGCCATATGAGATTCATCCGCCAACGTAAACGAGAAGGAGTTGGTCCTCAAAATATCCTCTACGATATCACCCGAAAAGGAGCTGCTATGAGCCAGAGAGAGCACACGATCCGGATCCGCCAACTGATCCACAGCTCTATGAAGAAAGCGATACCCTTCGGTCCGCATTACCGCAGTTGGGAAGTCCAAGCTTACTATCAATACAGCCCAGTCCGCCATTATTGCCTCGGCGCGTTTAATATGGCGCGTCGCAATTACCCCTTTTCCCTTCCCTGGAATATCGGCAACTTCATACGCCGGACCGGCGCTGTTGTCGAGGAAGTGTTTTATGTGAGTGTAGCCCGAGTCGTTTAGTATTTCAACAGTGCTCGCTGCAATCTCTGGCGTAGTGATTAGACTAATGCCTCCATTTCCGTGCTGCGAATTAGAGTAGACACAAAAGGTAGGTCCGGGCGTCTTCTTTGAGTCCACGCATTCCGGAGGATGAGTCCATGGTGACAAGTCAACCGGTCTATCGGCGGTTTCCCCATCAACTGGAAGGGGACATCCTAAGCGTGCTTGAGTCTGGAGTTCTTCTGGTAAGTTTAAAAGACATTGGCCGATAGCGGCGGAAATGTGAGTGTGAGACGCTACGTGTGGTATGAGACACCCCACGGCGCCGAGGAATCCAGGAAGAGAACCAGCTTGAGTCTTCATTTTTAGTTGCCATCGCTTAGAGCAAAGAGTAAAACTAGGCTGGCTTATAAGACTTACAAGCTGGTTATAAGTATGATATTTCTACGGACGATCTTAACTTTTCAAAGTCATCGCTCCCATGTCCGATTTCGTGGTTCGGTCGGGGATAAATAAAAACGTTCATTTCGAGCGCGATCGACCAACATCGCGCCCAGAGAGCCAAGCGAGGCCAAGTGTTAGGTACGGAATGCAGAGTTGGCGTGACTTTAGATTTTTCTACGGAGAATAGCGTTTTATGATAATTATCGCTAAGGATTCGCCTATTTCATGCTAGTCTTTTCTCGTCGCGTCTTGGAGGATTCCCTGTTCCCAAGACATATGGGATCGATGTCATAGCCAAAACTCGGCAAGGTAGTCCGACTTCCCACGAGTTCCGAACGTTCTCCTTGAGGCTCTAACGTAACTTAACCGCTAAGCTTGTGTTACTAGCCGCCGAATAATTAGAGGTCTCAACCGTAAATAATCTTGGCCAATGCCGATCCTCAAGCTCCGGCTAAATCTATATGTACGTCGTCCACCGGAGATATGCCGGTCTACCCGCCCGAATCGTACAGATTTATGTCTATCATACACGTGCATTGGAAACTTTGTATATACCCCTAGTTCGACAAGCCCTTACTCTATATATGATGATTCCTTTGTTGCCTACCGGGGACAATCCTAACGAACACTGGTATGAGACCGTAGGTAGCCGTGAAAAAGAAAAGTTAGACTGACGCTCTCCAATTATTTCTGCTTCAATTTTTATCTATGAAGCATATGGTACATATGGTAAAGAGTTTCTATAGGATATAAAAACTCTAAGATGCCTGCCTATATTAGCTAGCAAACTATGCCAAGCTTAATGCTCCAGGATTACACCAGGAGTCCACGTTAGTATGCACCGAGAATATTGGAATATCGGTAAATATAATAGGATTGAATACAACATACCTCTTATAATGTCAGCATAAGGTTGCTCTTGATGGATGTTATAGAGTGACATAGCAACCGTTGGGCTTGATGAATAGGGGTCCGAGTCCTTAGTTGCTAATACACCGAGCCTTCTTGCAAGATATATTATGCCTAGGACTACTGATGCTGATTAGCTATCATAATATAATAGTTCTGAGTTAATAAGCTATTAGCTAAATTCTGCCAAAGGGGTTATAGTTGGCAGCAGGTCTGTTACTTCATCCAATACCAACATTGCCTAAGTACCTAAACAATATGCTGAAATAAAATAACCAAATTGATGGAACTTGTTTATATTAGCTGCGAGGAAATTGATCCAGCATCTATTGGCCGAATATTTTCCAGTCTATATACATAGGACCTAGTTCAGCGGCTCAAAACTTGTGTATCTGATCCTTCTGATAGCCGAGTTCTTGCAAGATTCCAGGTTTCTTCCGGCTTCCCACGAGTGCGGTTTCCATCGGCGGGGGCCCGCAAACGAACACCTTGGAATTGCCTGGTTGGGGTGCTACTTCGTTCAGCAACTCCTTGGTAACGTAACCTTGTCTAAAAGGCGAGCCGCTTTCAGGTCGACTGACGGTATATGTGACGTGGAATTGAGTCGGGAATTTAGATGCATATTCGTCAAGTTCCTTTCGCAAGAGTAAGTCGGCGTCTGTATTCACGCCAAATACTAGGTTGATCTTGGTGTGGTCCTCGGGGTTTTGCAGTATACCCCGAATGAGCTGATAGATAGGAGTGATGCCGGCTCCTCCGGCAATAAGTAAGATTTCAGAATGCTTGTTTGGCTGATAGTTATATCCTGGGATTTTGGTGACGAATCGCAACGAGTCACCTGGTTTCAGGGAGTGTATATATGTACTTTGTTTGCCATTGGGGTACTTCTTTATGAGAAGTTCTAAAGCACCGGGTTCATCTAATTACGACTGGTTAGGTTATACGAATTTGTGGCGGCAATTTACCTATGGGCTTCTTACCTAGAGAGTTGATGGGTGTGTAAGGGCGCACGACAGGAAATGTGCTGCCCTTCGGCCAGGAATATGTTAAGAGTGCGGCTTTTCGAATGTTAGTAACGGTGAGAAAAAGGCTATGGCGTATTTTGATATATATATAGGTACCTATATATATTGGTCATTTCCACTTACACGTCAATGTGAGGCCGCTGACGGTATCGGGCGTGGGAAGCTTAAATCGCAATCGTCTAGTGTTGTGGTTTACGGCTTCGGTGCTCTCAAGCTCGAGAGATAAAAACGCCGGTCCGGAGCCGAAAGCCTTTTTAGGCGCGCCAGAATCCGCATAAGCAACGTTTCTCATGTACGTATAGTATATCCCAGCGCCGACGCCAACAATTGCAATACCACTTATGCCCCGGGATAGACGAGCTGCGGGGAACACTCTAGAACTCATTTTTTTTAAAACGAGGTAAGATGTTTTTGTTGTAGTGTTATGGGTATCAAGAAGAGGTCGGAAGGACTAAGGGAGGATAGGACAAGATATTAAAGAAAAAGATTGGGTTAAAAACATGTACAATCTATGCAGGGCTTTTGAAAAGAAAAAAGAAAAGCAAACGGACTTCCGCCGATGCTGTTACGCAGGATTGTTGGTCGAATAGACAGCACTTATAATAAATAAATGCCCTTGTAACAACGCCTCAGACACAGAAGAAAAAAACCAATATATCTCGATGCAAATAAAATCTATTCTTGCGATTCCCGCTATAAACCTTAAAGGCTTCTAAAATAGATAGAGCGGGAAGTTTAACTCTCATATTATATACCTACATTATTCCTCGGAGTTCGGAATACGTATATAGTCCACGGTAGCACGGCGGACGCGCGAGTCCGAATCCGAAGTTCTCTTACATTGGTAACTATTATCTTATCTAGTAACTAGGTACCTAAGGTGCCTTAGGAGGTATGTAATCGAATCACTGCCATTAGGCCTCTAAAGCTACGCCTTTGTCGGATGTTTTGCAAGCCGGGTTGCCGTGTGATATTTATGTGACCGGACCACTCAGCGTTATCCACTACCTAAAGTATCCACAATCGGTCCCGAGACATTTAATGTAGGTAGCAGCTGAGGTACTCTTCGATCTGTTTAATGCCGGGAAGGATTTACATAATAGGTACTTATTGCATAAATTACTTAAGGTATGCTGATATGTAAGATTTGATTCAGTTTAGGTAACTATTTACTATTAATACCTTATATGTACATGTATGTGGTATTTTCAGCTTTGTTATTTATCTCAAACTAAATCCTCATCATTAAAACATGCCACCGTTACCATTTCGTCTCTACGCCACCCTCGGCGTTCTGCATGTGGGGTTTCGGCAAGATCGACTTGCCCCGACTCGTTTCGCGCAATACACTTTTTTTTTTTAAGACGCGACCAAGACGACCGGCTCGCCGTTGGTAACGTTAATACACACTTGTCCGTTTCCGTCCGCGGTATAGGATCCGGAGCCAAAAGTGTTATTCCACGATTTGTTGGGTGCCTGTGTGTTAAAGCAGTGCTGTCCGCTTGAGCCAGATCCGCTGTTCGTCGTCAGGACAATCAGGTCACCACCGGCGCGGCCCCAGGCATAAGCAGTATCCGCAACATATAGGTGAGTCTGATCGTTACCAGCTAGACCGCCAGCCGCTTTCCTAGCGGCAGACAACTTGGAAATGGCTTTGTAGATTTCAGCATCCGTGTTGAAGTTGCTGCGCCAGAGATCTTCACGGTTGGCGGGGTCGTTGCCACCAGCGTATGCCTGCTCCGTGCCGTAGTATACAATCGGAATACCTCTAGCAAGGATGACGTAGGCGAGGGCGTTCTTGAGAAGAGCGAGGTCGTTCTTCGTGTTCAGCCACCGTGCATTGTCGTGGTTGTCAAGGAACGAGCCCAGAGCGGTGGGATCAGGGAACTTGGAGCTGATCTGGTCGTACATGTCGACAATCGCCTGGCTAGAACCCTTCTGCTGGTAAAAGTTGTTCATTGGGTAATACATAGGGTAATTCAGCAACCCGCCCATCAGACTGGCATAGCCCGAAACGTAGCTCGGGTCTCCGTCAAAGACCTCGCCGATCGTGTAGACTCCGGCAGCCTCGGAGAATCCCGGCCAGTAGTCTTTTTCGACGTGCTTCACCGTATCGATGCGAACACCATCAAAGTCATACTCCGATACGAGATATTTGATCCAATCCCGGTAGACTGACCGAACGTCGGTGTTCTGAGTGTTCAAGTCGGGCAGGTCAGCAATCCAGCAGTTCTCCACGCTATTCTGGTCAGAATAGTTAATTTCGCATTGCGAGTGATAGGAGCTGGCCTGGTTCAGTGGCTCCGGCTTGCGGTCCGCAAGGTTGGACGGGCCTACGTGGTTTGCGACCACATCGACCATGATGTAGATGCCCTACATTGACAATTTTCAAGTCAGCAGCAGTCCGAAGATAGGCGAAGGCTTTCTTGCATCAGGTCATGTTACCTTTTCATGTGCGGCGCTAACAAGAGCTTTGAGGTCGTCCGCCGTTCCGTAGTTCGTATTGATACCGTATAGATCAATCGCCCAGTATCCATGGTAACCCCCGTCGCTATCTTGATTTTGATATATTTGTTAGTTTTCTCAAAGAAACAGGGCAAGTACCTCACGACGATGAAAAGACTTACTGGTAACTACAGGTGTAATCCAAATAGCATCAAAACCCATGCCCGCAATGTAGTCGAGCTTCGATTGGAGGCCCTTGAAAGTGCCGCCGCAGTAAGCCGAAAGGTCGCCACATGCATTGCCTCCAGTGTCATCGCTGCTGCGGGCCACGCGGTCTGTGAGCGCAAAGTAGATATTCCTGCTTTTCCAAGCGCCCACGTCGGCCGAAAGGGCCACAGTGAACAGCTTGGAAAGGAGTGCGAGCGAAGTCAACGACGTACGCATGTTTGTAACGAGTTCTAGAGATTAGCGGCCCGGGGGCGAAGGTGTATAGAGAGTTTGGTGATGGCTTAGGTGAAGAAGGGGAGAGCGAAACAACAGGATCTGTTGTCACACTTATAGTGTGAGGACGGCGTGGTTCACGATTGTGAGCGCACGAGATTAAGACATCTCAGTTCAGCTCTCACTCCGTCCCCGCCTCCGATCACATTTCATAAGAGGCCGATTTCAACAATACGCGGACCGAGTCCAAGAGACTAACTAAAATAGCCGACAGAAGCTCCGTCATTAACTCCGCCATCCTTACTAGCAACTCCTATTGGATATTTTTTGATATGAGGAAGTAAGATTCATGGACAAATAGGTTGATAAGTTAGCTTAACACAATAGCACCACTAACAGTGAGCCCCATTTCCAGGTTCTTCATCCCCTGTTTCTCCTTTCCAGAAGAAACTAGGCTACCCCTTGATGCATAAAGGGGATCGTCACTCCGCAATGCGCGGCGCATTGCAATAGGCCGAGGGGGGATTCAGCGCCTGCGATTCGATTCGTCCAACCATGATTTGAACTGCGGGGACTCCACGGTTTTGAAAGTGGGAATGGCACCAACATGCATAAGCACGGCACAATCCAACTTAGAAAAGACGGCCGAGGTTTCGTTTCTATTTCCTCAAGCAGGTTTTACATTACATCACAATAACCTTTGGGCTACTTGGGTATCTAATTTGTCTCCCTACCTTAGGTAGGTACAGGTATGTTTCAACTTGGAGAGGGTCAGGTGCCAAGACCTACCCCCTGACGCATAAGTTTCTAATAGCTACCATGTAAATTAACTCTCCCCTTATTTAGAACTGTCAGCTACCTACCTACCTAACCTAGTATAAAGACGTCAACACTATACCACTAGAGTGGCCTATCACATCATGAACTAGGTATTCTAGGTCAATATAGGTACCTATTATTTGTAGTTATAAATAATTGCCTTATTTACTCGTGCCGAATATTCGGTGACATGCGGAGCGGCGCAATGCTCGGCCACTCTGTCAGTTCGAGGCATATTGGCAAATCATCGATTGGTTTTAGGCACTTAGATACCAAAAGGATAGCTATAATCCGCGAAAATATAGCTTGGAGAGCTCTCGGTGAATTATCAAATATTTACCTCTTTGCTCTTACCTACATCCTAGGTAGCTTGGCGTGGACGATGATAGCTTTCCTACCTTAGGTACCTAAAGTACCTGGTGTGTGTGACGATCACCTTCCACGATTATTGCAGCCCCGGGAAGAAAGTTTAAGATATAAAATCCCTCCAATTACAATTCCGAAACTCTGTCCACAGAAGTACCCAAGCTTGGCTTAATATACTCTTATACCTTTTAACCTCGGTCAACACGCCGCAGTATACTTGCAATTTTATGCCCCCTGACTGAGTATTTATCACCATTATAGCATTGAGTAAGTGCCAAATGTATGCATTTGACTTTCTCCTTAATATCTACGCTTATTGAAATGGCGGGCTAAGCATAAGGTTTGCTGTCTTGGCCCCAAGAAAGTATATTCCGCTGTAAGCTAACTATTACCTACCTGTTATCATGTCTTGATTACTTCTAAATAGACTCTAAGGCTGTTATTATACCATCTTTATCTATATTTACTGTTTCATTTTTATCCTTGGGTATTGTATTATCTCGTGGACTATTTCTGCTTTAGTGTCCCCGTTCGGTTAATCCCGACCTTATAGACGTATTAACACCTCGTGTGGTTGTTGTTAAATAACGATTCCTCGGGAGGCTTCGAAGACTTATTTTTTACTCTCCTCTTGTCTTAACATCGGTAATAAATCGCTTTATGAAAGTTGAATAGGCTGGCTGTCCTCGTTCTGTGCAGTATCCGGGATCCCGATATAGTATATCTTCGAGTCTATTTGCCACTCCCTACTCTACCTCTTATGCCAATTCCTCTAGATACGGAAAACTCCCGATTCGACTGCCATGCATCCTATGATGCCTCGTAGTGGAACATTACATAGACCCACCCCTTGAAAAGAGGGGGCGCATATGTCTTTATGGGACGACGTCCACCAGTTTCTTCGGGAAAAGCTAACAAGAAAGAAGCACATGCCAAATAAACCGGCTAGCCATTTAAAGCCAAGTCTGGTACATCCTCCCCCGAAAACAATATGCTTAGCCTGTTAGAGATATGTGGGAATGGAGGGATAGACTGGGTAGAGCAGGGCTCTACGGTCTAGGTATATATATAAAGGGTAACCAGCTCCATCGAGGGAGGTTAGATAAATCATGATATAGCCCCTTTTATAATTTCGAGATATACTGGTTCGCTTCTCCAGTCCCTATCCACCTAGTCGGTAACCTACCTAGGTACCTAGGTACATAAGCTTACCGGTTAAGGAGGCGTTTTCCAACTGCCTTTGAAGATAATTTTATTGCCGTGTGGAAAGACTATTAGCAGCCATATATCCATTCTCTATCTCCCGCAGGTAGCAAAAGAAATGGCCATGCTATTAAATCGTAATACGTGTCAGGATTTGATGCCTGTGATGGATATCACATACAGAGTGAGTGTCAGAGGGGCTAGTTTGCAGTATATTGTAGATGTCTTGGCCTTCTAACCTCCCTCGAGGGAGCTGGCCAGTTTTTATATAGACAATATACCCCTATAGTTCCTATCCACATATCCGCATCTCCCTGACAATACGCTATATAATTTAGGTTCTAGTTGTCATCATGGAAGTGCTGGCGTTGGAACAGGAAGATCAGGTTTGTTATATATGTGAACCGACTTTTTTTTTTTATAACTGAACAAAATCTTTTCCACTATTTCGTTCGTGACGTTTTGTCTTGAAAGTCGTGTTGAATGACTTGTCTCTAACGTCACACCAGAATGACATTTACTTCACCAAGGTAAAGAGGTTGCATGAATCCTACTGATAAGAAATATGTAACGAATGAAGACTGAATTAGAAAGGAGGCTTTCCTCAGACCAAGTAATTGCTGTGTAAGCTACCTCACATATATAGTTGCTCTCACTTGAGATTCCTATAATAAAATCAAGACGATTTAATTACGGATGTTATGTTCGAAAGAAACTTGACCCTTCTTATCAGAATGTCATTTGACTTGTATTGGCACCCCTATATTAGGTGATACTTGTTCACTCTACCTCTTATACTGATTCTTTGAGGTACCTGTTCTTGTGAATTGCGTTCTTTAGTTTTGCCGCGTTCAGCAGCCGCTTCTTACATCACCGTTGATTGGTACCGACCCTCTCCCATACAATTCCAAAAGGTTTGATACTGTAACATTTTGCCTTTTCACAACCTCACTTATTTAAACTTACTATCATTGCTATGAATTCAATCCGATCAGTACCTCCTAAAGTAATTAGACTTGGTAATTTTATAGTGTTGTAATGAATAACCAAGTAGAGGAAATCCTTAGGTGGCCTTCTTTACAGTACCTAACATATTTACCCCGTGATGCTAAATTGAGATAGGCGAATGATTGGAGAATGCAACTATGTCTGTATTCCCGGATTTCCGGCTTCCCCGCTATATACATGGTACTCTATGCACATCATGGAGGGCATATACGTAGGTACTTAATATAAAAGGAGGAGATATCCAGATCTACCTCGGCATCCTTCCATATTGAAGCTCTCCCAGTTCTTAAATTCGCAAATATCCCATTTGTTCTGAATAAGTCAAAGAAAACATGGAACTAAAGCAGCTGTTTGAAGCCTACGCCATTATCGCACTGGCAGCTATAATCGCCGGCGTCTACACGGTCTACCAATTCTTCTTTTCACCCCTTGCTAGAATTCCAGGCCCGTTCATTGCTAAAATTAGTCCCACGTACTATACATTCATCGCGAAAAGAGGGCGTATTCATCGAGACCTGGCTAACCTACACAGAAAGTATGGAAAGGCTGTCAGAATCGCTCCTAATGTGTTGTAAGTACAATCGCGAGCCGGCTTGAGTCAAAAACCCTTTCTGTTTCGACGAAGTGTGGGTGGATAGGTGAGTGTTAATTATGTTCAAATAGGAGCGTTATAGATCCAACAGCATTTAGAGAAATATATAGTACGTCCCAAATAAAGTTATCTTCATCTTAGATTATTTCTAATTGTGGCGGCAGAGGCTGGCAACAGATTCTGGAAGGCCGAGTCATACTCTGTACTCCAAGGCTCGCGGCCATTCGACCTTGCCGGCCAGAGGAATGAGAAGATTCATTCAGAACAGCGTAAACTAGTCGCACGGGCTTACTCCATGGACTCCATAACCTATCTTGAACCTCAAGTAAACTCGGTTTTGGTGTCGCTGGTAAATCGGCTAAGGGGGATTCGTGCTCAACCAATCGACTTGGGATACTGGATTCAACTGTTTGCTTTTGGTAGGCATTTAAATAAGAGACCCGCCCCCTATAGTCGATATACTGGCTAAATTGATGCAAACTTCGTTCGCACTGCTTACTTCTTGTTAGACACTATTGGAGCCATTAGCTTCTCTAAGCCGTTCGGATACGTCGAGAGTGGCGATGACGAGAGGATCTTTCTTCGACTCCGAAAGGCTTTTCGCTGCATAGGCTGGATTAAGCATTCTTCTACCCTTTTCAAAGTACACCAGAGACTAATGCCGTATATTGGGAATTGGCTGGCTAGCAATGACCGAAATACTTACTTTTTTGAGCTGGCTTCAAAAGAAATTCAGGCTCGGACGAATCGTGACGGCGACTTTAAGGATATCGTGAGCCAGCTCTTCTCGGTACAGAAGGCTAAACCGGAATTTAACGACACCAACCTTGCTTTCATGATGACAACGAATGTCTTTGCCGGATCCGATACCACGTCAACCTCACTGCGAGCGATCTTTTACCTACTACTAAAGTATCCTGAGAAGTATAACCGCCTTATGGAGGAACTAGAAAGCAAGAGGCAAGCTGGAGAGCTGAGTAACCCTGTTACTTTCAACGAAGCAGAGGCTTGGCCCTATCTTCAGGCCATCATGTATGAAGCGACACGGTTATATCCAGCAGTATGTGACCTCCTAGACCGAGATGTGCCGGAGGGCGGCATGACGATCGATAGATACTATGTACCAGGCGGAGTAAGTATTTTCATCTACTTCTACAGAGGACTTCTACGAATTAAAACCAATTTAATAGGTTGTGGTTGGAACAAGTGCGTGGGTGATTCACCGTGCACAAGAGATCTGGGGTCCCGACGCCGAAGAGTTTCGTCCAGAGAGGTGGTTGGAGAAGGAAAATGAAGGCACGATGAGTAAGTGGTTCTATTGTTTAAGATGATATAGTGAGTTAATTTTAAATCCCTAATAATCTGTCTTAAGAGCGGTTTTTCTTCTCATTTGGCGGCGGCTCTCGGACTTGTATCGGAAGACGTGAGTACAATACACCTTATTCTAGCGCTATCCGTGAACGCTGAGATCCGTTTTCAGATATAAGCTGGCTGGAAATAGGCAAGGTATGTTATCCTAAGTAGCAGTAATACCTAATATAATGATTTCGGTAGTTGATATATTCCCAGCTTGTCCCTACTCTTCTTATGTGTTTCGACATGAGGCTGGCCAACGGCGCCGAATTGAAGGAAGAGCACGGGTGAGCTTGAATGCATTTCTCGCATGTACTCTAAAGCTAACATACTTTAAAGCACCCTTCTGTTCCTCGATGGGTTAGAAGTTTATATGACGCCACGGGAAGTGTAATACACATGCATTCACGAACGAGGAAACCTTGCCCTTGAGGTAATTGGAGAGTATTGATGTATTTTGGAGCCTCTCCCCCCTTCCCTTTCAACTTGCACGTTGTTCCACGCACAGGGGAGTCGGGTATATAACAAGCAACGACCTGTCACATACTATGTTTCGGTATAGATAGGTAGCTACAAATAGGCCAAGACTTAGTCAAATATCTAGTCGATAAATACTGCTAAAGTAGCATGTGACGTAAATGACAGCTAGATATTCCAACCCCCCAGCCAATCTGTCTGCATCTCTTTCCAACCAGACATAAGAGTGAGCTCATTCGAATTCGCTTAACCAGTGTACGAGCAGACGACAGTGCTAGATCCAGAAGTAGAGCAATCAGTCAAGACTTTGCTGCTCTGCTGGATGTCGATGATAGTAGCGCCGCTAACTCCAGTGCCACCGTTGACTGAAGCACCGGTGAACTGAACAGTGCCGAAGTTCGCGAAGGGTACTAGGCCGCCGCCCGACGAGTAGTCCTCCACGATCCACTCAGCGTTGGTATTGCAGAGCTTGTCGCTCTCGCCGGAGAAGCTGTGGGTGACCTTCTTGCCGGTCGTCTTGTTCTCGATAACAGCCGTGCCGGCTGAAGTGCTAGAAGAAGTGACGGTCTGCCCACTAGTTAGGACTTTTATGTTTTTACGCCAGGATATTCGAGATACTTACGAAGGTAAGAGTGTCACCGGCGTGGATGGTAATGCCGGAGAAATCGTAAGCCTATGATATCTAGTCAGTGCGCAGTTTACCAAATATAAGATTGGTGCAAGAAATTTATGGAATTGCTCAAGGGTGTGGGTAGGGCTGAACAGGGGCCGGGAATTAAAATCTCACTTACATAGTCGGGGTACCATTCATACCAGGCATCAAATGATACCGATGATCCCTTAACGGTAAAGTCGACACCAGTCTGCAGAATTGCGGTATCGCAAGTGTCACCGTCAATACCGACCCAAGCGGATGCCGAGTAGGTTTGCGAGCTGCTACCACCCGAGGGAGTCTTGGGAGTGGGAACAACAATGGTACCGGTTACGGTCTTGTAGCCACTGCCGATGAGGACGGCACCAGCCCAGTTAGAGCTGTACTCGACATGAGCAGTGTCGTTCTTGGAGGCGATCGCAAATTCGCTATCAGCGGGCTGGAGGGTATTCGAAGTACGAGAAACCCTCCTCTCAGCAAGACGCTCGGCCGCCCTTTGGCGACGCGCAGCAGTACCGGGAGCAGCAAACGCCAAGTTGGCGTATAGGAGAGCGGCGACAACAGGGAGCTGCATCTTGAAGTGGGTAAGAGGATTATCAAGAATGAACAACAAGTAGCGAATATGCTAAAGCGAGTAGATCCTGGAATGTGGAGGGAGCTATGGCGGCTTGTTTTCAGAAATGATTGACAGAAACAAGGAGGTTAAGTAGTATTATATAGACTAGAGTTTGACACTCAAGGCCTCTTCTCACGCAGTTCGATGCGAGATAAACAAAGCTAAGAAGTGTATAGGCCAATGGCGAACGCGGTGCAAGATTTACTCAAGGCATCATCACCCCCCCAGCTATTGCAGAATGTGATGTGTCCCAGATGTCGTCGTGACATGAAAGATAAAAAAGCCACCTTCCCGATATACTTAGGGGGGCGTCTCAGCTGCCCAAGGCCTCGTCGTACAGACATGCCATTAGAGATGGCATCATCTGCCATATGGAACTTAGCAGGCATTTGGGCTTCCATCTTGATCTAGGAATACATTTGTATAGGTGTGCGGCACCTAGTCAACAGTCATGCAAATTCCAGCGGCTTGTCGCTCTGTAGGTTTACCATGTTGATCTATCCCGATTGCGACTAAGTCGGATAAAGCTAGTCCGGGTAAAGGATGCCACTCCGAATGGGTTGGAACGCGGGTATTGGGAGGCATACGCATACCTTGGCGATAGAGGAAGGTAGCATTGCCCAGCCGGCTCCTCAAAAGCTGGACGAAATCGACATGTAAGTCGGTGAATGGGTTTAGGTGGAAGACAAGCAGGAAAAGCAGGTATGGTTGTCGAGAAAAATTATTCCCTAGGAGATAAATCGAGTGGAATAGCCGTGATAAGGAAAGAAAGCGACAAGAATGTGGAGGGGAACAAGGGTCTTGATCCAATGAGGGAGGGGATGGGGGCGTAGTGTATGGCGCAAGACAGATAAGGAAGAATGGAGTTGTCCGGGTCAAACGGGTTTTGGAGCACTATTCTTCCAAAGGTACAGCGTGATTTTCACGACAACCTCGAGGGGATGTTTGTAGAATATATCAAGACTATTAAAGTCTATTGAGCCTCAAAATCTCAGCTCCATCACTTAAGGATATCGACGTCGAAATAAGCTTTGATTTGCTGTACCGCCACGCGGTTAAGGGATGATTTACAGATGGCGCCGAGGCATGGCGAAGCTTGGCAAGAGAGACCATACTTTTTTTTTGTCCTTCAGCTATCGTCTTTCTTTCGACTACCTAGGTTAGGTAGGAGGTAGGTATAACACCTAGGAAAGTAACATGTAACGTATTGTACATATGAGATATATGATTTACCTGCACCGAATACCCCATACTACGTATTCCTCTAATCTCTTTCCTGAATGGTTGGAATGATATCAAAGTTGTTCTGATCTGATAGATACCTCACTATTGCCTTGGCCACATGTAAGACCAATCATTCGGACCGAATATAGTTGTCTCATTTCAACCTAATCGTCTTTAGGACGGCATTCGATGTAGAGATACCACTACACATATAACTTATTGATTATACTAGAGTTAATACTTAGTCAAACTACATAATCATCTCTAGTTATGATGTTATACAGCGGATAGGTATACTCTAAAAAAGGGATTAAATTAAAAGAGTGTTGACTTATGCAAAGGAAGATTCGAGAACCAAAATGAGATATCAACAGTTACCTAGATTATCGATGAAAGGTAATCAGACATGTTACACAAGTATTAGGTTAAGTACCTACTCATTCCAGTGTCAAGAAATCCAAGTTGAAGCTACCTATATTACAGTAATCCTGTCTCAGATAGTGTATGTTTTGGAAACCCTGGAATAATGATGATAATAACTTCCCGCTTCTTGGCAGTATCTTACTTAGACCCAGTCTCAAGTAAGACGATTTGGGTTACATTCAATTCTTCTTAAAGCCTACCCCACGGGTACCTACCTACCGAACCTAAGATACTAGACTAGAAACTAGAAACGAGAAGTGGATAACCTCGTCCTTGGAAACTATCAGGAAACTATTAGGTCACACTATCTAGGACTTGAAAGTATAAATTACGTATTGTTAATTGAGCATTTGAGTCTAGTATCGGCAACTACGAAGTGCTTAAGCTCAGTTGTTACGATAACGCGGTCACGGAGTTCCCACCCTATTCAGTCTTAATCCCGAAGAAACCTCTTGCGCAGTTAGGTTAAAGGCTCTAACAAGCCTCCAATTGCTATCCACCAGATTAACCACCTTCTTTAATCTTTATCGCCTGCCGCCAAAACCTTGTCGTTTCGTATGTTCGTGAACCTTACCAAAGTCGATTGCAGTCTCGCTAGATCCGAAAACTAGGAAAAAACGCGTAAGCCATCTCGGAAATAACCTGATATCAGGCCACTTACGAGCTTCCATTTCTTCCAAAGACCTTCCTTTAGTCTTTTACATCCCGTCAGCAAGAAACTTCTCTGTATCAGGTCACCCATGCGATATCTTACCTCTTTAACGAAAAACCACGTATATACAACTAAGGCCCAGTTGAATATACAGAACATCAGAAAAGTCCTCCAACCAATATTGTTTATGGCGTGTGGGGTGACTTGAGAGAAGACAAAGTTGAACAACCATTGTGTAGCCGTGCCAACTAGCAAAATGTCAATTACCCTGAGAATAACATTGGCAATGGAGAGATGGGTAAAAGCTACCTGCTGCTCCGGATTCTCGTATCCTCGACGGGAATATTTCACTCATATAAAGCTATATGAAATTTAAAGTTAGTCTACCACAGAAGACAAGACGGACAGCAATGAGGTAACTTACCCACGGAACAGGTCCCCAAGATATGTTATAACTCACTATTCAAGGGAAAAGCATTAACACACGGCGCAAGGGGAAACCGCGGGTATCAGTGAAGGCTACTTACTCGCTTCAAGATAAACCATGGCTACTGCTGCAGCGCCAGTGCTAGTCAGGGATTGCCCAGCAACAGGCGGGTGAGTAGCCGTTAAGCAAGCAATAATGAGCATATAAGCACCCATCAGGAACGCTCCACCAAGAAGGGACCCGCGACGGCCGATCCTTTCTACGAGGAATAGGAGAAAGAATAGGCACGAGACAACTTTGACTACACCAAAGAAGCCACTAATCAGGAGACTCTGGTCGCCGGCACCAACCGCTTTGAATATTTGCGGAGCATCTTCCACGGGTTAGCTTATACTTATCCCGCATCGAAGAGAGTCATATCTATCAACTTACAGTAAGCCAAACTAGTATTGCCGGTGAGTTGCACGCCTATCTGAAGTGTGATAACGATGAAGAAACGAAAGCGATTCACTGGTAGGAGGCATTCCTTCCACATGAGTCCCTCAGTAACATGCTCTTCTCTGATACCTGCGAGGATTTCTGCGAATCTGCCACTGATCGTTAGAGGTACCTAGAAAATGCCGAGTTAAATTTTCATCATACTCTTCTTGTACTTGAATACTATCACCACCGCGAACTCATATAAGTGACTGAATTGCCTCTTCTGTACGACCTGATTTTGCAAGCCATCGGGTACTCTCTTTCGTAAGTAGCATCCCTAGTCCTAATATTCCACCTGGAACGAGCTATTGATATGCTTATGTCAGTACGACAAATGGGTAGAGAAAATCAACGAGGAACCGGATACTAACCTGGAGACCAATGGGAATCTGCCACTGCTGTGTTGTCGGGCCCAAGTGTTGTGACACGCCATAGTCGACCCAATACGATGTCATTACACTGAGGGTAAAGAAAAATTGGAACATGCTTCCCAACTGACCCCTGATGTGTTTTGGTGCCATCTCCGCGCTATACACTACGACATAAAAGTCAGAAATAGGCTCCTAAATATTTAATAGGTACCTACCTAGGTAAGATATCTAAGGCTATGAGTCTACTAGGTACCTAGGTAGGTATGGAGCTCCGTAACCGAAAGACAGAAGGAAATGTGTCTACCTATTACTCACTAGGAATTATGACAGTAGCCATCCCGACACCTATTCCCGAAATAACGCGGGCAACGTAGAAAGCGACTAGGGAATGGGTGTTAATCACTTGGATGACACCTCCAACGCTGAAGATGAGCGAGGCCAGCGCAATCGACCATCGACGTCCAAATCGTGCGGTGAACGGCCAGACGAAGAAACAGGAGAAGAAGGCTAGTTAGTTGAGGATCAGTCATATCTTTTCACTTTAACAATGCAGGCCTGGCTCATATCGACACACCTCCAGCTTGTAGAAGACTTGTTGCATTGGAGCCAACGCTTGATTGGTTGGACTTGGTGATGCGGAAATCATTTTGGAAGGACGGCAACGTGAGAACACCCCCAACGACGTCCGTATCGTATCTATATATCCAAGGTAAGACGTCGTCTGCTGAACGAAGAGATGGGGAATGCCGAATGTTGCAACTTGCGAGGTGGTGTTTTCATGTGTGCAGAATACCTCTTAGTGAAGACCGAATGGGTATTTGACTTCTAGAAGAGAAGAACATACGCGAACAAGAAGCTGCCAGTGCAGCATAGAGCTACTAGATACCAGGCCCTAAAAGTGCCCAACTTCTCCCCCATGATTTTAATCCTTTCGATGTGGAACTTCTAGAAATACTCCTCAAAAGAGTTGGTACTTCCTCATATAACGGCGAATTATGGGATAGGTATTAACAGCGCCCCAATGTTGGCATGAAGTTGGCTGACGGCTTCAAGCACGATACCAGACAGATGCAATGCTTACAAGAGCTTGGGCATCAACCAAATAATAACAGAGAAAGCATACGACGTCCTGATACGCATATTTTATATACCAGCTTAGCCAACACCCCGTATGTTTCTTATATAATGTAACAACTAATGTTCAGAGTAGATAGCTATCAAGACCAGAGCGGTCGCTAGTAAGTTACTGAATCTAGATCCATGCCATGTCATCCAGATTTGGCGACGTTCGTAGGTATGCAGGTAGGTAAGTAAGTTCTGCGCGATAGAAATAATCGCCAGTAAGCCTTTCGCTTGTAATATCTCGGCTACGCTACTAAATCTATCGTATGTACGAGCTCATCGCGTTTCTTGTTGTCATTTGCGCTAAGGATTGCGAGCTCGAACCCCTGTGCCCTCGACCAATTGCGTGTCTGAGTTTCGCTCGCTTGGCACGACGGGATGCGCAAATAGCACGATCTTACAGGGCTGATCATAAACGTAGAGTTTCGTACGGCCAGGGGAGCAAATAGAAGGTTATTTCATGTTCTTATATTGTTGTACAACGTCGCCTCTTGAATTGTCCTAAAGATTCGGGTTGAAAGCGTTTTATAATAGTACGAAGCCGGAGAGGATACACGCTAGGTCGAGCGAAGCCGTCTAAGTTAGATATATTAGGGGCAGCTAGCTAATACTTCCACAGTATTTCCTATTGGATATCCCCGCAAGGAATCTTCGATCCCCGCGCAAGAAACCCTGAGGTATCATCTTATTTAATTTGATGGGGACCCCCGACTTGGCCCATCGTGTGGTTGCAGCAGAGTGGGAATGCATTGCGTCTTGCTTACGGTACTCGGCTTTGTCGGTCTGTCTTACTGGTGATTGGGTACGTTAACCTTCACGGGCCCCTTGGATTCGAGGAACACTTGATGCCAAAAAGACCGACCGTCATTTTTTTTTCTTTTTGAAAAAAGGGGGGCGTTGCTAACGGTTACCCCATAAGCTATATTAGATGGTATCCAATGACCGAGTATAGAAAGAAAAGCCTTGGCTGCAAGATCCGTTGCCACCAATGACCGAGGCTCTGCGGCCTCTGCGACCTTTACAGGCACAGATTTCTGGCGATTCTAGCAATCCTCGGAGTCCGCAGCAAGCCGGGTCAGCCCCAGCACTTACACCCGTATCTATACCTGATCCGTTGACGAGACGGGTAATTTGTTCCCAATGCAGGATAAGAAAGGTAAGCAATAATTCATTCGTATGGTACCAGGTATCTAATAGTACAATCTATATATATATATAAAGAGATCGAAGGAGTAGGGATATTTAAATATGCAAATATATTGATTTAGGTTGCTTAGGTGCGATGCGATGGCAGGCCAGACATCTGTCAGAACTGTGATCGGCTTGGCTTCGAGTGCTCGTTTCAGCAAGCGCCCGGCAAGTCGCCCGGCCAGTATTTTGTGAAGCTACCGGAGAGGCGGCGGCGTATGCAAGCGTGCATCCCGTGCCACTCCAAGAAAACCCGGTGTCTCGGTGAGCTACCGAGCTGCTCTAGCTGCGTCCGCAGAAATCGGGTTTGCACCTACCCCCGCACCAGGAGAAACGGGACTTCGGCTCATGGCCACGATGTTGTGGAGGGCTCCAGGGTCGACGGTAAACAGGCGAATACATCGCCCGGTCAAGATATTGGGATGGTAGGCCAGGCGGAAGGGTCCGCCATAGATCATGAGACGACGCTGAGCTTGCTGGAAGATTACTTCCAGCACCTCTATCCACTACCGTCATTCGCTTTCTTCCACAAGGCGACAGTTATACAGAGGTGCAAAGACCAGACCATGAACGAAACTCTTAAGCTGTCAATATGCGCCATTACGGCGTTGCAGCTACAGCGCACATCGCTCTGTCATGACCTTTGGATCCAACAGGCCGAGCAGTCGATCCTGCAACAAATAGGACGAGCCTCTATATTCCATCTTCAAGCACTTCTCCTTGTAATTCGGTATAAGATAGAAAGCGGGGAGTTCCCAACAGCGTTTATGTTAGCCGCGCTGGCAGCTCGCACGGCGCTGGCCTTGCGTCTAAATTACGAGCGCCCCGAGCTGTCCGACGTTGCCCAGGAAGTTCGCAGACGGCTTTTCTGGGCGCTGTATCTGCTCGACGATTTCTTCTGCGTAGGGCTTAGGGAATTCGAATTATGTCCCGAAGAGACAATTCACCTCCAACTACCCTGCGACGAGGACTACTTCGAAATGGGCCGGTTCGTACATACCGGCTTGCTCCGACCCGGGCCCTCGGAGGTCTTGACAACGGTCGGTTTGCGCGGCGTATATCTCCGTTTGACGTCCGTTCGACGGGCAGTTATGAGGTAAATTTCGCACATTCCAAGTTGATCCTCAAGTTCTACGTGCCATGTCTTCCTTCTAAATCCCCCCCCCCCCCTTAATGTGTCTCGAGCTTACACAGTACTGTTAAGGTTTAACCGACGAGTCGGTCTAGGCGAGGAATTATCCTCTACAATAGGCGGAAGCATCCGACACTTCGAAGAAGAACTACGGTCTCTCCAAGTGTCTCTCCGGCCAGCCGACCAATACTCGGTATCCAATATGCAATCCAGCAAATGGCCAGCGCAGTTCGTCATGCTGCACATGTCCTGGCACCAATGCCATTGCGACCTATACCGCCTCGGCCTAGACGGCTATAGCGAGGCTGCTCCGTCGCCCGTCCTCGCGGCGCTGCACCCGCGCGACCGCGTGGCCATGCAGTTCAAGTGCCTGGAGCACGCCGAGAGCATCATCCGCATCGTCTCCGACTTCTCCAACTACGAGGACGCGAGAGAATGCCTCCTCGAGCGCGACGCCGCCGTCTGCGCCTTCGAAAGCGCCCGCCTGGTCATGTTCGGCTCCCGCATACAAGGCGCCGTGTCAACCCTCGACGTCGCGATAAATAAGGCAAAACTATCTCTTGGCCTTATCACGCGGTTCTTCCCCCATTCTGCGTCAACGCAGCCGCTAGTATGTTAATCTTACCATTCATTTCCTGCCACCACCCCCTTAACCAAATTTCTTCCCGGTTGCCGTAGCTTAAAATATCTCGTAGCGAAAGGACTTGGAGCGGCTAATAGCCAGCTACTCGGTGCGTCTCGCCCTCCAAACGCAAGAAACCTTCACCGAGCCCGAGCAGCCGCCTTCCACCCGCCTGTCCACCAAGGTCTCCCAGTACGCGAGTTCGCGCCAGCGGCTCTCCGTCCAAAGCCTCCTGCTGCAATCGGATTTCGTCGACGACAGCCACGAGATCGCGGGCCCGACGCCTCCCGCCGACACATACACGCACGCCCTGCCTGACTTGCTGCAACCTTCCGCCCAGTCGCCTTCACCGCACGGATACGGCCCCAGCAGCGACAGGACGAGCGCAGCCGCGTCCAAACCCCAGCAGTGGAGCCCCGCGGGGAACGGCCAGCTGCCGTCTCCGGGCCTGTCTCTCGACGCGGGGCAGGAAGACGCGGGGCTTATCTTCAACCCGTGGATGGGGTTCACCGGCACAGAGGATATGTCGGGTCGGACGCCGGTGCTTGACCACGAATTTTAGTTAGGAGGCGCGCACGCATTGATTTCGGCGATGACGAGTGGCAGCAATATATTGACGGGCACAGAATGAGACGGTATCCTCAGATCACTGCGAGAGCTGGAGGGGCAGGGGATCTAGTATTAGGTCTCGTCCGAGAACGACAGTATGGTACATCTTCCCTTGGGCAAGATTTACGCATATCAAGGACAACAACAATAATAATACAAAGTTACTGTCATCCTTACCTTAGGTAGATACCTAAGTTATCAAGAATCAGTAAAGAGCTATATATAAAGTATAGTTTTTGACTATGCTAAATCTAGTATATCGACTATATAATATGGTATATAAGTCCCAGGCCCTCTCCTAGGTCTGTCGTGCAGAAATCTCGGGGAATAGTGTCATGGTCGCCGCAATAATGCTATGGAATTCTTATTGTTTAATAAGGGTTAGTTACCTTGCTTGCCTCGCCTAATAGTTTAGAGCTCATATTCTCGAGAATGCAATTGCCGGTCCTTTCTTCCAAATCTCCAAACTTAAATTACCTACCTACCTAGGTAGGTAGTAGGTATTTCGTTGCTGAATGAACCCGTAACCAAAGACCAGATTTCGCGTATTAGTGTAGTTCATCTTTATTCAATAATCTCGTTTTAGTCGAGAACGACACGTCTTTTTAGTTTAGACATTTGGACTTATGAACGATCGAAATTAGAATATTAAGAATCACTCATGAACGTTATTACGAAGACTTACGTATGTGGTTTTGGCCGACTGCGATGCATCCTCGTCCGTATGACTATCGACATCAGCATCCGAAGTATGCAAATCGCTAGTCTCCATTTCGGCGTCGTGATGAGGATTATGTTGTGGTGAAGTCATGGAAGCTGTTTCTCCAGAGGCTAAATCAGAGGCTTCGCCGTCGCGGCATGTCGTGAACATTGACGAAGGCGCAGTCCTTCTCAAGCTCGACACATTGGTGTTCCTGGCTCCGGTGGGCGTTAATGGTTGAGAGAAATCGAAAGAATCGGCATCCGAAGTGGAAGATAAGACAGGGCTGGTTTTAGGCCCCGTCTGAAATACATGGCTTCTTGGGAACCGCTTAAGCCTCATCTTTGATTTCGGGCTTGTATGGCGCATCGCCATCTCAAGACGTTCCTCCTCATCTGTGTCATCGTCTGTTATTCTTCTGTACGGGTTCTCATTCGCAAGGACTTGGTGGGATGGATTCATTAAATTGCTTCCACTTGAGCGCCGTCGGCGGTGCTTGAGCCTCTCCTTCGCAGAAGGGGATCCAGCTTGGGTTGAATCAGGTGTCAAAAGCTCAAATTCTTCCCCGCGCAAATTCACTAGCAATCCGGTTGCCATTCTTCGCAAGTCGGCTTGGCTCTTACTGAATACAACACGAGCTCGCAATGCGTGAACCGCACGATCCAAAGCCAGTTCAATTGCGCACCGGTCTCGGATGCGAGCCAACTTCGGCCAGGTTGCACGCTCTCCTAATAAGCACGATCGTTGCATAAAGTCGGTCGTCGGATTTTTCAGCACCTTAGGCAAGTCCCAAATACCCACGGCTGGGAGAATATTGATATCACCTGAATACTTCTGGCTTAAAATAGACCGTAGCTTACTGACGAGTGTTGGGAAAATACCGATTTCAGCCATAAACTGCATTCGATGTATGGCTTCGCTTTTGGCCAGGGTAGTAATCGTGTGCATCCAATCCGACTCCTCCCTGAGGACTGTCTCGTGATGTGCACTGGCGGGCCCCTCCTCCTTGGCAAGAAAGGGAACGACATGTGGATTGACCTGAGATACGATAAAATGGTTGACGTTGAACATTTCGGCAAGTCTTGTCATGGGAAGGTCATTATCGACGGATCCATCAATCCACATCTGCGGAGTGGGATTCCATGCGCAGTGCTCGCCAGTCAGGGGATTCTTCACCAGTAACGGCGCAGCGCTGAAAACAAGTGGTACTGAGCAGGATGCTGCGACGGCAGACCATAGCATAACGTTAGGTGCTGTGACATAGTTCAGTAATCGCGGCAGCTCATATATAGATGCTGACGAGACACAAATATTGCATATCCTCCTAGTACGATTATATGCTTCCTGGAATGTAATGTCGCCAAGCAAGTTACGCATTACACGCGTGAGATGCTTAATGTCGGACCAATTTCCCTCAGTGAGTAATCTCCTTAAATGGCCAAATAGACCTTCTTCGTTACCCTCCTCCTCGAATACAGCTAGATCGCCATAGGGAAATTCCTCTAGTAATTGGGGCATCTCGTCGTCTGTTCTCGAGCAGACCACAGAGCAGACGATCGAGCCAGCTGATGCACCTGAAATAATGCGCGGTAGTAGTTTTGCCTCGAATATGGCTTTCAAGACCCCAATATGGGTCATACCGAAGGTACCGCCGCCGCTGAGGAGGAGAGCACTCCGTCCAAAGCTCTGGCGAGCGTAAAGCACCGCGTCTAGCAAGTCTTTAGGACCTGGATCATCAACTCGGCGACGAGAACTCTGCTCTACCAAAGCTGTGATGGTCTGTAAGGCAGAATCGACGTATCGTGAAACAAGCTTTTTGGTACCGCAATAGGAGTGGCGGTACAGGTCGATATTGCCCATACCGCCAAGGTCGCGTGAGAGGGACGTTCTGATGATATGCATCATGGATCGTATATCACAGTTGGTACGAGCATCATCGAGCTCTTGTAAGCGTATTTCTAGAAGTCCGGGGTTATAGTCCCCAGTAGACATATCGGCCTTCCATGCTTCATTACCTTCGAGGACATCTAATTCTTGTGCTGCCGCCTCCCACTCTGCATAAGATTCAGCACTCTGCAATCGCGCCGATAGAATTTGTTTGCGCTCCTCCACTCGTTTCCATTCCGCCCTCTCTTTGGGTGTCAAGCCGTCTTTCAGCTGCAAGAGACCGTGTATGGCCTTATATAAGGGGGTCGTATTATATGAAAACCCGCCTATCTGTCCCTTACCCTTCCGCGGGGTTTTAACGTTGGAGGGTTGAAGAGAGGGGACGGGTGGTTTAATGTCTGCGAGGTGTTCCATGATGTAGGCAGAAAAGGCGGCAGTGTCGTTTCGATGTGAGTGCCAGGAGGGCGTTGCATTTTAGTTTGTCCCATATATACCCAAGTGTGTAAGTCCGTGATAGGTACTGGTTAATTGGTAGGAATTAGTCGGCACCCGGAGAATCTAGCTAACCGTCGGCATTGGCTGGGCGTCCAGGTGCCCAGGTGGTTTATTGGTATAGGTCGGATGTCGGATTGGAGAAATAGTACATAACGAAGGTGATCAGGGCACGATGCCTAGAATATTATATATTAAAATGGAAGTCAAGTGTTGAATGAATGCTATGGTACAACTGATACAATAGGAAAGAGGTAACCAAGGGTGTTATATTTTTGAGCTATGGGCTATGGGAAGGAAAGTGAGTATGTGTAATCCGTATGTGAGACAAGACAAGACGAGACAGGACGAGACAAGAGAAGAATCTACCTAAGGCAAGGAAAAAGATGTCAGAAACTCCGGAACTATGTGGGACTCTAACCATGTGAGCAAGAATTATTCAGATCAGGTGGGTCATAAAACAAGGGGGCATGACTCTAAATAATAGAATTTCCCCATTGACCATGCTGAATCTATGCACATTGTACTACCACGCACTACAGATTAGCATCACAAAAAGATTGTGGGGTACATGAGGGGGACAAGAATACGGGGAAGCGCTTACCGTACTACTACCTGTACTAGTACCGAATGTATTATGGGGTTTTGTTGGGGGGCGGGGAGGCGGGGGCATTTGACACGGTTGCAGCAGTATAATTACATAATTACAGGCCTATCGTGGCCAGTAGCCAGTAACCAGTAGCCGTAATCTCATAATCTTTTCCATTCGACTTTTACTTATGCATGCGTTGTAAATATATAATAGTATTCGAAGCCCTGTATTTTTTATGACATAGGTACTTACGTTAGAACAGTAATACAGTAATATCGTCTGATACCATATTGTGTGTAATATCCAATGGCCTGGTGGCCGTAATTACCGTTGGTGATAATGACTATCGGTGGTGGCGATATTTTAAAAGCTTAGGTACTCTTTCCCTGAATCGTTAGTCTATTCAGAATGGATTACATACCTACCTAGGTGTGGTTGCTTAGATATCCTCATTAGGTACGTACAATATAGATAGTATAGCCACCCTAGGAGTATTAATGTGCATGCAATCAGCCAACCATATAGAGGACAGCTATCTCAGCCGTGCATAGACGAAATTATGTTCACGCCCTACAAGTCTTGTAGACACCATGCCAAATACCCACCCCTCCAGCCCCATATTGTAGTACTACATACATAAGAAGTGACGTACCAAGAACTTCCCAGGTAATTTAAATGACTACCCTACCTACACCGTACCTAGGTAGGTAGGTTACAGATTTACACAACTAGGAGCAAAATACCTAGGTAATATTTGGTACTTGAAATAATGATCTTATCTGTATCCTGGTAAGTAACAGGTGCTTCTTTTAGGATTACTATCAAGACCTTAGGAGAGATAACAGATCCGTGTCATATTCCCGGCATCCGACAGTTGTCAGCTCTTCACCAGTCCAGCTGAAAAAGAGTAAACCGCCTCCCTAAGCTCCTGTGAGACACCATGTTCTATCCAGAAATGCCCGGCAGTTAAGACCTCTACGTAGCGGAACCGAGATCCTTCGACGTTGCTTAGCTTCGTAGCCCAATCACGCATTTTCCTGATAGATAGAAAACTATCATGATCCCCGTATATAACAAGAGTAGGGTTTGCAGTCAGTTTCGCCTCAGTCTCAACCTCACTCTCTTCCCTCTTCGTATAGTCTTCGAGATTTTTGGTACGTCCGTCTTTCCTCTTTTTGGGCCAGAGATTTGAAAAGGACATAGTCGCCAAGTTCGTGACGAAGCCCAGAGGAGGTGACACTAACAGATAAGCCGGACGGAATCTGATCAAGTTGTCGACATTCTCTAAACATGGAACTTCAATATTCCTTTCTGTCCCCCGATCGGCTGATGGTGAGTGATGTCTCCGATGTATGAACTTACTCCGAGACAATATGTCTTTGACGCCTCTCCGTATCTTCTCTTCTGGGTCTGGAGAGTGTGCTCTATGTTTCCCGCGAGATCTTGGCGATAAATCCTCATCACCACCGAAACGCATGCCTAGAGACTTTCTCGGCGAGGCGGGATCGGCAGACATGGTGCTCTGTTCTTCAGCTAGATGTTGTGCCCGTAGTCGAATGTCTGCGAATGCGGTATGGGTGGCAGGCGAGGCGAAGTGTGACAGAAAGGAGTCAATAGGGGGGAGTTGGAGCGTCACCATGGCGCCGTAAGAGTATCCAGCAAATAGCAGAATTGGGGGTGAATTATTGTCTTCTTCGATAGAGCGGGCATGGTTCTGGGGCGCAGTCAAGTAGTGCATATAATAAACGAGAAAACCGGTGACCGACATGTAGTCGGCTCGTTCAGGCTTGGACGTCCACGACGTGCGACCGCTGGAGGAGGAAGCGCCCCTATTTATTTTATTTTGTAACTTTTCTTTAGCACAATGATCAGTGTTGGAGTTACACGTTTAACACCTCTCTCACAATATGAAGTGAAAACAAAACTAACCTAAAATTGAATGTCGCGACAACGAAACCAAGGTCAAGCAATGTACTAGCCACGAGATGTACAACAGGATCATCGTAGGATCCTCCCAACGGCGCGTACGGGTGGGCTACCACCGCAGCATGTCTAGGCCATGACGGATCAGAGGATGATGAATAAGGCGGGATTGAGGGGTTCGAGGGGTTCGAGTGATACGGCTGGTAGATGCGACAGTCGAGCTTCGTATTATCGTGGATACTAGGGAGCGTGAAGCTCAAGCTCGGTTGCGGTGGCATCGTCTAGTCTCCTCGGACGTATAACAAGACAATACATCATGTTGGACTCATAAAAGAGCCAGCTGACGAGAATTTGGGACAATTATAATGATGAATCCAGATGCTTTTATTAGAAGCGCATTTGTTATTAGTTTAGGTAGGTTAGGTACCTATACGTGTAACAACTATTCAGTTATCTTGCACATAGATAAGGTAAGGTTAAGGATAGCTTCGTTACGCGAATAAGGTTTTGTTACACAGTACAATACCCTAGGTACCTACAGAGGTACCTAAGGTGGTCTTCGATGACGTTGCCCTGAAAGCTTGGCATCACTTCGAGGTTAGCTCCCGGTTGGACCCCACATCGCCTAGACCGTTCCACAATTCAACTCGACATGTGCATGTGCATGTGCATCTTCATCTTCATGTACCGCGGCGCCTACATCTATGGGATATGGGACGGGGCTAAAGGGGAGATGCGAATTTTATTATACGGATTTTGAAAAACGTTGATTACATATCAGGAACGTATACAGAATAAGTAGTAGAGAAATAATGAAAAACAGATAAAATAACTTCTTTTCACAGGTAATCAGGTAATCACTTGCATAACAAATATCTCGGTACAACACGCATAACACAGGCAGGGTTCGTTCTTCTCTAATGAAAACAGTATTGCTGCTCTCTTGTATAGGTAAATTGTGCAAAGCAGCTAGATCTGCCTCGTAGTGCAAGCGTCAGTTGGTATCTCAACAGGTACACATGCAAATTCCCCCGTTAGGTGACTTGGAGTATTTCTTCACACCATACACATAATACACATAATGCGCCCTGCCAAACCCAACTCCTATCCAACCAATGTTACCGCGTGTCGTGTCCGAGTTATGCTTATGAGTGATATTCTTTGTATGATCCAGCGTGGTCCAGCTGATCCTCCTAAGATCCCGCAATCCCTAACCCTACCCTAGAGCCGAGTCTCTCCGTTCTACCTCCGTCTCGTTCGCGATCAACCGTCGCTCTCATTCGTCGACCTTCCATTAATCCTCTCAGCCCACGTTTCTGCAGCCCGATCACACTGCTCAACTCCCCACTCCATACTTCCCTGACAGCTCCACGCTCGCTATCGCCAAGCTCACTACTCCACTCACTACCCGATACACTTGTTGTTGCGCTTAGTTCTTCGGGATCCAACCTAGCGCCGGATACGCTAGTATTAATCCGGAGGCTTGAAAGTCCACCCGCTGCTTCGTCTGTGTTTGACTGTGATATGGACATTGACCGATCATGGTAGGGGCTAATAGTACCACCACCCAGTGAGGACTCGAGACCCATGTAGAAATTAGGATTCATGCTACCATCAATCCCGCGACCGCCACCAGCTGCCATAGCCGTAGCATTGAACACGGCGGCGGCGTTACGCGAGTCCAGGCGGGCATGGAGTCGTTCGACTACAGCTTCCAACAACCCATCTATCTTATAAGGTCGAGCAATCTGTAGCAGCGAGCAGAGAATCTGAGGAGTGCAAAGAGGTGATGATGGGGGAGGTAATGACGAGGTGTAGAGGAAGTGCAGAAGTGCCTGAACGGTCGGGCAAGTATGCGGAAGGTAGAGGCATCTCGGACGAGAACTAGGAGGTAGTGATGCAGGAGTTGGTGCCGAATTAACATGGCCAGGATCCCCCGAACCACTACCGCCTGCCGCACCAGATGAGTTAGGTTTGAAGGACCCGGGAGAAGAATTGTTGAGTGTAGTAGCCATTGACATGTTGCTATCACCGCCGGTGCTCCTGGTAGATTGAGTAATAGTCAGGACAGAATTGCGCGCGCCCGCTTGTCCGGACACGCCCGTCCGTAAGGTTGCTGAATCGCTGCCATCTTGAGTAGCGGCACCTTCGCGTAGTAACTGTACGAAATATGGTCCCCATCTCCGTGCAACAATGCGAGAATTGATAGGTATCCGCTCGCCATGGAAGCACAGTATGTCCATATCCGCCAGCTCTCGTAACATCAAGGCCTTCTCTCCCAATTCTTCAGCCGCTCGCATATGTGATCTCCCCCCGCCGGTCCAGCCAGCTTTCCTGGCAATACTGAGATCAGGGGCCGTAAAAGGACTGCTAGCGGATATAAATCCCGACAGAGGAGATATCTTACGGGGATTGTCGTAGAAGCCAAAGGCTTCCAATTCAACCATGCAGACATTGGAGAAATTGATACGACGGTGGTTATAGTCGTCGACCAAGCTCCGCTTACGATTACCCAAAATCACAAATATGTTTCGCCTATTCCAAAGAACGCCTCGGTTCCAACTACCCTGGCTGAAGACACTGCCACCTGTATCAATACGTACCCAAGTCAAATTTCGGAGATCCAAAGCCCATAAAGCATATTCCTGCTTAGAGCTTGTGAGATAGGTACCACTAACAACAAAGTACGTATCAATAACGCCACCGTTTGGAAATCGTAATCCAGGCGGGGAGTAAGTTCCCGACATAGGTTTTTCAGCGAGAGACCCATCCGGACCCCGGATCTGAAGTTCCAGTTTCACATCTAGAAAATTGTAGTTCGAGTAGATGAGCATCGATGAACCCGGTTCCTTGGCTTCTTGGCTAATCACGCTGTCCTGGCGTGAAGTTTTGCCTATTTTGGCGGTGACATTAGGTGGTAGGGGAGCAACCACACTGCGATAGGCACCGCAGGATTTTCCAAGCGGTTGCGTCGAAGTCCATTTCAGGCTTCGGAGATTGAACACGCTAATCTGTTCAATGTAATGGTTCGCTCCATCCTGACCACCAACTACAACCATCTCTGCTCCTCCGGCACCGTCAATGCTGATGCCGATTCTGCCTTCGTTCGGGTTTCCATTTGAAGGATTATGTTGCAAAGCAGACAGAGGGGCCTTATGCGACGCAAATGTCGCAGAAGAGGGTAGAATGCACGCACAATGGGCATAACGGCCTTGCGGAGCATCCTGCGAGGGAACGTAAGTCCACTTCCTCGTAGTAACATCGTAAATGTATATATCAGACATCACAGTCACTTCAGGTTGCTGATCCGGAGCTGCCGACGCAGGTTGGGTAGCTGTAGGCGACATACCCCCGTAGCAGACCATCTTAGTGTCACCTAGAGCACACATGGAATGGAAATAACGCGGCGGGGGGATGTCTCCAGTGGTCTCGACCTTCGTCCAATGCCTCCGAATAAGATCTAACTCGTAAAGATCCGAGGTGAGGGGAGCTGGGCGACTTCGCGATAGAATCCGCCCACCGAAAACATACAACTTGTCTCCTAATATCGTAGTCGTTGCCCCGACTAGAGGATGGGGCTCCTGGCCAGTAGTGCGGTGAACATTGCACATCAATCCGGACAGGTGAGCGGAAGATCCCGAAGTCGCAGGAGTGCCGACGGCTGCACCTATAGAAGGATTCCTTCCCGTGGAGGCCGCTTGCGGAGAGGGCCCAGCTGAGAGGGGCCCATTACTTCGGGGTGTCAGGTTATCCCTCTGACCATCTCCACCGTCAGTTCTCAAACTAGCTATACTGCTCTGACTGCTACTCATATCCATAGCACCATTATACATCTGATTGGAATCCATGGCGCTCGTCCCACTATCTAAGCCTGCTTCGTTGGAAGTACCACTGTCGACTATGGTGGTCAAACTATCTTGTGGGGCATTCAACGAGATCACAGGTGGTACAGGACTCGAGGGGGACAATGAAGGTGGTGGCGGCGCTGGAAGCGGTTTCTCAAGGCTATTCTGCAGACTCAAATTCCTGACATGTTGCAGATGTGGTGGTCGCGCTTGAGTAGGTGTCCCGCTAGGTTCTAACGCTACAGTATTCGTATTATGTGCTTTAAAAGAGGCCAATCTTGATGGCACTTTTCTTATCGAGTCTTCCCGACTAGGTATGGCTTTTTTGATACCTCGATAGACGTCGGAGAGAAGGTCGGATGGGGATTTCGAGCGAGCCTGTCGACGGTCTTGGTCGTCTACTTCGCTCTCGTAGATGTCGTCGAGAAATTGCGGACTTGCTTGACGGTCTGGTTGACCCGTAGTTAGATTAGCACCAGACGTAGACATTTTCGGCCCCTCCCTCTTAGCCGCGAGTACACGATAATGTTCAGGGCTGAAGAAGAGATCTAGAAGACGAGTAACAGAGCCTCAAAAATAGAAGGGTGCCAGAAACCCGGGTTGAGTACTACTCTAATACGATGCCAGGGTAGCTGGACGAAGTATCGGGAAAGTATTATTAGGAGACGCGACACCAGGATTAGAGATTAGGATAGCAGGGGGATATTTCCTCAGTTGGTCTTGGGAAGAAGACGCGACGATGGTAGGGCTAAACGATGGTAGGGCTAAAGCTAGTGAGAGACCACGAGGCAACTCCGAGCCAGGGGTGCCACGAGAATTTGATGGACATGAACATGAACATGAACATGAGACGGAAAACAAGCACCGACTAGATGTCCGATAAACATACCTTCGATCCTTGGTAAGCAGATAAAAGAAACGAGGTCTTAAAAAAAGTCGACGTCGCAATTGGCAATCTTAAACGCTCGGTCGACGATGCGTATTCCCTGTCTTTCTGGCCCTCTGGACCCTGGTTCCGTTCTTCTGCGTGGTCTGCGTGGTCTTCGTATCGTATGCCGCGCGCTTTCTTCCGAGTACGGCGATCTCTTATTCTTCTTTGCTATAGGTTCTACAGGTTCTATAGGTGCAGTCGTTTCTCCGGGCGCTCCGAAGACCTGAAAGAATGTCGTCTAATTGCACAGGCTTTCCGTATTCTTGCTGATTAGCGGTTGGCGCCTTGTTTGTAAGGGGTAGGGGGAAGAAAAAAAGGGGGGGAGGGGGGAAGATGTGGAGGCTTGAGGAGTCATAATACGTAGTCTGGATCTAACTCCTGCCTGAGAGGAATTAAAGCTGCCTCCAGGCTGCGCAGCTTGCAATGGTCAATTGCCTAATAATCTTATTTTACATAAAGTTGGGTACCTAGGACCTGTATTTTATTTCTTCTTCCTGAACCCCACCTCCCTTTTCGCTGTAAAAAGTGGAGGCGGATTCTTTTTAGACGCTAAGCTAAGAGGACTTATCCGTGAACTACTAGACCTTTTTGGGAGGTAGACATGCTCACCGAGTTGGCCGTTATGCACGTTATTAAGCTCATCTTCCCATTGGAGCATCAGGGGACGTATGTAAGGTACCTCTTACGTACATTTCTTATAGGTGTGCCAGGTACCTACCTCTTAAGGTACTCTCTTTCGCATGCGTGTGTGCGCGGATTATTCCGTTAGATACCTCTTACCCACTACCAATACAATTGCAGTAAGCTCCACCATACCATAGTATCTGATATTCTTGCATAAAGCTTTATTTAAATATTTGATCTTCATCCAATGTGTAAATGCGCTATACCACATATACTATATACTAACATGCTACTGTTTCAGACTAAAGAGGTGTCAACTTGGCACTTGACTGCATAACAGCATAGTAAGCGCAGAAACCCACGTTTTTTTTTTCGGGGTCTATGATAATCGAACCTATCTCACATACAGGTAGGTAACCTAGACCTAACCTAAGGTAAGGATTGGGGATCAACAACGTATTTCGGCCCGGATATGCACACGTATATTAATAGTATCTTTAAAGACCTACATCGTTATTTGCACGTGGCTGGCTAATATAGATCCTATACCTATATCTTCTTGGAACCAAGAAGATACAAGACTCTTGTCATATATAATCCACAATAAGCAGGTATAAATAAGCTACAATTTATCAATGCTACAAATTCCGACTACTTACCTAAGATCTACCTCACACCGTCATCCTAGCAGCATCGTTCTAATAGAACCAAGGTGGTAAACTAACTGGTTAGTTTCAGGCGGACTTAGGTTTTGCTCAAGAACGTGGAACGATTATATTCACTAGCTAACGCTAGTCAAGGTGACACTCCAGTAAAACTTGGGGAATAACTCTTTTGATTATTTTTTTTTTTCATTAAGTCTGGTGTGAAAGTCATGGGGTAAGTAAGACACGCTTTCCTCCAATACGATATTTCAGTAACAAAGCATAGGTCGACTCTGTCTGAGTATATCGTGTCCATTATTTAATTATGCCCGTCTACGCGACGGTAGCCTTCTCCTTGGGGAGGGGGGTGAATCTCAAGTATGGCTTGACGATGCGGAATTCGGGGAACAGCTCCTTAGCCTGCTCATTCTTTATGCTAGGGTGGACGATGACGTCGTCACCAGGGACCCAGTTAATGGGAGTGGTGACCTTGTGCTTGTCTCCGGTCTGGAGAGAGTCGACGATTCGCAGAACCTCGGCAGAGTTGCGGCCGGTCGAAGCGGGGTAGGAGAGGATTGTTCGGATGGTCTTCTTGGGGTCGATGATGAAGACGGAGCGGATAGTGAAGGCAATGCCCTTCTCGTCGACGTTGGTGGTGTCTTGGTAGTCAAGCCTAGGGCGCGAATTGCCTCGTCAGTATCTGTCTCAAAGCTAGCAGTGGACGAAAACTTACATATCGTAGAGGTAAGCAACTTTACGTTCCTTGTCGGCAATGATGGGGAACGCGACATGGCCACCCGTAACCTCGTCAATATCCTTGATCCAGCTTTCGTGGCTGCCACGAGTGTTGGCAGACAGACCGATCAGCTTAACGCCTCGCTTGGTGAACTCGGGCTCAAGTTTGGCAAAAGCGCCGAGCTCGGTAGTGCAGACGGGTGTGAAATCTTCCGGGTGAGAGAAGAAAACAACCCAGTTGTCGCCAACAAATTCGTGGAAGTCGATATTGCCTTTAGTGGTTTCGGCCTGGAAGTTGGGGGCAATAGAGCCCAGGCGGAGACTACCTCGAAATATGAGTTAAGTGGACATTTTAAAGCTTTTAGCGTAATATATCAGGAGACTTACGGTGCAGCTCGGGTGTCAGCCATTGTGATTAGAGTATGTGTACCTACGTATAAGATGTTGGGGGGAAAACACGATTAGATTATTCAGTGACTGAGATCACGAGTCAGGAAGTAAAAAGAAAGAAGAGGAGATGGTTATTAGAAGAGGGGAAGGCCGATTTGACGTCGGCCTAGCGTACGACGTCAGCTATATAATCACTACACTCAGCTCTAATAAGCAATCCGTTCGTTCGGGATACTGTCAGACTTGTTCACATGCGGCTGGGCTAAGCTGGTAGTGGGTAGGTCGGCCATGGGTTGAAGGTAAATAGATTGGTTTTTAGGGTTTAGAACTAACCAATAGAAAGCTCCCCCGCTGTCTATCAAGACCTAAAAGGGAATTTCCAACTACTTTCGTAAATGTCGCAATCCATTGATTATCTTATGTTTTCTCCTCCAAAGCTTCGTTTTTTGACTTGCCTCGCGCAGCTCACGACGTCCTGGCGTAGTGCCGAGTCGATAGAATAGCCCCTCACTAGTCCGTTTATAGAATAGAGGCCTATTGCGTGCTGGGATGCTATTCTAATTGGCTACCAGCTTGGACCTTTAGAACCTTTATTCCCATCATGTCATCAAAGCCTTACGATGGTATCATCATTTTCCCCCGCCAAACATGTGTAATTCCTAGTAATCCCGGCTGTCGGTCGGCTTCCATTAACCTACAAGTGACGGGTATCGGTGGAGAGCCAGTATACGATCTACTGTACCTAGCTGTACCTTATTATAACATCTCGAGGGACGTTCGTACAGCCGGTGTTGGAACCAATAGCCACTATGAATTGTGCAGAATCAATAATAGTCAAGTCAGCTCTAGAGACTTCATATATCCTCGTCTCAATGGATAGGTTAGACCTGGTATTAGACAGTGCAGAGCTATTTGGCAACGGGCAGCTTCTTTTATCACTCCTAGGTGCAAGAAACGAGGCTATCCGCATAAGCTTAACGAGTATCACGTAGTGGAGCAAGAAGTACATGTATGAAAACAACTGCGGTATTCCTGTTCCATGTGGAACCCCTGACAACGACGCTTAGCCTTCAGTCGTTAATTCTGTCAAACTCTCGTATTACCTCGTTCGCAAAATTAAATACTGCAGTACAGAAGTCATCAAGACATTAGGTACACTACTAAAGCACTAATTTCGCAATGTTAGCAACAAGAATAATACCTAGTTCCTCCTTAAGTTCGATAACTACTGCTACCGGTTGTTCACTCGAAACAAGATGAAAGGAGATCAGTCAGGTAGTAATATAGTACAAGTATAAAGTGATTATAAATCTATTTGATATAAGAAATAGTAAGAATGGAGGGTAAAAGGTAGAGTGTTCTAAGACACCTAATAGTGCCTAAATATTATACCTCTTTTGCCCTGACATAGAAGTACCTACATATGTAATATACCATAGACTTATACTTTCTTGCAGGCTCATAAACGGCCTGTGCCTATTAGCTGATCAAACTGCACAGGTAAATTATTTCATCCTGTTCCTAAAGCCCAATGCGTCCCCATTTTACCCGCTTATATACTGTGTTTGTGATTATTACCACGATGATACCTATAAATCAAGCAAGATGGCGCTCCTACTTGATTCAGCTGCGAGATTAGGAAATTGGGAGAGAAAGGCCAGGAGCTTGAGTCTCTGTATTTTGAATTCTAAATATAATGATAAATACCTATTTGTATTTATTTAGAAGTGCGCGTTCTGCTTTTATCAGGTAAATTTTTGCAACTCTAGAAAGTCGAATGTCACAACTCTCAATGCTGAGTTGATAATGAACTCACGAAACAAGTTTTAACACTCCATCCTATCAGAATTGGAGAAGCTCTTTAGAAGATTGTGGGGAAGCTGCTAATTATAGACCTCTCAACGCAGGAGGACTATAGGCTGCATTATATACACACACACGATTGCACGAATACACTCTTTCGTATACTTACCAGTGACGTCTCTTCTACACGCACCCATTACTATAACAGCGGCATTGTAATATTTTGAGAAATCAGGGGCCCACCGGGCCGCGTACCGCAGTGCATAATCAAGTTTAGAAGAGCCAGAACTGCCGCTCATTGAAGCCACATACATATTTTTTTTTCTTGTCCGCCTTGTGAAAAATACCACACCCCAGATATCTTATTTTCCGCCCCAGAAAATGCGATCTCCATATACTAACTCGCATGACAACCCATCCGACACCTGCTACCCAGGTAGATAGCCTATCCCTATACGCCAGAGCCAGTTCTATTCGCGCGGATAACCACCAACCGATGAAACCAGTATTGTAAGTCGGCTCCATTCATCCATCTATCCACCTGGGGGTAGCCGAGGGGCCGCAACTGAGCCTAAATTTAGATGTGCATATAAATGTGGCATGTCCCCATAGTCATCTGATTCATTAATCTGGGGCAAGGAACCCAAAAAAGGGGTCGGTCGATCGAATCAAGTGAATTTGTTGTGTAAAGCATTAGAGCATACCACGCCGGTATCAGACCCCTGCAGGTCCATAGAAACTCCCCATACTTTTGGCCGATGACGATGGTAATGTTTTTTTTTCTCTATCCAAACGGATGCATGAAGGTATTCTCAACGCCTGGGATATGGTATCTAAAGAAATAGTGGTGGTTAATAATTTCATCTGAGGACGAATAAAGGAATTTTAGAGAGGACTCAAAATCATAGTGCGAATAGGAACACTAACGTTCACCATCCCGAATCCCATCATGATATGCCCCCCCTTTTTTTGTCTCAAAGTTCCACCGTTTAGAACCAGGTACCCCTAAAAGTCCGAGTCATCTTTCGGAGTACAGTCGTCGCAGAGCCCACCGGCGTCTGACTCTTCCTCTCTTACGACATCCTTGTGACCGCACTCGCCCGTCTCATCGTACTCCTCACAATCTTCAACTTTGACTTCATCGCTTGTGTACCACTGCAAAGAGATAGATTAGCCTTCATTCCTTGAAGGTAAGATTTTTTTTGGGGGGGGGGGGGGGATATTATGCTCGTGAAGACCTGTTTCGGGAAGCCTTGTATCCCTGAGAGATGCTTTAGGAATTGTTCTCGTGTGAATGGGATATGCGTAGAATGGGCGGGAAAGAGCTAGAGGAAAGGCATACTGCTCCACACTCTTCACAGTACCACTTCAACAACATGTATTGGCACATCTTTGGATCTGGTTTGCTAGTGTTGTTAACAATGGAAGAAGTGGTAACCTTCGAGAACGTGAATCTCTATCATCTCCCGTCTTCCAGGAGCCTCTAAGGGCAACCTGAGTCATGTTACTCAGGGAACGCCACAGGCTCACGGGCCTCGACTTTGATTTGCGGTATAAGCATTGACTTGCAAAGACGTGGACGTTCCTGGAGACACTGGAACACTAACAACTTTGGTGAATATCATCCGACTTTTGCTACGTGTGCGGGCGAGCACGAGCGGAATTTGTGGCGTCTAGAAAATGCTTGACAAATATTCCACGGCCAGGACACGAAAAACAAAAGTCTACTTTAATAAAACGGCAAGGAATTCATCAATTGGCTGCATATATATGGCAACATCACAGGCATTTCCGATCCTAATTTATTGAGCAACATATCGGGACAGGCACACGAGATTTGATTGGTTCAAAGTTGTTCAAGCCTTCTCAGGCTGTACTTCAGGTATCATTTAGAAATGCATCTACCCGAGCGAATAATTACCGCAATTCTTTTGAAAATGCTTCCGAATAACAGGCACCTGAGGTAGCCTGAGGCAACCTGGGGCTTCGAGATCCGGTGTTCCTAAAAATTCGATACGGGGAACTCTGCGTAGGACTATGTAATCGCTAGCCATGGCAAAATAGATTCACTTAAAGAGCCCCTTGAACGAGAAATTCTACCGCGGATATCAGAGGTGGATCATACGCTGTCTATATACTCTTTCAAGACATCGCAATGTCCGGGTCGGCTAAGCACTTATAAGCTCAAATTTGCGTTTTGCTATTGCAATGTTAGCAACCAATACCTGACGATCTTAGAACGTTTGACAAACCCAATGCCACTTAGTGTCTCGGGGTCCAAGCGGTTTCTTTTATCAACGCCACCGGCTATCGGATTGGCTCGGTAGTTAAAGAGATAATAATGGAGCTGGCCATCTCCAGGACCGAATTTCTGTTCTTCTAGGAACAGGCCATTGTCCATGAGAGAGAGGGCGTTGTAGACGTCGAACTGGTACTGCTTGCAGAACACCAAAGAGTCCGAAACGAGGGAATTAAGACGAGCTTTCAAAGCCTCCTTATCGACGGGGGTGGTAAGTCCTGTTTCAGTAGCATAGTAGAAGAGGTAAGCTGCTTTAACGTTTGAATGTTTGGAGGGACCTATCACTGAGGACTCGAGACAATAGAACGAGATAAAGTCTGTGATTTTCTTATGCTCGTCCTATCGATGGGGTTAGCTCAAGTAGAATTCTAAGCGACTGAAAGGGGGGTTACCTCGACGACGTAAGTCCAAACGACTTGCTCTTCTAGTGCATTTTTCTTGTTGTGTAGTAGCCAATGTTCAACTTCCTGCTCGTCAAACTCGGCAGCTAATTCATATTTGGCCAAGTACCGAGTGAGAAGATCTCGAACAGCGCCGATATCTTTCTTTTGCATTTCTCTCAGTCCGCTGATTGAAGTTCGTTCCGGTACAGCATATTTTCTGATCTGCAGCTGGGGCTTGCTCTTTGCTGGTAAGGGGCTAAATCCGACCTCGTACAGTTTTTGCCAATTAATAGCTCGGTGGTAATATCGGCAAGTGCTGACGGGTTTGGGTAGCACGATCCCTCCGGTATAAATGGCCTGGAAGACGCCTTCTAAGTTACACAGGCGCGTGATCTCCTTGATAAGTACCGGAGCAAGACGCTTGGAACGGAGCTTTTTATGTATGCAAAGGAAGTTGACTTCGGAGGCGTGTAAGACTTTGTCCCTAACGCGCAACTCGACGGGAATAGCGGCGATGAACGCGACGAGCTTCTTGGACTGTGAAGCTCGAACTCCTCGGTGCCATTCCTTTTTCCACCCAGGCGGCATCATAGCCCTGAACATAAGTTTGTTAGCTGGCCGGCTTACTGGCTCCCACCTTACTGTCGGAGATAGAAAAGCAATACACTTACCACTTGAGGATACTAGTCGAATAATTGAAGCGGAACATGGCCTCATCATCTTCGACATAGTGTCCATTTAGCAGTTCCCATACCTCCTTCAGCTGGCCGTCGTCAAGTAAGTCTAAGGTGGTCCATTCGAAGCCATCGAGAAGAGGTGCGGGTGTCTTGGGAATCTCATCGACGGTTTGAATTTTAATGGGCCCTTCCTCGAAAGGCTGATTGGAATCACCTTCGTCGAACTTGGGAACGGGTTGAGTGGCCCAGAACTTGTAGGCGCCCATATCCTTGACATTTTTACCGCTTGAAGCCAATCCCGTCATAACATCGTGAAGATTGAGGCGCTTGAGGGCGTCAACGGCGGAATTGACATCATCCTTGCTTCCGCTACCGAGTTCGTTTGCGAGGGCGGGATTGAGGTCGAGAAGTTGGGATACTTGGTCTTTGGAGAGGCCATCAATTGCCGTATGAATTTTCTTAGCAGCTCTCTCTTTTTCGGTTTCCTTCTCCTTCTCCTTCTCTTTTCCTTTGCCCTTTACGTCCTTTGGTTCCTCGGACATGGTGCGCCGTGGTACCGAGTTGGAGGTTAAGTATACGTAAGAAAAGAACAACGAAGCGTGTTCTAAAATAAAGTTGCCTGGAGTTGTTGTTGTTGTTCTAGTTCAGCTAAGGTAAATGCAACTTCACCAATGGCTGGGTTACAGTGAGGGGCAATATTAACCCCGCTATATAAACCTGTAGCTGCATTTAGGTAGGTACCTTAGGTACTTCTTTTTTTTTAGTCGCATATAATATATTTATCCGCAGTAGATGCTTTAAAGTGGAATCACAAGTATCTTAGGTTAGGTTAGGTACCTCCTATGTATCTCATCCCGTATTTCTACGCTTCACTTCAGCTGGACGTACATAGTAACCTTACCTAGGTGGGTAGGTAGGTATACAAAGATGATTTGCGCATGAGAATTCTATCAATGCAAACTTCTACTGATTACCTTCCAAGATGCCTACATTTATATAAATATTTTGACCTTAATTAGCACCAAGCTCAAATGACCTCATAACGGCGAGTGATACTGACGAAGACACAATCACTCCGTTGTGTCCTTTTCCCGTTAGTATCACTTCTAATTTGTATTGCTCGGTTGGATTACCTACCGCCATATGGGACGAGCTCTTCTCTTATGATTATATCCGGCTCAGCTTTGAAAACCGTCGTAAAAGTTCCATCATCTCTGCGCAATGTTCGCTGTTCTTTCCATGATGAGAAATCGTCGCCGTTCACATCTTCTCCAACGGCAGCGCTGACCGAGGCCTGGAATAACGCGTCACTCTCATGGCACGGTATCTCCAAGTCATTCTTGGCATGGATAAAAGTCAGCCGTAACCTTGTCCGTGTCAGGTTCACGACATGGGCAAGCCGGTCTGCTGATTTCCACTTATCCACGATGAACTGTTGGAAAAACCGGAGTACGGGCGGGAACGGGCGGAGCGGCGAGAGCACTGGGATAAAACCTGCCACCGTATAGGAAGACAGAAGAGTTGGCAGGTCCGAAAACCCGGCAATGAGAATGATCCCCGCAAATTCAATTCCCTGCGCTGCGAAATGCTCTGTCACGCTGCTTGTAACTGCCGTTCCGAGACTATGGCCCATTATAACGATCCGGCTAGGTGGAATACCTGCGACATTCATTGCCCAATCTACAGTAGCCATACCGTCGTAAAGCAAGCCTGCTTCTGAAGGCGTGCCGGTGGATTTACCAAAGCCGCGATAATCGATAGCTAAAACATGATATTGGGAAGAATCAGTTAAGGTATGGTAACTATCAGGGCGGAATCCTTGGGCAACATGGCCAACGTTCTAATTCGTAATAATATCAGCAATCACAATTCACAATACCTAGATGATACCAAGTCCTAGGCATTCACTAACTCCGTGAACTTTTATATGAACTGTCAGTACTTCAAATAGTGGCCGACGCGGTTTGGGATAGATTTTCATACAATATATTACGAGACGAGCTTCAGGGTCATCTTTGAGCAACTTGAACGACTCGGTCTTAGTGATGTCGTCGGAATAGCCTGGTTGCTGAGTCTGAAGCTTCCCTTCGTGCCTCAGGTAGATTGGAAGAGGTAGGATATGCCATGCATATATTTCCTGCTCGTCAAGTGTATTTAGGGAGAACGGCGTTACCTGATTCCCTGCGGATTTATTAGGTACGTTAGTTAAGCCTTGCTTTACGCTCACCCTGAGCCTCTCTTAAGTGAGGACTTACTGGCGAACCCCCAATACTCTGGGTTGTTCGCGTCATGCCAGAACAACGTATTGATCCGATGACCGTATAGAAGGCTAACATAATTCTAAATATTAGCAGGTAATAATTATATCTTATAGCTTATAAACCGTATTCAATGGCCTTACTGTCGCTGAAAGAAAGTAGAGGATCCGAGTAAGATGAAAAGGACGTAAAGACCGATAGGGACACCTAGACTAATACCCAACGGGATAGCCCATTGCGAGCTTCGAGAGATCATATTTTTTTTGAGGGGTTTCTTCCTTCCGATTTTTTGCTGTATTTATTATACCATGTTCTGATGATTGAAATTGTATTGTACCTACATATAGGTTAGGTACTTGTGTGCCTACCTAAAGTTAGAGCTGTATTGTACTTTCTGTGTTGGCTATGGCAATAGAATCCTACTTAACTTGTACCATATAAATGCATAAATGGAAGGCCCATAGGTGCGGGTCTTTGTTGAGAGGCTAAGAAGGTACAGCCTGATCCTCCCCCAGGATACCTAACCTACCTTAGGTACCTGTACCTAGGTAGGTTAGGTACCTCACTTCTTTATTGATCTAAGCTACTAGCTACCCTTTCAAAAGCTTCAAAAAAATTTCCCAAGTTCCATCACCCAATCGAAAAACACCAAGCCGACTTCACGTCTAATTAACTTGGGTTATTGGTGTAGCCTTGAATTCATTTCCAACTGTATTGTTGCGATTTTCGCACTTCTTGCACCCCCATTTGTATCCTTACGTGACCTTAGCTAGCCCTTTGACATATTATATTGTTTTTAACAGATTGGCTATTATTATCAAGATGCTCTTTAACTCTCCCTTCTATTAATGGAATACGACATCTCCTTTTCTCCTCTTCACGTTTCTACTGCTGTACTATCAAGCTTCTTCGGGCGTTAGGAGTCCTTGTATACGTCGTTTCGATGGAGAGAAAGCGAAAGCTCCCCGCGAGGGCTGCCGCGAGAGTTGAGCATGTCTCTAAAAAGCGAACGGCGACGCCTCCCGAGCGATCTGTCACTCCAGTTGCTGCTGCACTATCGACTCCGGCGCCTGCTGAGACTGCCCCGGAAGATCCTCCTCTACCGAAATCTATACAGGCTGGCAATCCTTTACCGACCGTCGAGCATCCACAACCAGATGATCTCTTAAGTAAGGACTACCAGTCCATTCAAGAAAGGTATTTCTGATTAGTCTCGTTTACCAGTAGCAATTGCGCTCATAATGTCTTCTTAGCGGGGTTTTAGCCGAATCACTTTCCAGATCGCGTCAGAAATGGGTTCATGAAGGTGTCTTTGAGAAGTACTGGACCAAACCTACGAAACGAAAAGGCGTTGTCAAAGAGGACCCCAACAACCCTCCCAAAGATAGCATGACCAAGATCGGCCAAGTTACAATTACTGTTGAGCCTCATGTCCTCGAAGCTACCATGTACGCTGTTAAAGACCCGAAACCTGCGCCTACCACCAATTCTGCTTTCCGACCTATCGTACAATACGGCCCTCCGAATGGCACCATGCCTCCTCCGAAACCAAGCACAGCATCCACTCCCAACGCACCGTCAGCCTCGCCTTCACAAGCACAGGCCCAACCCCCGTCCCAGCCTTCCTCAGCAGCGCAACCGCCAGTACAAGCGCAAATTCCAACTCCATCTCAGTCGCAAGTGCAGCAATCAGATCTTCAACGACCTCCGTCTGCCACCATACCTCTTAATAAGCCATTAGCCTCCCCACGCGGCCTAGAGTCGGTTCTAGCCGCCCCACAACACCCATCAACTCTCCCTCCCGCGACCGGTCCTTCGCAGCCAGCGCCCCCTCAACCTAGAGGGCCTTCTCAGCCTGTATTGAATACCAATCGGCCGCTACATGCTCCTAGCCCGGGAGCAATTCCAGCCGTCACAGGGCCGACCATTCCCGCGCCAGCCAAGCCGGTACCACCAGCCACGAAGCCAGCAACGCCGGCTGCCCCTGGCGCTGATCCTATTATAGTTACACTGGCGGAGAGAGCGTCCGAAGATCCCCAGCTTCGTGATCTAATGAAGCGTGTCGCTATTGGCGATGCTGCACCGGCAGAGTTGGCGCATTTTCAGAAAATAATTGACCAAATTACTGCCGATTATAAGAGGAAAGGAGGGCAGCAAGGTCCCTCTGCGGATAGGCTAATCGTAGATGGAAGAACAGTGAAGTATTTTGCTGACGAGGTCCGAACTATACTTGACATTGTTCTCGCTTCTAATCCGCATCAGAGGTCGAATGACTTAAGAACACCACCCGGAAGTGACCCGTTAGTAATTCTGCTCGTGAGGAAGGCCTTGGACGACATGACTACGCGAGACATCGTTAGGAGAGTAGCCGAGGGCAAAACTAAATTCACAGATACAACGGATTTGAAGACAACGCTCGACAAGTTGAAAGATCTTGTAGTGAAGGAGACACCGAAGCCTCAACAGGCGACGACAGGCGCTCCTCAAACGCCGACTACGAACGGAGTAGAGAATCCGACGGTGCAGAACGGTTCTGTATCAAGAAAGGCTTCACTTACTGGATCAGGGCAAACTACTCATGCGTCCAGTTCTCAACAAGCTCTACGCTCAAAAGGGCCGCCGCCCTCCACCAAACCCGATATCTCGGCCATTGTATTGGAATTTTCTGGAGGTACCGGTGATAGGTATCTGTTCCCCAAGTACAGTATCATTGAATTTGTCAACCCCACTCAAGCCATTGCATCTTTTCTCATAGTACGAAAGGGAAGCAAGCTGGAGTACGGAGGAGATCCCGCATTGGATTATTATCAGCCTGTGACGATCCGCATATATGCGCAGTCCCCAAAGCATTTAGAGAGCTTGGCTAGAGTGGTTGCTCCTCAGGATGAGGTGCAACGCTATATGGATGATGTCATGGATAATATGACACGGGCTGAATATGTGCTCCTCGCCATGCGCCTCCCAAGGGCGGATAAAGAGGAGCAAGCAGAAGAGGGCACCAGCATCCCGAAAGCAGATCCAGTAAATCAGCCTCAACAGCCCGGGGTGCTGTGGAACAGTAAAGCGTCTTCTACGGCAACCCCGCCGCAGAAGCCCATAACAAAACCACTAGGCGATGATGAGCAATACCAGAGCTTCATCGCCACTGTAAGCTAGAAAGTCAGGGTAGAGAATGCTCTCGGATTCTTGCGTGGACATCTCCTGAATTGAGGGGTTGAAGGATTCGTCTAACTATTTAGAAGTCGAAGAAAATGAATGGCGCGAATATGGGATTAAGGGTTTTTGTTTTAATGGGCTCGAGGATTCGATGAGATACCTAGGTTGGGTGGAATGGGCGTATTTGCGCCCCAAACAATGCGACTGTGAACATTACATATGAGGTCAACGGTGCTTTCTCACGCGTTCGTTACGTTGCGTTCTTCACTCCATAGCACCCGTGTCAACAATTATTTTGTTTCTGATAATGTAGTATGGTATCTATTTAGACATATACCAGGTACCTAGTTTTACACGTATTATCATTTCTTTACCTCCCGCTCAGCTTCTCGCCCAACGCGCACCGCACCTCGAGCCAATCGTTAAACCACTCTGTTCGCTCGTTAAGAGGGGCGTGCCCTAGGCCATCTACGATCAACCCTTCACCCGGTTGTAGGTACTCTATTAACTTCCTCCCATGGGGCGTTGATATCATGTGGTCATCAGTACCATGCATGACTAGGATCCGCTCGCGGCCTACTTTGTCGGCTATCTCCTTTAACTGCTCTGGGCTCTTGTGGTGCCAGCCCGCGGCGATGAGCTGCAGCAGGAATCCTTTCTTGGTGAACCCGCCCTGGTCTCGCTGCTTGGCGATTTCTTGAGCGGCAAATCGCTCGTAGTTGCTATTGAACTTGAGATACCCCCCGGCGGGGATCTCGCACCGTGGGACGGATTCGTCTGGCACGGTGGCGTTGTCTGGTGCGAAGAGGTAGCTGGCGGGGAAGACTGCATGGAGACTGTTAGTAAATTCTACGTCCGGCATAGCTTAAATAGAACGGGCTTAGATAGAACGAGTATGTACCTATGGTACTGTATCTCTAAAGAAAGCATATAGGAAGAAAAAAAAGAAGGGGGGGGGGAGGGGGGGACGTTGATAATACGTACTTGCGCTAGCGGCATACTGCACGCTGCGATCTAAGCTCTTGGGAAGCAGCATCGTGATGCGGTTCATCATGTTCTCGGTGAACGTAGTCGTGTTCTCGATGCGGGCGGCCGTGCATACGAGGCTGAGGCTGGCGACGCGCTCCGGCGCCAGGTACGCCAGCTCCTGCGCGATCATGCCTCCCATGCTGATGCCGCAGACGTGCAGCTGCCGCGGGCCCGTCCAGCCCACGTGGTCCGCGACCTCCAGCGCGTCCCGCGCCATCTCCGACGTGCTGTACCGCGACAGCGGCTTGTCCGAGCCGCCCATGCCCCGGTTGTCCAGGATCAGCACCGAGTACTGCGCCCCGCGGACGTGCCCCAGGTGCATCGTCTGCCGCTGGTACGCGGTTTTGAAGAAGCCTAGGCCGCAGAGGAGCTGCGGAGAAAGATTGCGTAAGTCCTCTTTCGTTTTCTCCTTATGACAAGAAAAAAAAAGAGAGAGAGAATGCACTACGTACTATGAGTTTTATGGGGCCGTCGCCGTGGACCTCCCAGCTGATGTTTACAGGCCCGCCGCGTCCGGCGGCGACGGGGAGTAAACCGCTTTGGTGCGGCTCGAGCTGCCAAATTGCCGTTGGGAAGGCCGGACTCTTGACCACATCGTCGACGGACGGAAAGGTCGCCGTGATCTTTGTTTCCGGCCTAAGTCTTCATTAGCTGGGGTTGCTCGGTTCACGTATATATACAATACAGTACAATACAATATATGGCCTAGATACTTACATGGAATGTAGTACAAGCTCACGTTTGAAAAGGGGGATGGTCTATGCACCTAGGTAGTTATCGCATTACATGTAGTTATAAGTTAAGTGTTGGGAATCAGAGTCGTGTTGCTGGATACGTGTGCTTTTTAATTTTACATCTAGAGACCTTCTGTCTTGGATGAAAGTATATGAGTCCGCCTCTAACGACGCCATTCAACTCTACTGAACGCCCGGCCAGTTAACAGGTACCTCGGCTGAGCTCTTCCAAGTTCCATTAGGTACCTACCTTATTGTACTGGTAGCGAGTCAACACCACTAAACTAGTATATTTGCTTAATTGCATTTTCTCGGGCCTTGTTTCCGTTTCAGGAACTCCCGTGACTCCCGTGGAGGAGGATCTTGCATGATCTGCGACTAGGTACTAGGGTCTAAACTGGTATCTGAACAAATGAACACATAACAACATTGAAGGTTCTTTCACGCCGCGTTGCCGAAACCCGCCACATTTGGTGCCTGAGCCCCGGCGTAATCATATTGTAGCGACCCTCCATACGTTAAACCCGAGTATCCCATCTGACTTGTATGCGTATCCATCCCAGTCTTCAAAAACCCGCTATTATCCCTACCGCTACTATTACTAGTAGGGTTGCTATTAATCCCGCTCGTCGTTGTAGACGATTGACCTGGTTGGACGTTGGGTGATCGGCTTCGGCTCCGTATCGACAAAGACTTGGAGACTTCTGCCGACGATGTGCCTTCGCCGAAGTAAAGGTAATCCGTAGGTTGAGGGCTTGTGCTTTGCTTGGTACGCGGCTTGTTCGACGGGCGTCCGCTGGAGACTGAAGGCTTTCGCAGTCCTTTGTGCGACTTGGGTGCTTCCAATTCTGGTTGCGACGAGTCTTTCGATATAGACTCGGCTTGTTCTAGTGATGATACTGTGGATTCTGCAACTTCGTCGTCTTCTCTCTCCCGACCTTTAGGTTTTACCACAATCTTGAGACGTTCTATGAAACCTGCGACGCGCATTTTCAAAGTATATAAGAGATGTACAAGAATTAGGTGTTATTAGTATTTATTATGTGTGAAATAGGTCAAATGAGTAGAATTGAATCAGTTGTAATGTGATTTGTGAGGTCTAATATAGGCGTAGCAGGTAGTCTTGGCCATTTATGATCATAAGCTACGAGCAGCAGCCGAGAAGACAGCGAATGCGCCACACTCGTATGGCGATCTGTTATGAAGTCATAGGATCTAGCTCTCATTAGGAAACTTAGGTACATAGGAAAGTCTTTGGAAAAGGCTATTGTGAGCAGTTTAGAGGCTTGGAAAGCACGGGATGGACCTTGAAGTTCAGCTCATCCTTTGACTTTTCACTAAACCATGTCACGGAATAATACGCAGCCTGATATCTCCTAAATATAATTCCGAGCACACAAAATTGTTTTCCTGATTTTTTTATAAAAAAAGCCGCGTCTGTTACATTAAAGGAGGCTGTACACTGACTATTGAGCTCTAGTGCGCGATATGGAGATGTTATTGGGTAAAAGGCCTACGTTTCAGCAATGAGGTAACGCACAAACAAGCCGGACTAAAAGAACAAATCCAACTTGATAACAGTAAAGGGTATCTACATTAGACAAGAAAAAGGAACCCGCTCTATGGGTATACCCTCTTAACCTTTTCATAACCACCCATTGTAAAAGCCTCGTTTAGAAGCTTTCAAACTCCACAAAATTAAGAGATGTAACTTTGTGATACCAAAGCCCACCATTCTTGCTCGTTGCTTAGAGGGTCGGAATGAATTTCTTTGAATCCTCTTCTTGTTCTGCGAATGATTGAGGGAATGCAGCGATGCCGGCAATGATTCCGGCAGCCATAAAACAAACTGAAATAATGGACCAGATGACACCCCAGCATTGAGAGGAACCACCGTAGCGCTCGGCGAACACGCTGGCATCGGAACTATTGACTTTACGGAGGATCAAATCATCGCACTGAAAGGCAATTAGCACTTGATGATATTCACAGAGGGGGGGGGTTGTCTAAAACTTACAATATCCCAGACGCTGTACAGCGAGCTCATCACGCCGATGAAGAGCACCAGGAATCTTAGCGGCTCGGCATGAGAAATGAACCAGAAGCCCACCAAGAGTCCGACGGCAAGTAAGATAGTTACGATTGTCAGCCAATCTCTCTTTCCCCACCAGAGCGTCAGTAAGAAGCACACGCCTAAAACTAGACTGGCGATCTTGCTTGCGACGATGTCAAAGCCGCAGAAGATAAGTAGGGCACCGATGAGGGACGATCCTAGGTAACCAGCAGGTAGCGTGATAGCACTCTTTCCTCCAACCACTAGCGACAATAGTCAGTATGTTTTTATAAGTCTACGATGAGAGGTAACTCTCAAGGCAACATCATCCGCACATGATTGGGAGGCAGTTAAAAAGAAATAGGAAAATAATTTTTTGAAGATACTTACTATGTGTAACACCTCCCTCACGAGGGTCAAGTGAGATGGATTTGACACGGCCACCTGTACAACACTTTAACGAGTTAGATGTAATTACTTGTTGAAGGATTAAATGGATCAACTTTAGGCACATTGAGGAGCTAAAGCTCTATTATAGCCAATCTAATCAAGACAATATATGTCTTGAAATGAGTTAAAGTAAAGAGACATTAACATTACTGTTTACTTACGGCAGTTATGGCGTGTCCGAACTCATGAAACGCAATGACAAGCATCTGAAAAAATGACAGTTAGTAAGGAAAGTCCGGTATACAATAACTTATAAGATATCTCATGTAAGAGGTAGGTAGGCAGTGGGTACAATACCTTGAAAGGCCATAACGACCATCGCACATAGGGAACATTCCATAATATGGCAATAACGACAACATAGACGGCGATGATACCCAATGTAACTTTTTGGGCATCGCTGGTAACGGTTAAATCGCGGGGCGATATGACATCTCTCCGGGCCAGTCTAGCAACCTCGGGGCCGGCTGCTACCACGGCAGCTCTCGCGCTTCGGAGCAGATGTTCGGAAATGAATAGTCCGGGCCTCTCGTGAACCGGGGCCATGTTTATTTGTTTTGTAAGGCGTTTCTTAGCGAGTGTAAGGTAACGTAGGAATGAGCGGCTGTTTTTAGGTACCTTAAGACAAATTTACAAAGAGGTACGAAGGCATTGCAGGTTAGGTCAGGGCTTTTTTTTTTCTTCTTTTTTTTTTTAAGTTTTATCTGCAAGATCTGAAAACTTAAGAATCAACCAGCTGACGTGGACATGTGGGCTGATACGGCACACGGCACACGCGTATGTTTTGCATGTCCTATTAGTGACTTTTAACTCTGTACGCCGAGACAAAACATAACGCAAGCCTATTGTGCTGCGCCTCGTCAATGTGGCGGTGGTTTGCTATGTACCTTATATGTATGTTATTAGGTACGAAGGTCCGGGCCAAAAGTCTTGCACATCGTAGCTTAGGTAAGCTACCCGCTTAGGTATGTGTCAATAAAAAAGGCTATACGGTGTTAGATCTACTAATAGCAGCTAGCTCCCCTGTAGCTATAGTGGTAAGCCCCCTGAAATTTAGCGTATAAGCCACTATCTGCCCCCAAACTAATGCTAAGCCAATACAGTGCTATTATAATCGTGCACGTTAAATTTCTGTGATGAAAAGCTTGGCATGTGCAAGACTTTTGGCCCGGACCTTCGTACCTTTACTGGGTCAACTGTATCTCATTATCGTGACTGACATGTCGCGGGGGGCAGGGGGTGGGGTTGCCTAATTTTAGATACCTGCCGGGGCCGCTAACACGGGTTCCCGTTAAGCCCTAAGGCCTTAAGGTTCACTGTTCGAATATTTCTTTAGAAGTTGCCTGGCAAGACAAGTATGCCAAGACCTAACCATTAATTTTCAACTCTGCCAGCCTACAATGGCACATATATTCCAATATATTCAGCTAGAACTGCAGTAAGTGCAAATGTTCCGTCATTTACACGAGCACTCCTAGTATAATGTCTTACGGCTTTGAGGCTCCGCAAGAGTCTAGGTTAGAGGCTGAAAAACGTGTAGTAGTAGTAAGGCGTTGAGTGGGATAGTTATCGGGCCTATTTCTCTCTGCGTCGACAAGTCAATGTAAGTAACAGCAACCCATACGGAAATACCATCAGTAAAAAGGTCTAGGATATCCGAGAAATCTAGGCGTCGAATACGAAAAAGAGATATGCTGCTTCTGAGTAACACAGTCATGCGTGACATTGATAGTTCATTGTTCTAGCCGATTCTAATATTATCGGAAGGGCCGACTGTTGCAACGTTGTAGAAGACATTACTATCATTTCGATGATCAATACCGAACAGTAAGTCACCGAGTATATTCTATACTAAGACATTTAATTCGCTCTAATTGGATCAGCTGTTTGTCATGTCAAAGGACGAAGCTCGCTATTATAAGGTATATAAGGATGAGGCCAATGCCCTATAGCTACAGTTTGGGTAGCGTTCGTTTTCTGATTTGGGAGACGATCTACCATTTCATATCGCAACACTTGGGCGAATAGTGAGACGAACTTCAGCCTTGGGCACAACAATACGAGGCCTACCATGGCTGCGATGTTACAACGTTTCGAGTTTGTCTTAGAAGACTGCAACAGCAATGCTGGGTAAATTGGGAGATGCACTAGAACCCCCCTGAAAGATATCATTGGGACCAATGGAAGCCGAGTCTTAGTGCGGGTAAAAGAGTTGAGGGAGGTAGGGAGGGTACCATTGCCCATCGTATGGAAAGGGGTGGGTTCACTACTTCTCCACTGAAGTGCTTATCGTAGACCGCCGACTACATGCATTTGAGGCTACACCTACTACCTCTTAAGATTCTAGGTCCAACGGGAAGTATCGATCGTCGGGAGGAAGCGAAGAACCATTGATTCACTCGCCCCCTTTCCCTTTAGTCGGGTCAATAATTCAGAGGGTAGGTGGGAGGTAAGAATATACGATGACAGGTGCCATCAGACAACATATATAGAGATGAGAAGGTCGCATCAAGAAATGACAAAGTTGTCTCTCGCCATCATTGCAACTTCAGTCCCCTCGTTCAAACAAGACTTTCCACTAGACTTTAGTCCAGAATAGTCGATACAATCATTTTCCAAGATGAAGTTTTTCTCAGGTGCATCACTTGTCGGCCTTCTCGCCACTGGCCTTGCGGACGCGATAGGAACCAAAGCACCATTTACTATCACCAAGTTCAACGCAGGGGCTACTCCGCACTCATCGGTCGGATAGTGAGTTGATACAAATTTCCTCGTAGAAATTAATCTGTTATTGACCTCTTTGATAGCGTCGAACTCACCTGGTCGTACTCGAATGGGCTAAATTCGACAACGTGCTCGGCAAGGCCAGGAACATACCAAGTCTTCCCTTCAGTTGAGAAGACGGTTTGCAGCGACCCGTTTACATCTTTCAATTTAACCAAGCGCTCTGACGGTGGAGCGGACCTAGAGCTTTGGTATCAGGAGGCGTATGCCATCCACACCATCTCGGCGGATCAGATCGTGTGGACGAACCAACAGTCGCCAACCGGGACAGTGCAAGTCTACGCAGGCCCGCAGAACTTCACCGTCAAGGCAAATTATCCAGAGACCTAGGTGGTATGGGTCCTGAGGGTGCTATTCACATTCTATGCATTGAGCATTATAGCAGTAATAATGAGATAACATTCGAAGCGGAGGAACCGATTTGCAAGCGTGATTGCTTGCAGCCGTGGGATGACGACAATAAGGGTACCTAATAATATTAGAGAAAGGGTGTGGTTGAAGAAGGACACGCGACTCTCCTTTTAAAGAATAGAGAAATATTTTCCCACCAGGTTAGAAAAATTAGGTATAAGTACCTCCTAGGTAGATAGCAGTGAATATTGGATGCGGGCAGTTGCTGCAAGTTGATGCCCGGTCTTCGAAATGTACCTAAGGTATGGAAATGTTTGTACGTACCTAGGTACATTATGTACCTGTAAGTGATATGATGTAATTAGGTACCTAGGTACCTACCTAGGTTAGGTACCAATTGGAAAGCCAGCTGCATTCCCTAGGTGTAGGTAGGTACATGATACTTGTGGGTTGGCTTAGCCTCTTAGGTGATCCCAGCTAAATTTCATATCTCATATCGCCATTTCCATTCAACACATTCAACAAATTCGAGAAATCACATCGCTGCCAGCTGCAAACCGTAAGAGAGTTGCACTTACACGGCAACGGCGACTCCTCTTACTATGCATAAGGCTTATCTAGAATCAATTTCTTAAGCTTCACTCGCTTATCTTACATCCCGTCCGCTTCATCTATCTTCGCCATGAGCGCCACCCATTTATCATGGCATCTTTATCCTCCTCAACAGTGGCTTCAGCCTTGATACGCCCCCGAGTCACGATCGCTGTGGTCTCTGCCATTGCAGCAGCCTCTTTAGGTTTCTATTACTATCGTACCAGCCAGAGCCGACCTTCAGAACCCGACAGTACTACTACTACTGCAGGAACCGGTTTACATCGCAGCAACGCCTTAAGACAAGCTCGCCGCGCGTCCCATCGTCATGACGACTCTTCAGAATCCGACTCGCACGGCGACGAAAACGAAGATGCCGCAAATCTTGTCAACTCCCTTCTCGCAGACAGCGCTGCCGTCGCTGATGACCAGAACCCGACCGAATGGTACAACGACAACACCCAAGCCCCACGGCAAAGGACCGGCGAGAATATAGTTACTCTCTTATTCCGTGTGTCCGAAGATAATGCGAGACGTAATGCATATGTTCATCGTGGCTGTCAATGTAATGCTTGTGGCATGGTCCCGATTCGTGGGATTCGATACCGCTGTGCCAACTGCGCTGACTTCGACTTATGTGAGGTATGCGAATCTCAGGGTTTGCACAACAAAACGCACGTCTTCTACAAGGTCAAAATACCCGCGCCGCCCTTCGGAACTCGACATGTACAACCTTCCTGGTACCCAGGCGACCCCGACAGCGCTATTCGTAGTATCCCGCGATATCTGATTGCCAGGTGGTCTCAAGAAACCGGTTTCGAGCGTGTTGAGCTCGATGCATTCTGGGAACAGTGGACTTTCATGGCCAACACCGAATGGAGAGATGACCCCAATGGCCTTGGGTTGGCAATGGATCGTAAAACTTTTGAGCGATGTCTTGTTCCGTCTGGCGGTTATCGGCATGCTGCACCTAACCTGATTCACGACCGTATGTTTGCGTTCTACGACACCAACCATGATGACCTCATTGGATTCGAGGAGTTCCTACACGGTGTATCGTATAGAAAGAGGAAAGATAAACTGAGGCGCACCTTTGACGGATACGACATTGACGGTGATGGTTATGTTAGCCGACGAGACTTCCTACGTATGTTCCGAGCTTATTACGTGCTATACAAGCAGATGCATAAGGACATCCTCGACGGTCTCGATGATCACATGATGACAACAACCGAAGCACAGCAGCTTATCAACGGCAGGCAACCTTTAAGTAGTCTTTTTGGTCGAGAAGGCAGAGTCCCTTCAGCTGATCATTTAAGGCCAATGGAGGGCAAGACATTCCATGCGAATGGAGACGCTGAGATCAATGATGGCAAAGGAGTTGTGAACGAGGATAAGCAAGATACGGGCAACCGCGAAGAGATCCTGAGCAGTTTGTTTGCCAGAACCGCGAGCCAAAGCCTATTTACCGAATCGTTTGGGTCCTCTAGGAGACCACAATCCCCCGATGAAGATACTCGTTACTGGTCCGGAATAATTAACCCTCCCCATACTACGGCCGACCTGGCATCTTTACTCTCTGGCGAATACCCACCAATCACTGATATTCTCGATTCATTCCATCAAGAAGGGCAAAATTCTCTCGATGACGTCGAGAGCGCTTCGTCTGATGAGGATGGCCAGAGCGAACATGAAGGTGAAGGCGCCGACGAAGCCGACGAGGGCGAACCTGTCGATCGCAACTTAGCAAGCGAAGCTACGGAGCCAACAACTACTCGCGCCATCCCCGATGCTAGTAGATTTACAAATACGCTACCTACGGAGAGCCAGCTCAGAGTTCAACATCAAGCAATGGTAGCTAATAGTCACCGGCTAGGGATTGACAAACGGAAGAGGCTGTATGCTAGAAGGAAGCTCCTTGAAAGATGGAAACGACGTCAATTTTATCTAGACGAGGAAGAAGGTGCAGCACCTCCACAAGAATGGGAGGAAAACCAAGATGTACTGTTGAACTTGAATAACGTCGCTGAATCGTCCAAGTCAGCTCCGCATTTCCTGTCTCCGCGATCAAGATCATCCTCCAAGGTTCGCTTCGCTGAAGATGCGGATGATTTTGAAACCAGGTCCAATCCATCTACCTCTTCGCGAAGTGTACCGGAGAGGTGGGGGGGAATGGAAATCCCGGACGCCGAGCGAGATGCTGGTAAAGAGATCCTCTACCAGGTTACGCAGCAGGCTTTCAACGAGCTCCTAGATGAGATCTTCAAGAAGAAAGAGGATCTCGCCGTTCAAGCGGCAGAAACTAAAGAGCAGCGTGAGAAATACCGGGAGCTCTTAGATTCGCTTGATCTCGAAAGCGAAGATGATGAATCCAGAAACCAGTCGCCGGATGGACGTCGCCCACCCTCCTCGGAAGGAAGCGCTCCAATCTCCCAGCGGAGCTTGGCTGAATTGCTTTCGACGAGTGGTTATAGTATCCACAGTAGTCGCCGAATCGATGAATCGCATCCAGCTCCTGAAGTACAGAATGGGGAGAGTAAAGAAGAGGCTACCAATGAAGAGACAGACACCCCATCAAAAGACTTAACTTTCCCTGAGCCTACGGAATATCGCGATCCTACTCTACCCCAGAACCGACCGAACAGTGTAGCTCAGGTATCCCATGGCGGTCTCATACCTAAGGCGGAAAATAGCACCCAAGATAAAAAGCCGGCCAACAACTCCAGCCCATCCAAAAATGAGGAGACTGTCAAATCGAAAATTGTTGCCCCCGATGACCGGTGCCATGTTTCGCGTTCCACGCTGATGACATGGAAGCGTCTTGACCTTGCGGAACAAGAAGCAAGGGAAAGGGGTGGCTGGGGTCGGCTAAACTATAAGGAGTTCGAAGAAATATATCGAGAGCACGAATTCGCAGACAGCAGCCGTAATCGGTTAGATTACTTAGGCAGCTGGATCGATTTTTGTATTCCATAGGGCGAAGAATCCGAATAAACTAAGATACGCAAAATGAGTTGATGGTGCGTTTTGTGGTCGTTCTACGCCTGGTATGCACTTGGCCAGCAGCCGCTGAGGGAAGCATAAGTAGGTACCTACCTACCTACTGGGTATATTAGGAGGTATTCACTACCTAACCTTAGTATTTAATGCATACTTGATGCATTAATACAGGTGGACTTTTTTTTTTTTAAAAAAAAAATACTTCATTTGCAAGAAAGTGTGGAAATTGTTGGTCCCATAAAGTGTTTACTTGTGACTGAAGTACTGTCCCGTACATTTTTGGCAGCATATCTATGAACGTTCTAGGTGGAAATGCTAAGCATCTAACGATATATGTATAATACGAATATAAACCATAGGAAACAGAGGCGGATCATAACAAGAGAAAATAATCGACTTCTAACATTACCTCGTTACCTTATTTTTCAGAACGCTTGAAGTAGACGGCGTGCAGAATTTATAGTCTTTATATATACTGAGCTATGAGTGATTTTCACATATCATAACTATAGCACCTTAGGACAAGCGACTAAAACAACTACAGCAGCACTCGACTAGGTCGATATAAATCTCTTGAAAAAGAAAACTTGCTTTGTTCTGACAGGTACCTAAGCTAATACGAAACTACCGTATCCAGCCAAAGAGGCACTTAACTCATACGAAAACGGCCCCTGGGAGGTACTGTTCTTTACTACCTATTAACATCGTAAGTTTTTCTGGGTGTTCTATGCGGTCCATTTAACCAGTGGGTGTACATGCAATGCCTCTTGTCCCTTGTTGCATTTGAAGTCCAGAACTAAAGACATACGTCGACGTTGGACAATTTTTATATAAAAGTTTCGTCGAACTCCCCACTTGGTACTAAATAGAGTGGGTTATATACGATATACCCCACGATTCCTGAATTACCGAGAGATTTATGTGCATGCAATTTATCGGGTGGCCATGTGTATAACCATTGACAGCCGGCGGAGCCTCAGAGGGGTAGGATTGTGCAATTTCTATGACTGTTACCGTAATATATGTTTTTTTATTACTTCCTTCAATTGCCCTCAAAAGTGACTGATTGGGTCATTTTGAGTGACTTCAGATTCAAGCGATAGGGTTGGGGAGTTTAGGATAGACATGGCATAATAGGCTGTTTTGACTTTACCAGAACTGTGAAAGCTCCCCGCGAAGCTGCTTATAGCATATCGACTGTATTTGTGAATATATAATGCCAGAATCTTCTTCTTCATGGAAAGAGGTGTGTTAATTAGAAACGGATTGAATATCCCTCAATACTTACCGGTTATTGTTTGAGACATATACTTATAGCATGGCTACCTTTGTCCTGCTAGGGTGGCTCCTATTCTCTGCATCGGCATCAGCTGCATGTACGAGAGACTTTCTCGTAGGAGCTACTAACAAATATGTTGCTGCTCAAGCGGCTGGGTCCAGCAGAGATATAGCCGCATTGGCGGCTCCTAATGTCACATACACCGAAAACGAAGTTCCCAAAGCCATCAACGAAGGCGTACTAACGGAGGCCATCAAGATAGACCACAACCGCAGCATCCACGACACCGCCAACTGCGCGACGTTCACCGAGCTCATCGCCGCGAGCAACCCGCACCAGTACGTCATCGGCACGCGCATACTCTTCAACAACGACAGCAGGATCTCGTTGATCGAATCTATAGTGACGGATGCGGGCGATTGGGCCTTCAACGCCACCGGATACCTATACTGGAACTCGCAGGAGAGCTGGGATCCTATCCCCGAGGACAAGCGGGACAGCCGCGAGGTCATCCAAGCCGCTGGCGACGCCTACTTCGACAGGTTCAAGAACGAGAACGTGACCGTACCTTTCGGTGTCCCGTGTTCCAGGCTCGAAGGCGGCGCGTCCACGGCCCCGCTCAACATGACCGGCGACTCGTGCACGCTCGCAGGCCTGCCGTCTACGCTCGTAGTTACCAACCGCCGCTATGTCGTGGACGAGGTCCTGGGCGTCGTCGACATTTATCTTGGGTTCCCCGGACTGGACAGGTCGCAGGGCCAGAAGCCCATGCCGGACAGCCACGTGTTCAGGGTCGAGTCCGGCAAGATCAGGTATATCCATACCGTTTCGTCGTGCATGGAGGCGGGCTGCGGGTTCAATGGCACGATCCCGCCTACCTCGAGGATTAGGAGGCTGCGCGACTTTGAGAAGCCTAGGCTGTCCTTGCGGGGGTACTAAGGCGGAAGTGGCTGGAGAAATAGGGGTTATGATGCATTGTTTGGCTTAAAAGGGGGTCGTGCCGAAAAGACTGTTGTCAAAGACACACCGTTGAGCCAAAAGTATATTTCTTAATAGCACAATTGCTATTACAGTCTATCTGACCTGAGGGGACCTGAGTGGTATTACCACTCATAACTGTATTTAGGTAGGCAAGAAGAGGTCCAGTGTGGTTCTAAGGATGCCAGTATTATTTTCATAATGAGGCCACAATGAGGCCACAATGAGATTTTTCACAAAATAGTGATCGTTAATAATGACGGGAGCTCCTCAATAAGGTTTCCATTTTGCTCATCTACGTCACCTCTGTCACCTCTATCACCTCTTTAGGGTAATACTAACCGCTTAGCCGCCCTACAAGGTTCTGGATTTATAATAACGATTCAACTCGCAAGCGGAGTCGGGTGGACCTTGTGTGTAAATCACTTATTAGTTGCAGCTAGATATAAGTCAACACAGCCCAATAGACATAAAAGTCATCATCATCAACAACTCACAAGCGGGGCTTCGGAGTCGTGTTAAAGGCTTTTCTATCTAGTGTATACACTATTTATTACAACTATATCCATTACCGCTTCAATTACGTCATTGCTGTTAGATTGTACCGTTACAGTACCTCCTCTTTTTATACTACCCCCTTCTTTCTCTTTCTCTAGACTATCCTAATTAATCGGTGCTTATAAATCCATTCAGCTAGGGGCTCCGCCGTTATGTTCTAGGGTAGTTTAACATCTTGGGATACTTAACATTCCCTCCCAGGCGTGCTGGAGTTGAAGAAGGGTGAAGTCAACAACAACAACATACATACACATCATATCACATCACATCACACTGCTCAATCTCATAATTTTGTTACAATCACAGTATGCCCAAATCAACCATGAAGGAAGCCCTCGTAGCCCCAGGTAAGTATAAACCAGTTATATAGTCTTATATAGTCTTAAGTTTTCCTACTTAAGTAAGGTTCAAGGAAGGTTAACCATCAGCCAGGGCCCAAGGTCAAGATCGTCGACTCGCCTACCCCCAAACCCGAAGCCGACCAGGTCCTTATCAAGGTCGTGGTGAGCGGGTCTAATCCTAAGGATTGGAAACTGCCGGCAATGAATAACGTCACCATAAATTCGGGCGACGATATTGCTGGTATTGTTGAAGAAGTCGGTTCCAATGTGACCGAGTTCAAGCCCGGCGACCGTGTCGCCGCTTTCCATGAAATGATGAAGCCTCACGGGTCCTATGCGGAGTATGCGATCGCTTGGCAGCATACTACTTTCCATATTCCTCAGCATACTAAATTCGAAGGTATGAACCGGTAGTAGACGTAAATAAAAACCTTACGCTCATAACATACTAACGGACCACCTATCCAGAGGCGGCTGCGATTCCGCTGGCGGCAATGACAGCCGCGCTTGGGCTCCATCTCCGCCTTGGTCTCCCGCAGCCGTGGACACCGGCAACTGAGCCCATCCCCCTTATCATTTACGGGGCAGCTTCCTCCGTCGGTTCTTACACCATCCAGCTCGCTAAGAAGAGCAATATCCACCCTCTCATCTGCGTCGCCGGAAAGTCTCAACCCCACGTGGAGAGCCTAATCGACCGGAGCAAGGGGGACACCATCATCGACTATCGCGACGGAGACGAAGCCGTCGTCGAGGGCCTGAAGAAGGCAGCCGGCAAGTCCAAGGTCCTATACGCGTTTGATGCAACGTCAGAGCACAACAGCTACGTCAACATTAGCGAGGTCCTTGCTGAGGGTGGCAAGATAACAACCGTGTTGCCTCCGCAGAACTACGAGTTCCCCGCTGGCGTGTCGCACTCTATGACTAACGTAGGCTCGGTACATTCAGACGACAAGGACTTTGGTTTCGTGTATTTCCGGTACCTGGGACGAGCGTTACAGGAGGGCTGGTTCAAGGCACAGCCGCAAGTAATCGTACCGGGCGGACTTCGTGGCGTTCAAGCAGCGTTGCAGAACCTAAAAGCCGGCATGGCGAACGGTGTCAAATATGTCTTCCGGATTTCCGATACGGAAGGAATCCAGTGAATGGGATCTAGCTTACGCTAGATGCAACCATATTTCGGACATCACAGCCTTATTGTCAAACACCCATGACGCCGACGTACAGGGTCAAGAACATAACATAGGTAGGTAGGTATGGATCTAATAAGTTGAGTCATGTATTAAATATGGAAATGTACATATCTTAGGATGATCAAAGTGGCTGTATGAATATGATCTGTGTAAGGTAGTTTCCAAAACTGCGCACATTCAATCCTCCTTTCCAACCAGGACTTCCAAGAACTACAGTACTATCTAATGAAGACATCTCATACAGTCGTAAACTGGCCTTAGTTGCTCTTATAGACGGCGACATACTTGACCTGAAGGCCGCTGCCAAGACCGGTAGTTGTGTTACCGTCGGGCTGACCACCCCCTATATCGACATTAGCACTCCATCCCATCACCCCAAAGCAGCAGTCATCAGAGGTAGATTATTCCTAAATAGGTACTCACCAGGGAAGTTGCTACCGACAGCTACGTTGAGAATAGGGAAGAAGCTCTTGTGAGCTACGCGTCCCCACAGCTCGCCATCCCCTACATCGCTGCCCTTGATCTGGAAGAACTTGTTTCCGTCGAGATACCACTCCAGGGTTTCGTCCTGCCAGTTGCTGGGCGAGCGGTTGACCTTGATTGCCCACGTGTGGAAGGACTCGACTTGGAAGTGCTCCTGGCCGCTGCCCTTGCTCAGGTGGTCCTGACCACCCCGTCCGTAGTGGAGAGTGGCGAGGGACCAGTCGTTGCCGTGGGCGTTTTCGAAGACTGGGGAAGTTGATTAGTTACCTGTAGTTAAGACTACCTTACCTACCTAGGTCCTAGGTAGGTAGCTTATAATATTTTAATAGCCCTCCGCTATAACTGCATATCGAGGAATAGCAAGGGGACTCGTTCACTTACTATCCCACTCGCCACACTGCGGCCAACTAACGTCCTTCCCATTCCGGATATCGTTCCCGAGGGCCCAGAACGCCGGCCAGATACCCGACTGCTGGTTCGCCGGGTGCGTTCCCGTGCGCAGCTCGGCCTGCATCAGCAAGCGGTGGCCGGCGGGGCAGTTGAAGGCCTCCTGGCACTCGAGGCGGGCAGAAGTCCATTGCCCGTTGTCGTGGCGAGGGGTGATTTGCAGAATGCCCGAGCCGCTCAGCGAAGAGTTGGAGGTGCTTGTGGTGTAGTGCTGCACCTCCTGGTTGTTCGAGTTAGGACCGGCTGAGATGATCTTCCATTTGCCCTGGTTGGGAAGAGAGCCCGCAGATCCATCGAAGGTGTCGGACCAGACGATACTGTAGTTGGTTTCGGCTGGAGGAGGAGACATCGTGGTAGTATGTAAGTAGGCAAGAATATATTTATGAGCTAGCTGGTTTTATGAGGCTATTGGTGTTGGATATAGAGCGAGATGACCTGTGATGGACTAGGAAAAGATAATGGTGTCTCGGCTCTCCTTTATAGTCTGCTCGAAGCCACCGTGACACAAGCTACTCCATAGGTGGCCTCTGATACCAGGCGAAGGTAGCATCATGAGAGATCATGCGCTCTGATGGAGACAGAGGCTGAAAGGGCATGATGACGAGATTATAGTTAGTAATAACTAGTGGTTTTACCCATTGAGTGGTTCGCTTCGCTGCCGCCCTTAGTAGCGCTGAGCATCGCTCCATTTCCCAAGTTCTAGAATGAGGCCTTGAGGGTGTTTATTTCCAGCGTCATCGTAGCTCTGCTGTACTAGCTGTAGTCTGACTGTTTATTGATGAGCTCAGCATGGTGGACAGCCAGTAGTAGCATTCGTACGGTGAGCTCAGCATTCCGCACTTGGATAAAATGGTTTTTATATTTAGGTCTACTAAATAAGAGAGAAGCTCAATGACATATCACCGAATGAAGATATCATGTGGGCGTTTCTGGAGGGTAGCCAGTAATTTAATGTGTTATTCTCATATTAGCCTCAAGAGATGAAGTTATCCCCGAAGCTACAAAAAAAAAAGCATTTCTGGCTTACACAATGTCATTTTATAATTTCGCTATTCGTTACTAGCTTTTGATATATCGTAGGGTACTGGAAATAGATTTAATTGACTGAAGGTAGCTTGTAGCCCAGCTGCGTTGCTTATATGGTAGTGAGCGTTAAACTATGTAAGAACCAATGCGAATGGAGCTGTGTGGCTTGTTGATTGAATTGCCACTTAGTAATGTCCCCTGGTCCTTAGTAATGTGATCTAAATATGGCAGAGAAGACCTTAGAACAACCTCATGACTTTGTGATATATCAGAGTAAAGGGGAAAGTAGGGAGATAGTCTTATTAAGTCTAGATATTAGTGGTCTCTTTCAATACTTTACGCTACTTAGAAGGTTACATTTTAATATTCAAATCTGGAGATCTAACACGTAATATCAATACGAAGGCGGGTGACTGACCACATCTTTTTTATATCGCCTGAACCTCATGATACCTACTAGGTAACATAAAAAAATCGAACTTCCCGATAATGTCAAACTTTACGCCGTTGCATTTAAGAAGGTTTTCAGACTTGGCTGCTCTATATATTAGGTACTGGTTGGTATACCGGTTAGACTTCAAAACTTCCTTTCAGCTTCCCCTCAAAGATGGTCCAATACTTATCAAATCTTTTTTTAGAAGAAGCGTTAGTCTAGTACCTATACGTAGATAGTGCCATGGTGGCACACATCGTAATCTTCTAGCTATTAGTTGTCATAGATGAGAATACTTCACGCCTTAGCGGTAGGTAGTCAGTATCTACTACTAATCGCTTTTTGTATTCTAGTATAAGTACCTCCATATTGCCTTTGTTTACCTCAGTCAGGTAAATGTGCCTCCTACCTTGTTCAATCCATGGTAAACTGCTACAGTTAGAGTAGTAATCACGAGATACCATCCTAGTAGTGTCTCTATTATGTTCTCCCACTTCCGGCGTCAGAAACTCGTCTGAGCTATCATACGTGAAGGTGGGTACTACCACCCAGCAAGAATGAATCTAACGATGCGGACGACTCTTCTTATATGCCCGAGCAGCATACGAATCCCTTGTTACAGTCTTGTAAGATCGATGATGCTGTCATTGAGATGTATCTAAACAGCGACGTCATATCGAAAGATAAAGAGTAAAGCTGAAACTACGAAATGTGCTAAAGGTTGTCTAACTGTTGTTGACTAGCATTCGTGAAACGCGATACTGACAGCATTACAAGAGGACTAGTACTTTGCCCTCTTCGTTCATTAGCGATGACTCGATGGGATGATTTAGTTAATAGAACTTCGGACTATTATCTCTCCATCTTGGAGTAGCGGGATATCGAATTCTATCCAATCTTCCTAACTACCTATGGACTCTGACAGCTTGCATCCGCTTAATTTCCCCATGTATAAGCTTTTCTTAGTATCACGCGCCCTTGTCTAAGGGTTTCTTTTTAACCGACCCCAGAAATAGCAGGTATCGTGATATTTTGAGATCTGTAAAGTCCAGACGAAAGCGAGTCGAGGTGGATGCTTAAAAAAGCTTATAGGATCTCCACACCCAGATTTCCACGACGTTAGGTTCACAGCAGTGGACAGTAATCTGTTGAGCTTTCTAAAGAGGTTCTCATATTTTTCGTGTCGATCCCTCATATCGTTCCTTTCCCACGTTTATCAATTTGGGTGCAGGAAGAATCCAGAGATTCATCGTAGTAAGCAGCCACCTATTTTGAGTACGATGTCGCGAGATTACTTTAGCTATAGGTAGAGAATACATTAGGTACCTCCTAGATTAATTGTTTAGCGGAGAGCGCTAGCGACCATCAATTCAGATTTCCCAATTAGACTTCTAGTTTATCTTAGTTTATTTGATCAATGGGCACTTCGTTCGTTCGTGAGCTGTAGCCTAAGTCGTTCCGGACACTAATATGCTAGGCGATCTTAATGTCGCAAGGTATCATTCTCGCCAAGCGGAGCAAAAAACATGCGCCTAAAACGAAAGCTTGGCTTTTCCGTGTCGCTGAATGGGGGAAGCTTCGCACGATATCTCACAATCGCATCCTCTCTACTCCCCTGACAAGACGGCTGGTATCTTAATCTTCCCCTTATTCACGAACCTGTCAACTAGAAGATGTCTAGCGATGGAAGTAGAGATATAACTCAAACTTCTGGGCGTGGACTCCTTAAGTAGTTTAACTGCGGCGGATGAAATCCCACGATCTCGTGTTGAGCATGATGTCTTGTCCCTTGGACTTTCAATGGTTCAGCTCAAAATGTCTTTTCGTGTCTTGTAGCAGCCCTGGTCGCTGCCAACACTGCGCTGATGCATCAATGACAAACGAATGCCGAGCATAATGCCATGTCCTAAGGGTTTCGCGCGATGTTCGAGGGTGATGAAGCTAACAGGTAAATTGTTCGCATTGCGCTTATGTTTACTGCTATCAATCTATGGCCCATTTAAGGGGGCAAATTGAGCTAGAGCGTCTACTGACATCTTTGACGGGGCCTTGGCATTGATGAAGCGCGCTGGGGTTTTGTGTGACGGCCCCTGAGCTAGACTAAGACCCCCTTCTTAACCCCTTCTCGACCTGGGCTTTTGAAGTGCTAGCTAGATTCAAGCTCAAGCTCCGTTAGGTAGGGCTAAAATTTTTATAGGAGTCTACGCCGTAATGAGTGCAGTGATAATACAAATATTAAGATTTTACGGTTAATTATTATCTATTACTACCTCTTAACCTAACCTAGTTAAGGTACCCACAAACTTTGCTAGAACATCCTTGGGAGGATAGGCATCGCTCCGGGCGAAGAATAATCTTTACCTCTGCTCCCAGTCTGTAGAGTACCTCCTAATGTACCAGGTATCCTTGCCTCATATCTGGTAGCATCTTATTGCCATTCTGATCTGTCATTGGTGCGCCGACAGCTTGAAACGGCCGCTAAGGATAAACCACACCACCGCCGTCCGATGTCGAGAGGCCCTAGCATCTTTAACCGTAATGTATTCGTTTGGGCATAAAATATTCCTAAGGGTCTTCCAGTAAATACGGTAGATACGTATATAGGATAAGGCTTTAATTACCGCGAATACCCACAATGGATAATGGAAACGTCTTGGCCCGAGATCTGGCACAAGGGTCGAAACATGGAAGGACTATGCTAGCCGGCAGATCGTAAGCGATCAGTGTACCCCCAAAGATGTTTCTTGGGATATTCTGGAGTAGGTAGTGTTCAGGCGCGCCTCTTGCTCGCATCCTCACGAAAGACCATGTGCGCCACTTTAGCCACCGTCGGTTCGAGCCGAATTACTATGCTAAATGTTCCTTCGTGCGGCGTGCTATATCACGTAGGTACCTATTTTTTCAAGTAAAGACTGTACCTAGTAGTTCACGATGCCTAGGCACGGTAACCTAAGATGCCTGATATTATAACTCACAACTTATCTTATAGTTATAGTTATAATCTAGATGCTATACACTATGAACATAATTTGCGCGGCAACTCATTTCGCTTTTAAATTCGATGTGGATTTCCCATCTTGATAAAGCTGTATCTTCCGTATGAGGCGCTCATTCCTATTCGCTACCTGCGAGACGTCTTCTTCAATCCCCGCCGTTTTACTGCGTAGAATGCGACACCAAGCGCAGCAGGGATTCGCGAGCTTTGTGCGTTTTTCTCCACTTACATAGTACACATTTTTTAAGGTCTTAGTTCAAGTAATACCTAGGTAAGCATTCATGGTTTCTTCGCTACCCTGGACAAGACGCCTCCTTTACAATACCCTGTCGAGACGTTTCTTCCGTGGCAACCTAGAACACGATGAATTTTCCCAGTGGGCGCTTTTAATCATGGGGTTAGTTGACATGTCCACTCATGAGAGATGAAGTAAAACTCGAAACGGCTCTTCGCCGTCACTTTACCACGGTACGTACCCAACAAGGAGAAGGCTTGCCCTAGTAGAGAAAGGATCAACGTAGAAGGGAGGCTCCTTTAGCTGCTTGAAACCCACCAGCATGACACAAATCGTGTTGGATATCGGTTCGCGCTGGTTCTCTAAGGGGGTTTCTGGACTCGGCAGACACTTCGGGGTTAGTTTAGCTCGTGTGTGCTATGACCAGCCTGCGGAGATCGAACAAGATCTCCATCATCTATCATGTATATATGCCAGCACCACTCACCACAGATCGTCATCTTCCATGTTCTTGATCAGGCCGGCTTCCTTTCTTACCTACATTATTATATTCGCTGTTGACGATCCCGTGGATCTGTTTTATTCTTAATACATTCTTTCTTGAGCCTTATCATTCACTTTCATCATCGGCCCGGTGCTGTCCCTTTTCCACATTCATAAATTCAAGATGCCTTCCATTTCATCATCCATCTTTTCTCTTGTGTCCCTGTTCGCTGTTGCCCAGGCACACGGTGTCGTCTTGGCAGCACAGGGTATTAAGGGCTCGCCTACAAGTGTCGGTTTCAAGGTTGAACCCGAGTTGGCGAGGAATTGCACATCTATCAGCCCGTGCCAACAAGACACTACCATCATCCGAGATGCCGAGATCGCCGCAAACGTCGTGAACGAGTGTGGACGAACAGAATTGTCGGGTAACATCGACATCGGAGAGAACACGGAGAACGCGTTGGCTGCTGGCGCCGTTACCCAAGTCAAGGCCGGTACGCAAGTTAAGGTCACTATCCATCAAGTCAACGCCGACGGCGCCGGCCCTTACGCTTGCGACCTTGTCGAAGCTGGAAACAATGGTGTCATCACCCAGAACCTAACGGTCGAGAACAATGTTCCCGGTGTCAACGGTTTCTCTCAAGCCAAGACTCAGGATTTCGACATTCTCGTCAACATGCCCGAGAAGTTCTCCTGCAGTGGATGTAAGTTTTCTATCCCAATTTGCTAGAGTTATAATATCCTAACGATTCTTCTATAGCTTCCGCTGGTAATGTCTGCACTATCCGCTGCCGTAACAACGCTCTTGCCGGACCTTTCGGTGGATGCTTCCCCGTCCAGCAAGTCGATGTCGAGCCCAGCAAAAACACTGCTGCCAAGGTCTCCACTGGAATCTCTCTTGATAAGGTCTTCAAGCAGGTTTCCCAGGACCAGGCCGACCTTCCTGATGCCATCGCCGCCATCCAGAAGGCTGGAACCGACGAGGCAGTGAAGAACGCAGCTGTTGTCAGTCAGCTTCTGAAGCAGACTGTCACTAGCTTGCCTGCTGCTACCCAGACTCTCGACATTGTTACTGGAGTTGCCACCAGCGCTGCAGCGAGCGCAACCGCTACTTCCGGAACCGGCCGCAAAGGTAACGGACGTGGCAACAACAACGGAAACAACAACAACAATGCCAACGCCGGTACCAACAATGCTAGCGCTGGCAACGGAAAGGGCCATGGTAACGGCAACGCTTTCGGTGGCTTCGGTAACCGACGAAGAACTGTCTTCCGTGCGTAAACGGAGGCAATGACATGTGTTCTCTATGAGCTAGGAGATGATGAAAAAAAGGGCTGCGCCTGCTAGCAATGTACTTAGGAGTTGGGAGATAGCGCATAAAGGATTGATAGGGCACTTTCGACTGTACCAAGATTTGTCTGTACATATATCTAACGTAGACTATCCTGAACCGCAAATAAATCCGTAATGAGCGTGTGAGCAGTACGCAATGGTGGAGATAATTGATCGGATATTCTTACCATGTTGTTATCCCCATTGATATGTGACTAGGACTAGGACTTGGACGCCGGAGATAGCATAATTCCATAGCCAATAAAGTAAACAGCCCCTTGATCCTACGCTCGTACGGCATAGCAGGCTAGAGACATTCGGCTCGGTGACACGTTCCTGCAGATGGATGGGCTAAGGTAACCCGCCTGCGTTCCGCTTTACCATAACAATATAGGCTATGTGCTTTTCGGAAACAGCTTGGTAATCGTTTGTGAGCGTGACTTATCACTTTCTAAACTTCGTAATTGTTTAAATCCGAATGGTTTTAATTCCGAGCCGATGCAATGACGCCGTGCAACTGGACAATGAGTATAGGCTGTTGATTATCAACCATATTCCACGGAAGGCTGAGAGAAGACGATAAATGTAGCGGATTCTTATGATTACCAAATACTGTCGGCTTGGCTAATATAAACGGCTGTCCTTGCTACCTCCTAACACTGATAAGCCTTGCCGCCTCCTTCTAACTCTACCTACCTCTTACTTACGAGGTAATAGCGTCGCATATTCATTTATACAATACTTACCTTACCTTACCTTACCTACCTCCTAAGTAGCTAGAAGATAGACCTTCACAATGTCGACACATCTCGCAGCATTCCTTACCGGAAAGGGGCAGCCGCTCGAAGTCCGGGAAAAGCAGACGCCCAAGCCGGGCCCCGACGAACTTCTTATCGACGTGAAGTCGATCGCCTTGAACCCCATCGACTGGAAGCAGCGCAACTTTGGTTTCGCCGTCGCCGATTACCCCGCCGTGGTCGGCTCAGACGTCGGCGGGGTCGTGCTCGAGGCCGGCTCCAACGTATCCGCCATCTTCAAGCCCGGGACTCGCGTCACGGCTTTTGCGCCGGCCTTCTTCGCCCAGGGAGCTCCCGATTACGGCGCCTTCCAGCAGCGGCCTATCATCCCGGCGGTGAATGCCGCTCCGATCCCCGACTACCTTTCTTTCAACGAAGCTGCCACACTTCCTATGGCTTTTGCTACGGCGTGGTCCGGCTGGGAAACTATCGGTGTTTCCCGCACCACCGCCTATTCTCCCAGCGACAAGCAAGGCCTTCTAGTCTGGGGCGGTTCTGTAAGTAAATCTTCGGGTTCATTTTTAGTAAAATGAATACTATAAAAAAAGAGAGAGAAAAAAAGAGGCAGTTGCTAACATTAGATTCTGTAGTCTAGCGTCGGCACCGCAGTGATACAAAGTGCCAAGCTACTCGGTTTCACCGTGTACGCCACCGCGAGCGCCAAGCACCACGACTACATCAAGTCGCTAGGTGCGTCGCGAGTTTTCGACTACAAGGAGCCCAACGTGGAAGACGCCATCGTCAAGGCGGGCAAGGAAGACGGCCTCACGTTCCAATACGGGTACGACGCCGTGGGCGCTACCCAGTCCTGCCAAACCATCCTGAAAGCCCTAAAGGGGAGCGGGCCGGCTCACCTCGCCTCCGCACCCCCCTTAGACCCCAACGGGCCCACTCCAGAGGACGTCGAGACTAAGTTCGTCGCTGCCTCGACCGACGATAAGGTGCGGGAAGGACAGTTCTCGTTTATTTTCAACACGTGGTTGAAGGAGAAGTTGAAGAAGCGCGAGATCGTGCCGAGCCCGAAGATTCAAGTGGTAGAGGGAGGCCTGCATGGAATCAACAAGGGCCTTGATATCTTGAAGGCTGGGGTTAGCGGCACGAAGCTGGTTCTCGAGCTTTAGCGGATAGATACGATATTAAAATTATACGATGCAGTTGAGATGTCTTAATTATGACTATGGAACTAGAGAGATTTCTCCGGGATACATCACTGTGCGAAGCCAATGTTTCATTAGGTTTGATAAACCCCAAATCTTTGCTCCTAGTATCCATCAGTCATTCTTAGGGCAATAGCTAGGCCATAGCACAGTGTGCTAGCATCTTGCCTCTTAAGGCTGCACGTTTAGTCGCGAAGCCAACTTCCAACCCCACCAGAGAGTAGCCCCTATGGTTATAAGATTCAGGTGAATGCTCATGGCGTGGTTACGCGAGAATGCTTTATTTAGCGCTCCCATCTCTTCGCCAACTTCAACCGGGTCGTTTGATTTTCTTCCATCCCGTGTTTCTGAGTCTCCGTTAGCGATTGCGGCGCTATTAATCCGGATTTCGGTGCACAAATAAAATCCCATACCTTGATGAATCCGCTGAATCATGATCTGGCGTGTTCGAGGCCCGTAGAGCATCAGGTTAAGAAGCGCCGTGACCCCTGCAACAGCAAACGGTATCCAATTGCCCATGCTGGAGTGCAGTGTCAACGGTCCGTATGGAGGGACTGCCACTGCTGTCAGTAGGAGAAGAAGGGTCTACCCCCGGAAGTAAATTGGGAAGATGCGCTTCTGCAAGGTGGTAAAGGCCAACCGTGGTAGCTCTTGATAGCATACTTTAGTCATCACAAACGACTGGTACAGTTCCATGCCTAGGAGCGTGGAGTAGGAGAAGAGATGGATAGGCGCCAAGAAGCTGGCCGGGGACAGAGACGTTTGCAAGAAAGCCATTGGGGGTATGATTGATCGGTGGATTAACAGAGTACAAGGATAAGAAAGTCGATCGAGAACGTTGGATGAGTTATTTATAATGAAAAACTAGATTATTGACAACGCCGGCCAGAAACGGAGGTTGAGTTTCGGTGCGCTTCCGTCGCTAAGCTTACGAAGCTCCGAAGGGGGTCGGAGGAGGATCCCAACGTACCAATGGGAATTTTGATGACGCATTCTCGACTGTTGTAAGCGCGCAATGAACTGATGACTAGGCCGTGAAGAGAGTCTCTTGACTCCCTTGACACTCGCCGTTTTGCCAAGTCACAAGGGTTTAATTTGCAATTGCTCGTGGTGGTTACGACTCGGCGCATGTTAATTCCTTTCTACTAACGGGGCTCTAACTCGCTACCTACCAGCTAGGCCGTTCAGTCCGTCTATTTTTCTTTCCGCTTTTTCCATCTAACTCATCGCGGTCTTTCTCTATGAAGGGGCTAATGTGGTTATATTGGGGACCGATAACGTGCGTCTAGGAATATGACGACGCAACAACCCTTGCTCAGCGTAGATGCTGAACAGACGAAACGTCGGATTCAGAAGGTCATTTTCATCTTTAAGGCGTCTTTCTTGATGATGTCTTCTTTCTTTTCGAAGAACTCGGCCATATCCCACATCACGCTGATGTATCTACCCGCCAGCCAGTCCTGTCTCTGGCTTGTGAGGAATGCGACCGTATCGCCGCTTATGGCGGGCGTGCACTTGAGCCAAGCTTGTATTTTTATGAGCCTTAGGTAGGTAGCAAAGGGAATTTGAAAGCATGGAGTAATGGCATACCTTGTGTTGCCTCTGGTAACCCTCGGGCGAGATCTGTGACGACTCTATTTAGGCGAAATGGTCAGCTAATTGGCAACCTAAACCAGATGAGTAATAGAAAAGCTTCTAGTTACTCACCCTCCTGGGTGTACTGAATAGGCGAGCAAGCCCTACATAAATGTTAGAAGACGATAGTCTAAGTACCCAAGGTATTTCATGGGAAGCGCCTTATCCGACTCACCTGATCTGCGTACTCAGCCATGAGGTACTCGGTGAACCTCAGAAGAGTAAACTTGCTGAGCTGATAGCCACTTCCACCGCTATGAAAGTGATTGACTCCAGTCGAGGACATGTTGATGATCGTCTTATCTCCGCCTCGCAGCAATAGGGGTAGAAAAGCCCTCGCGATAAGGTAGCTTCCGCGAACGTTGACCTCGAAGTTCCGCCACCATTCTCCCTCGTCTCCGTCCAGGATCTTCTCGTACTTGGACAGATAGCCTGCGTTGCCAATTAGTATGTCGAGTCGGCCCCATTGCTCCTCCAAAACGCGAGCCCCGTTTGTCACGCTCGTGGAATCGGTAACATCTAATCGCAGGACGATAACGACTGGTTTCGCCCGTCCAGCATCCGCCGCGCTCTTCTCGATCTCTGCCACGACTTCGGGGACGTCTGAGCGGGACGTAATAGCGATGTGCGAAGCGCCTGCCTTAGCGTAAGATATAGCGACACCTTTTCCAATCCCTTTGTTTCCACCGGTTACTAAGATGGCCTTTCCTGTACAATTGGACTTCGTCGCGGGATTAATATAGTCGTACGTATCGTAGTGATTGGTACAATAGTCAGCGCCCCAGTTGGGGGCTACTGGCGGATATGAGGCACTGGCAAGTTGGTCATTTAATAGTCCCGCCATCTTGCTGGGCGAAAGGAGAAGTCCGGGTTTAGGTGTTGATAGCTGTATCTGGTGCCGGAGGGAAGAGGAGGGTAGCGGGGGTAACGGAGAGTTTTAAGCTGCTGGACAAAGAACGTTACCAGGTAGGTTATTACACCAAGACAGGTATAGATTTAGGCTCGAGGGGCGGGGAGAAATACTGGGAGCTCCGATCTTCGTACTTCATAACAGGTATTTCTCAACTTCCCTCACGTAATTTGTAACACGCAAGATGAATTTGTATTAATTAACTTATCAGTTAGCCCCATAATTAACAAGTGTCACTGACAGCTCATTGGTATGAACTATCGTATGTTTCGGAAAGCAAACTTAAAAATCTTGCAGGTACCTGCTTCTATCCGTGCTGACTGCAGTCAGTTGGAGCCCGACGCCATAACGACGAGCCAGTAGTTATACGGTGCCACCTAAAAAACAACATTAGAAGTACATTGGATTATCGGAACTTTGAACATCAAACCTTAAAAGTGGAACTTATCTGGTATTACTTATCGAACGGCGCGCATCGTAACGGTTTGTGGAGGCATATACATTTCCGCCTCCGCGCTCCGTTCTCCGTATTATAGTGGGGCCGGGCAACTGCAGGTGTTTTCCTTGAAAGGGAAGCCGTTAATAACCCGCGTCGTCTTAGGTCAGGTACTAGGTAGAGGTACTCACTTCTATCCTCTTCTTTTTTTGAGCTTTCCCCCCCTTCCTTTCTTTTCCTTTCTTTTTTTATTTTTATTTTTATTTTATTTTTATTTTATTTTATTTTATTTTATTTTTATTTTATTTTTATTTTATTTTTATTTTATTTTTATTTTATTTTTATTTTATTTTTATTTTATTTTTATTTTATTTTTATTTTTATTTCACAACTACAACCTAAATTCTACACCCCTTCATCTCACTCTAATAAAAGTGTATGTCTCGACTCCTACCGGAAGTTGTTAGTCACGATATATAAGCCTCATCAATGGCTAATGGAACAGTTATAGCGATTGAACTATATCAGTGTGTTGCAGGTGTAGTAGCAATAAGTGATCGATTTGGTGCCTAGAAAGTCGCGTTCTAACCAACTACCAATAGCGTACGCCTCCAATACTCCTCCACTCACCCCGGGCTTTAAAACTTGAGCTAGCTGAAAGTGAGGCCGCACGCCATATTAATATCCCCTGGCAACTTAGAACAGCAACTCAGTGGCCTGCATTGGCCCATGCATTCTCGAACTCCTTAATCGCCCTCTTGGCCTTGTCATTGCGGTCTGTTTTATCTTTGTCCCCTTTTTCGGATGGGACTACGCCTGCGACTCGTTCCGATATAGTCGGCTCGGCACGAAGAAACTCCTGTAGCATATAGGACTGGTAACCGCCCTTTTGACTAAAGCTACGTTAGCTTCTTACGGCGAGCCCCAACGAGTGGCACGTACCTGTTAGAGTCTCCCGAAGCCTGAACTCCTTGACTTTCCGAGGGCGATGCCATGTTTTAACGATTTCAGCACTATAGCTTGGGCGAGCTTTTCTAGAGTTCTTGGTTCGACGAGGGCTTTTGAGAAGAGATTTTATTGTGAGTGTAGAGATGATGGACTGACTGGATCCTTAGAGTCATCGTTCTTATCGTTTTATATTTTTTTTTTGGTCTCTTTCAAACTTCATGTTGTAGGATATGCCTTCAGGTTGTTCTATACTTCTGACCATAACCTGAACTCGAACTTGAGATCGGGTGTGTCATCGCGGTTGTTCAATAAGGATGTAATCCGGCCTCTCATTGGTTAATTCACACATATGCTGGAGTTTTCATCGTATTGGTTCAATTCAGGGCCTCATCATGAGGACCATGAAGTATTTCATGAGAGCGGTTCAGGTTGTGCCATAACCTGAATGTTTTAAGGCTTACTGACGAGTTCGTACCAGGTACATATTCCATAGCCTTTCAGGATTCGAAGTATATTGTACCTGTTGCGCATATCTTCCAGACCTGCATGAGAAGATATATTATTCGGTAACAAGGTGCATAACTCAACCTTCCAATGATTTGACCTTGTTACCTTAATGGTGCCGTCGGGCTGTTACGACTGCAGCCTAGCTACCATGCCAGCCATGCTGATAGGTAGTACAACTTCCAGTTCCTTGAATGTGGCTTACCGAAATGCAAAACCTGACGCTAAACCCGATTGCAAAAAAACCTGATGGAACTGTGACCCAATAGGATTATTGAGGCTGAGCATCTCACATCCATTAGGGTACCAGTGTAGGTACCTAATATGTAGAGACAGCCTTGCTTGATAGAGCACTTTAAAAGATGGCAAATCCGCATTTGAATTTGCTGGAGGAAACATTCCCTACCTCTAGTTCTTTTCAGCTTAAATCACGATGCCTAAACGACCAAATACCCAACATTTCAGCAATGATGAATGGGAGGAACGCAGGAAGCGGATCCGCGACCTGTTTGAGCAAGTCCCGCTCAAGGGCGCAGGTGGTGTCATCGATACAATGACGAACGAAGGCTTTCCCGCTACGTAAGCATCTCTTAACATCCTATCCAATTGTCCAACTGAAGTATTGAACAATTCAATTAATGCCCAGCAAGGGTTGCGCAATATGAACATAGATTCCGAGCGTGGGGCGTGAAAAAATACAAAAAGCGTGGTAAACCGGAAGAAACGACTCATGAGATACGACAAGGAGAAACAACCCAGACGTACCAGACCTCTGAATTCCAAGAGGGTGCACCGCCCACTGAAATTGGCAATACAGCCGATACTATGGATGTTGATGTAGAAGAAGAGATTTTCCCGTGGACTCAGAGCACGCAGCATCTTATATCGCCGAATGAGGACTTTAACATTGCGGACTGGGATATGACCATGACGGATTCGTCAGAATACAGCTTTCCACTACACGGACTTAGCAACCCCTTCTGGGACATGGTATCATCCTCTGGCAATGTTTCCTTCCCCATGTCCGTAAATAGTCGACAAGTCTTTCTGCCAGCATTACCTTCCACTCAGCTTGTAGTTGCAATGATTGAGAGTCAGATGAAATTCGAAATGAACCAAATGAGGAATTGATTAGTGCATTTTGGCTAACGCGGTCGTGTCTGTTAGGCAGCTTGACGGGAATAAACAAGTCCAACACCCTCCAAACATTCTCAACTGTTGTGGCTAGATCAGCATCAACTTCTCATAACTTAACCCATCTCCTCTCAGTCCTCCATCGACTCTATTCTCCAAAATTCTTTGTCGGAGAGGATTGGAGTAGGCTTCGCGAGCTACCAGTTGAAGTTGAGCTGGATGCTCGTTTTGATGGCAGATTAATTGCGTCTATCGTCAATGGATATACAGGTCTCCAGGGCATGCCACCCGCCAGCGTTCTGGAATTCCTGTGTAGGCACCCGCCAATGCAGGACGCAGTTCTCAACTGTTTGAACGCCCAACGGAGTCCAGTGGCCAAATCATTCACCGAAAACATCTTTTTGGCATATTTAGAAGCCGATAACGCTGTAGCCATCAAGTCCTTGCTTGACAGCGGATGGGTCAATGCAAACGAAGCTGTGTGTCATTATCACGGGGAGAGATACACACCGCTTGAAATTGCTGCAATCAAGCAATCATTCAAAGTCCTCCGGCTTCTCATCGACCAAGGGGTTAATACGAATAAATCTTTTTTAAGGGCCAGTCATGACAATGCATTACATTTGCTAATCGAGCACGTGGAAGACCGCCGATCGACACTTGAGGATAATATGCTGAGTTTAGTTGATACGTTCTTGAAAGCTAAAGCAGCCGTATTGATAGATACTATCTACATGGCACTTCGCGCTTTTACTGATCCACGGCTCGCCGTCCGCCTAATCGAGTATTTTGCTTTTCAAACGCCTCACAAGCTTATTTCACGCGAAGGCCTGCTCAAAAGTATCCTCCAAAACTTTGACAAACAGCACGCGACGAGCATGGTTAGCCTTATTGTACGCAAATGCCAAGAGTTGGGAAAATTCCAATACTTGGATCGATTCTCTCAGGATGTCAAGTATGTGTTGGGTAAGGCCGTGGACCGCGGGTATGATGATGTAGTAGAAGTCCCACTCCCGTATAACATGTACCCAACTAACATACTTGGGAGGGCAATTGAGGCCACAAACAGCAGGGTCGTCGAATCGAATCTAGATTTGGGTGGAGATATAGAAGATGGCGAGGCTTTCATCTCCGCTCTCCGATCTGGAGATTACAATAGCCTTCACTCCCTAGAGCAACGTGGCGTCTTTAACCATCTCCAGGGTTACGAGCTCGGCCAAGCCCTTACCGTGGCTCTTGAAGCTGGGAACTTGGAGTTCGCGACGAAAATCATGAATCTTGACCCCGAGTTCAAATTTTACGAGAAACCGACATACGACCTAGATGAAAATCACATATTTGACGTGCCCGCCGCGCTAGATGCTGCTTTGGCTCACGATTTTGATGATCTTGCTTGGTCACTCCTGGATGTTGGTATCACAATCAGACCTGCGTCCTTTAAATACAGTTGTGAGGATTCGCTACTATATGTTGCGGTAAAGAATAACAGACTAGACTTTGTGAAAGTTATTGTTGAATCTGGCTTGCTTCGCAGTGATGCCGATCTGTCGCCGATTATAGAGGCGGCCTTGAGATGTGACGGGAACTCAATGTTTGACGAAATTTGGGCAGCCTGTCCACGCCCAGTCTTCTACACAGAAGGTCTTTTAAAACTTGCACTAGAGACGAGAGGAAAACACTTGTTTTTGGCTATCGTTGATGCTGGCCCTCCAGAAGCAACCTTTGCAATGAAAGTTGCAGTGGAGTGCGAGAATGAATCATTGCTTGACGAACTAATTTCCCACGGTGTCTCAGCAGATAATGAATATGTTCTATTGGAAGCGGTAGAAAACCATCATTCGATGATCATACCGCTTTTACACCGATACAGGAAAGCCTTTCCGAAAGGTCGTGCTGGATATGGAGGGCATATTGTTTTGAGTGCACTCGAGAAGCACTCGACAACACCCGAGCTTCTTGATATGGCTTTTGCTTGGAATCTTGTGGGCCCGAATATCAACCGAACCTTCACAAACAAAGAAACTTTTCTACGCAAGGCAATCGAAACACACGATTGCCTTGTCGTTAAAAGGTTTATTGACGCTGGTAGTAACGTCAATAGTACCATGATGGATAATCGCCGCTTGGGTGTTTATTGCCAGACAACCCCGCTCTTGAATGCAATCAAGACTCAGATCGTAGAAATGGTTGAGCTCCTCATTGACCGTGGTGCGGATGTGAACAAAGCGGCTACGTATGGTATACGACGGACTCCTCTTCAAATGGCTGTCGAAATGAATAATATGGCCATTGTCCGTTTGCTGCTAAGCCGTGGTGCTGATGTCAATGCCATACCTTCAAGGTATGGTGGAGCTACGGCCCTGCAAATTGCAGCTATCCAAGGAGACTGCGAGATGGCAAAGGTTCTCATAGAGCACGGGGCCCAGAATGATATTACTCGGTCCGCCGGAAGACACGGACGTATGCCTCTGGAGGGTGCAGCCGAAAATGGTCGTCTTGATATGATAGAGCTTCTCTGGAGGGCTTTTGATGGCCGTTTTGACGATGATCAATGTCGGAATGCGATACGGCGTGCAGAGAGATACGGGCATTTTGGCTGTAAGGAGATGATTGAGGAGTTCATGAGATCCTCGGCGCGCAACAGGATTGCGCTACCTACCTTGTCTTAGGACCATGGAATTCCCTTTCAAACGCGGCTTGGTGGTCAACACGAACTGAGCCAACACGTCAAGGCGGCATAGCCTTGGGTTTTATTACGAGTAAATGAATAATGTCTGGTCAAGAGCGAGCGTATTGGATCAAGGTCATCTATGATTTTATGTAGTATGGTAGAATGTCAGGGGTTTTCCTCTATGTCATATCTCTAGATTTCAACGACTAAGTTAAATTGGCTTTGATAGATAAGCCTCTGAAAGCAATAGTACCTTGTATGTAGAAGTGGATTGACGATATGAAACTAGGAATTAGTCTCCATCCTCAAAGGCTTTTTCTTCCTGCTAACGAAAAGTGTAACTTGCTTTTTCAATCAGATTTTTTTTTTCTTCCATACAACTATGGTGGGGCTTACAAAAAGGCCGTCAGGGGTTCAAAAGTGTCTAACTGAGTCTTCGTTCTGATTTGTCGCCCCTTCAAACTATCTATCGCCAATCTTGACCACAACAAGGAGAAGCGATACATAATAGGAACGCCATGCGAGATAAGGTTGGTTGGTAGCTCCACCGCGGCACGAAAATCGTATAATTGTTCAGTCCTGTCGAATAAAACCGCAGTCCTCACTGAGCGGTAAAGCCCGGATGCAAGCCATGATTTATTCTCCAGACGGATGATAGGAAACAAGCCCAAGGCGTTATTGCGGCGTTTGTCTTAGAAATGCGTCTAACTTAAGGTACCTAGCTTGCACGCTAGATGAGACCGGCCAAACCGGTATCTGTAGTTCAACACTTAGTCTGTGTGAAAAAGACCGAGAGTTGCGGTTTAGACAGTAGGTATCTAACGATAAGCCTCTTCGCTATCGTCCGACGGCCAATGAATAACCCGAAGGGCTGTTCGATAGATACCTATATAAATAGCTGTTAAGACTGGTGGTAGGTACATTTCCCTAAAACATCGTTAAACGTGTAGATTATCTCTTCTGCACACCTACTTAGGTACCTCTACTGTAGTAGCAGTTCCTATCAACACGTATAACATCATGCTGCTCATTGGTATTGTCCTGGCTGCTTTGCTGGGAATGGCCCAGTCGATGGCTACTAAGGCTTCAGCGAAACATCACGGGGGCAGTGGTGGTAAAATAGCACCCAAAGTCGTAATTATCAGCATGGTAAGTCTGTCTTATATAGAGGTCCTATCCGCTATTACAATGGCTAAAGCCGAACAATAAAACCGCAGTTCACTCCGGAAGCAGATGTATGGTACGCCAATTCTGCCAACAGCTCTATCGGCTCGCTCTTCGCGCAGAACATCTCCGTGCCGGGCCTATCCCCGCTATTCCCCTACGTGCACTGCAACGCGCGCGGCGAAGTCTGCCAGCTGACCATGGGCGAATCGGAGATCAACGCGGCGACGTCCGCGGCGGCGCTCGCCTTTTCGGGCCTGTTCGACCTGCGCGGGACGTACTTCCTGCTTGCGGGCATCGCGGGCGTGAGCCCGAAGCTCGGCACCCTCGGCAGCGTCGCGCTGTCGCGCTTCTCCGTCCAGGTCGCCCTGCAGTACGAGCTCGACGCGCGCGAGATGCCCGCCAACTTCTCCACGGGGTACTTCCCGTACGGCGCCGACGCGCCCGACCGCTACCCCGCCACCATCTACGGCACCGAGGTCTTCGAGGTCAACGCGGCCCTCCGCGACGCCGCCGCCGAGCTCGCGCGCGCCGCCCACCTGGCCGATTCCCCGGCCAGCTCCGACTACCGCGCCCTGTACGCCGCGAGCGGCGAGGTCTACGCGGCTGCTACCGGGAGCCCCAGCGTTATCAAGTGCGACTCGGCCACCAGCGACGTGTACTACTCCGGCGCCCTGCTAAGCGAGGCGTTCGAGAACACGACGAAGCTCTGGACGAACCAGAGCAGTATCACGTACTGCATGTCGGCGCAGGAAGACAGCGCGGTTTTGAACGCGTTGATGCGAGCTGCCGTCTGGGACCTCGTTGATTTCTCCCGAATAATCCTGATGAGAACCGGTGCGTGGCCGATTCCCCCTCCCTTCCTCCCTCCCCTCTCGCCTATCCCGTTTTATCCAGAGGGAGGTTGATTGAATGCTAACAAGAACATGCGATCTCCAGGTTCCGATTTCGATCGACCCCCGTCGTCGGTTAGCGCTTTCGATCATCTGCGCGTTCTCGACCAAAACGGGTTCGACATCGCCGTCCAGAACATTTATCTCGCCGGCGTGGAGATTGTTAAAGGTATCGTAGACGGTTGGAACTCTTCCTACGCCTCGGGGATCAAGGCGTCCAACTATATAGGGGATATCTTTGGCACGCTAGGGGGAGAACCGGACTTCGGCCCGGGCAGCATCTTTGGCGGGGTAGGCTTTTCGACGGCGTCAGGTACCGAAGTGGGCCTATCGAAGAGGGCTGTTCTCACAAAAAGGGGAGGTAGGATGGCGGGCGGGTGGAAATAGGATTAGGTACTAATGATTAAATTATTGATATCCTACAAGCATCTGTATACAATGTCCTCAAGGGCGAGGAGGGCACAAGCATAGATATACCCCACTTATATCAACAAATAAAAGCTCTCAAAAGGTCGTGATATACTACTGTCTTGAGCATAGATCGAAGAGCTCAAGCAACTAAATTGATGGTGAATGTATTTGTGCCCTTCTCGCACTTGAGGACATAACTATTCTGAATTATTACTAGCTTTTAACGATACGAACCATGGTGATAATATTACTCTTCGTATATTGTATAAATTAAATGCCAGCTCTTATTACTCCACCGGCTGTATAATTATATGCTGACATATTGTTAGCATTTCTGTTGTGATTCCTGATCCCAACCTTGACCGCAGCATCCAACTGGAGCTAACAGGTAATGGTTTCGAGACACGGTACGATATCCATATATCTTTAGACGAGACGGGTACCAGTTATGACACATCCCGACGCTATTGGCGGTATCGTAGATATAGCTCATACGTGCGTGGGCGTAGCAGGTGTGTTGCCACCAGTAGTATTAGCAGCGGGACCACCGACATTTTCTCCAGGACCTTCAGGGTGGATATCAGCACTAGGATTATACTTCTCGCTAGTGGTTTGGCTGCGGTTCCGGATGCGTAGACCTAATTGCGAACTGCTGATCTTACGGTGTCCTAGGATGAGCATGAGTCCGAAGACAGGCTTGGCTAGGATATCGAGAACTCCATAGAATACGGCCTCTCCATCGGGGTGAATGACGTTGCCACCCTCGCTCAGACCCCAGGCAATGGGATAGAGCAACCAAAGGAAGATGAGAAAGCTACCGCAAAACATGAAGGTCTTCTTCGGGGCTCCGCCTAGGGTTGAGGCGTGTCGTCGAGCATCAAACAGCAACTCATATACGATGAATAATAACGCTGCCGTACCGAAGGCCCAAAATCCCCACTTGAAACGAGTCCGAGTTAAAGCACCGATCAGGCCGGTAACGATCATAATCTCATCGGCGAGAAGAGTGGCTAAAATTGTTGGAGTTGGTACTCCGGCGGTGAGGAGAACGCCGAGGAGGAGCAAAGGCGTAGTTATAACCCAGTCAATGTAGCGGGCATAGAATATTTCTCGTGTCCCTGCCGCTCCTACCCCCCAGCGACTACGAGGCCGCACGAATTCGGCCTGAATAGGAACTTGGCCGAGATTTGACCCCATTGCGAAGTAGGCAATGCATGCGACCCCAGTGGCGCCTACCATGATGTAGTGAAATAATCGGTCACTTTGCGGCTTCATGAACGATAGGCCCATAAAGAGCAGAGTGCAGGCTCCCATCAAGGCACATACTGCATAATACCAATTTGAGCCGTGGGTTGTAATTTCTAAGTTGGCGTGCTGGCCAACCACCCTGTTAATATTGAGAGCTTGATTTCCAGGCCCAGACATTCTCGCGGTAATATGCGAAGAGAAGTTTCAGATAGTGGTTCGATGAGGTCGGTGGGTTACAGCATGCAGGTTTTATAGTTGATGCTTGGTTAATGGATGAGGACCGGCCTGGACGCAGGGCAAGATATTTGAATACAAACAAGATTGAGCCCAGACGAAAGTGTAAATCAACTTGCCAGTGATGACTTCATTATCCCGTAAAGTATTACCAGATGACACGGTCATGTCATGCTGCTGCAATGATGGGAAAATCCTGCATAAAAGAATCCTAGGATAGTTTTACAAGGCGTGACCGTGCTCCCATCAACATATGTTGCCAATGATCAACTGAACTTCAGGTTTAATAAGAAACTTTCTTCCAACGAGAAGGTATCGTGTTATTCTAGAGCTCTTTAGGTTAGGAGAGAACCAGGGGTTAGACCCTGACTTGACGTAGCCAGGGCTGTGCCTAATTCCATCGCTGATATACCACATAATCGAGTGCTTTAGTGTGGATAGAAAGTATAGCTAGGATCAATCGGTTAGGTATTGTTCCTTGTGGTCGAGAGATTTGAGTTTCGATAGTGGTGCCGTCCAACTCTAGTCCCTGTTCAATGACATTCTGCTCAGAGCTTTTACCAATAGAATCCTGCTACAAACCAAAACAAGGTTCGTCAAAGGAGGGGTATTCTCCTTCAACTGCATTGCTCATGCGTTTCCTTGAGGATTTGTGATGTTTCAGTTGCTGGTATTGCTGTATGATGATGCTTTGCCGTTTTTGAATGCGGTTAGGTTGTTGCTAGTTGAATGCCAAATTCTCTATCGAAAATTGACACCATAGGCTGTTTGACCGTCATACGGCTCATTTCCGAGGATTTACGAGTGCTGTGAGTTTCGGGGGCACCCTAGCCTTTGCTTCGTTAGTTTAGGTTATCACCTATGAAAGCACCTTGTTGTGTAGCTTGCTTTCTTCTTCCGCTCTTGATTCATATCGTCATCGTGTTTCGATTGCTCATTATGCTTCGACTATACAGTTAATGTTAAACGAAGATGGTAGGGGAGACCGACGAAGACTGACCAGGAACTATCATGTAACGGGTAGATTGAATTCTGATGATAAGACATTCAATAATAGTAACCCTTATTACTATTGATCACGATCGAAAATGGATACGAAGCGGCCGCAATCGAGACTGATAGTTTCCACGTAAACTTATCAGACCTTTTCCTTAAATGATTGGCCTACCTATATCTATACGAAGTGGCCACAACATGGCGGGACAGAGACGGATTTTACATCCGTAAGTATTCGATAGACACCAGGAGAAGGCCAGATACTTATCGCTGAATTAGATATCTTACTGGAAATTTTGCTCCCATCAAGCGAACTCGAAAATTAACACGATGCTCCGGCACCGGGCATATCCCAAGGGAGCTCGCTGGAGGTCAATACGTCCGCAACGGCGGAAATCCGACTACCTATGACGACCTAGAGAGAGATTCACACTGGTTTGACGGTGATGGCATGCTCACCGGTGTCCTCTTTAGGCGCAAAGATGAAAACGGCAATATCGAGCCAGAATTTGTGAATCAGTACATTTTGACAGATGTTTATTTGAACGCGAAAGACAATGAGAATTTGAAGCGCCCGTTGCTTCCTAGCATAGCAACATTACTCAGCGCTTCCATGACAACTATCATCGCGGCAGTAGTTAGGACATTGATTCTCGTATTGTTGTCGAGATTGCCGGGATCCAAAAGAACAGTCAAAAGGATAAGTGTCGCTAACACTAGCGTAGTATATCACGATGGCAGAGCTCTAGCAACTTGCGAAAGTGGACCGCCGATGAGATTTCATCTTCCTAGCTTGGAGACTATTGGATGGTATGATGGTCGAAAAGCTGAGAATGAAATGAGTCTAAGTAATAAACCAGGTTTTGGTGGAAATGGGTTGATGGCGTTTATGAAAGAGTGGACAACTGGTCATCCGCATTTTGACCCTGTCACAAAAGAACTTATCTCATTCCATGCTGTTTTAGTTAAACCGTTCGTCTATTACTCGATAGTCCCGTCAATTAGGTACTCGGCTACGGCGAATGGTTCAGGACCAAGGTTTGAGATGCCCATTCCGGGAATACGATCGCCCAAGATGATGCACGACTTTGGGGTTGCGGCACGTCACACGATCATAATGGACCTTCCCCTATCTCTGGATCCTCTGAACGGGGTGAAAGGAAAACCAATTATCTCATATGACCCGACGGAGCGGTCCCGGTATGGCGTCTTTCCTAGATATGAGCCACATAAGATACTATGGTTTGAAACGAACCCATGCGTCGTCTTTCATACGGCCAACTGCTGGGAGACTGAGACGTGTGTTCACCTTCTTGTTTGTCGTCTCACATCAGCATCGATTGTGTACAGCGCTGGTGCGCTCACACCTCCTGAGACCCAACCGATACCTCCAGAGTATTTGGAAGAGGAGCAGTGCAGGTTATATTACTATAGTTTTCCGCTCGTGAAAGCGGAAACAGATGAGACACCAATGATAAACAATCAGTGGGCGTTGTCAGCTATTCCCTTGGAATTCCCGACGGTATCACCATCTCACGCCATGAGGCTAACCCGCTACATATATGGCTGCAGCACGGGCGGCATGTCCTATTCTGCAGCGGTCGGAAAAGGGGCCAAAATCGCGTACTTAGCAAAGATAGACGCAACGACGCTGATTGATCGAGGCATTACTCGTCCACCACAGCAGATCAAAGGTTGTGTTGATACCCGAGGGGTTGACGAGGTAATGCAGAGCACAGACGAAAACGACCCGGTCAAGCTGTTTCAAATGCCCCCAGGTTGGTTCGCACAGGAACCGCGTTTTGTACCGCGTGAAAACCCGGCGACGGAAGATGACGGTTGGTTGCTTACTTACGTGTTTGACGAGTCCCAACTCGACGATGAAGGCGAATGCCGTGAGGATGCCATTAGTGAATTGTGGATTATCAACGCGATAAACATGAGAGATATTGTGGCGAGAGTTAAACTACCGCAAAGAGTGCCTTACGGTTTACATGGCGCGTGGTTTTCAGAAGATGATATTGCAGGGCAGAGACCATTTGATGCGGTTAGGCGGGAAAAACCTACATCAGATGTCGATGAGAAAAGTCTGCTATCGGCCATAAGGGACGCTATTGAAAAATGGATTGGATGACAAGAAATATCATGAAACTTTTGTAGTTCTTTGTTCTGATTACACGCTCCTGAATCGTGATACATGTGTTGTAGCTTATGATGGGATCGAATTTAAAAAGCGAGACGACGGGTTTTATTTTATTTTTATTTTATTTTAGGTATTTCATTTCATATGCTACGTCATTTTATTAGTTAATGGTTTTCTAAAGGGATGGCAAGAACTTACCAAGAACTTACCACCCCGCCACCCTGCCACCTGCCACCCAGAGGGAGATTACCTACTATGGACAAGACTTGCCGTTGCTTAGTTTGTTTCTTAGCGTATTCCGGGGAAGACGTTTTCAATCTGATTTGCCGCTGAAAATTAATGCATCACCCCATTGTATCTCCCTTATCCATTGTCCAAACAAAAAACAAAAAAAAATAATAATAAGTCATACAAAAAGAAAAAAAAAACACCACATTATTTAACCCACGAAGGACATTTCCGTTCAACCCTACTTTCATTAACCGTTATTTATATAGTATAATATGATTTACTTGAACTACGAATCCCCATGATCAACACGTCTCTTATGTCTCTGCTGTTACTGGATGGTAATCTCGCCATCGCGTAATGGAGTTGATTCCGTACACTCGAGACGGTCGTGAAATCGTGCTGTACGTCATTCATTCCCTTCTCCCAGTTCCAGTGCCCCGCTATCATCATCATCACCAGTCATCGCAGCTTGAGTTGAAATCAGAAGATGATCGAGTCTAGAAATCTACCAAGCCTATTAATACCGACGTGTTCAACATGCTATATGTTTATGTTTCTTAGTTCCTGGTGCTAATATTTCCGTTTTAGACGACATCGCAATGCTATCGTCGTCCGTGATCCCGCGTCGCAGCGCCTCGAGATTCGAGGCGCTGCCTTGACAGAATGTCCCACCTGCCATCAGCTTTACTGCCCGCCCTCGCCCGATCGACACTTCGATACCCCGACCTCCCATGAGTCTTATGTCGACCCAGACTACTTTCGCATGCTCCAAGCAGGGCATGATGAAGAGGCGCAACATACTCAACGGCAACCCCCACCAAGTCCCATACGCCGACTAACACAACCCACTTTGCCTGGTGGTGGTCCGAGACCCCAGGAAGTCGACAATGCCGAGTTTATATCCAGCTCACCCGCCCCCCAGGAGGGAGCACGCATAACAAAAGATGCATTCAGTCCCAACTATTTTAAAAGGTTCTTTGTCGAGGAAAGGGAACTCGGCCGAGGAGGTAAAGGCGTCGTACTCTTGGTTCGCCACGAGATTGACGGATGTGCTCTTGGCCACTTCGCGTGTAAGCGAGTTCCAGTGGGAGACGACCACGCATGGTTGGAGAAAGTCTTAATAGAGGTTGAGCTACTTGCCAAACTCTCACACCCTAACCTAGTATCTTACCGACACGTCTGGCTGGAGGACGTTAAGACGAATCGCTTTGGCCCAAGTGTTGCTTGCGTCTTTATCCTCCAACAATACTGCAATGGTGGCGACTTGTTGCGCTACGTTGTTGGGGATGGGCCTAAACAGACCACGAAGGAATACCTTAAAGCCCAGATGCGCCGTAAGTCGAGGGGCAACATTGAGCGACCTCATGATCTCACCCCTCTACGCCGTCTTTCATTTGAAGAGATATATTCTCTCTTTAAAGACATCACCTCCGGTCTCGCTTATCTTCATAGTGCTAATTATATACACCGTGATTTGAAGCCTGGCAATTGCCTCCTCCATCACGAAAATGGAAAGGTCACGTGCTTAATTAGTGACTTTGGCGAGGTCCAGCCTGGCAACGCTAAGCGAAACTCTACAGGAACTACCGGTACAATCTCCTATTGTGCTCCGGAAGTCTTGAAGAGAGATAGCGAAGGTCGTCTCGGTAATTTCACAACCAAGTCGGATGTTTTCTCGCTAGGCATGGTTCTCTATTTCTTATGCTTCGGCCGACTTCCTTATGCAAACGCCAACGCCGTTCAGGAAGAACTTGAGGATATTGATCTCCTCAGAGCGGAAATTGCAGATTGGAAAGGCTTCCGAGACGAGAAGCGGGAGCGCCCCGACCTACCTTCCAAGCTCTACCAGCTACTTAAGAAGATGCTAGCACTCAATCCTGCTGAAAGGCCTAGCGCTGCGGAAGTACTCAGTGTGATGAATCACGAGCCATATCAAGGTGGTTCACGAGGAAGAAGTACAAGTCCTTCTATCGGGCTTCAAGGACGACGGATTCAAAATCTTGATTCGCCTATACCTGGTACACCCGTTCCTGATCTTCAGAAGCACCATCGTAGCATTTTGACCCCCGAGGAAATTGTCTCATCCCCCAGCGAAGGAGGTTCACCGGCTACAAGCCATTCGCCCGAAATAGACTTCCGTAGCAGTATTCAGAAGTACGGCACACCTAGTACGCCTCGACACCGTCCACAGGCCATGACTTTATCACGAAGTCATGAAAACCTTCTGCATTCTTCTCCGGAGCGAGCTCGCTCTACTGGGGTCGCCCATTCGCAGTCGCCTCCTACTTCGCACACTCCACTATTGTTGGCGCCTCCAGCAGGCAGACTGGGAGCGCTTGGACAGCAAACCCAGGGCGGTCTAGGTTACTTCGTTCATAATTACGGCGACTCAATAATGTTTACCCTTCGACTACTTACATTTTTTGTCAAAATTATATCCCTCGCCAGGGCGTGTTGGCCTTTTACTATCAGCCTCGGGGTCGGGGTACCCCTTCTCGGTCTGGCGGGAATTGATCTTAGCGTACCACTGCAGAGTGATGTGTTCTTGTCCAACAATGAGAGAACACGGCGTAGGCTTACCCGATCCGGCTTGTCTCGTTGGGGCTGGGGTTTGAGAGGTAGCTTTGTTTTGCTTACAGTTCATTTCGTCGCCTTATGGGCTCTCTCCGACCTGGGTGTCTTGTGTGTTTCATTCGGAAATAGCTGGTCAGACTGGTAATTTGCAATCCGCTAGAGAATACGTTGCAGTCATATGCATCGTCGCTCGGACGCCTATCACTATCTCCTTTATTTCATTTGTGCCGAAAGGCCAAGAGAAATGGATATCAAACCTTTCGCCAAGATCATTTAATTACTTTGAAGGCGAAATAGTTCAAGGTAATCCCTCCGCAAGCCTCTTCTTTTCCTCCATATATACGTCTTATGCGTAAAATCTACGCCTGGGACTTTTGAACTCACTGCCTACAGTCCGCCAACAATACTGAGATATTCCACATGTACTCAATTTTTCCCCCTTCCAAAGTCTCTAATTTTACGTCTATTCCTAACAGTTTCCAGTGCGAGACGACAAGGCGACGGAAATGCTTATTCCTCTATTATTATGATGTGACCAGGAGAGCTGTGTTAGTGCACACGATATTGTCACGTTCTATACAAGTGTAAGACGGCAATCGAAAAATACCAGTGACAGGTATCAATGAAAAACTACGACAGGTTTGGACACGGGTTGGTATGGAAAGTCGAGTCACGATGGACGGGAATAGAAAAAGCAATTTCGTCTTTGAACAATTCCTATGTATATCCTTCTTTTTCACTTCCGAAAACTTGTATATTCTAAAAGTCCGAGCTTAGGTCCCAAACTAATAGATATTTTTCAACGGTTGTCAAATACTTGAACGTCAGTGAGGTAGGCAAAGATACATTATAAAATTATCTAAATCCCTTTCAAGATTGTGCGAGCAACCTCAGCCTATTTCTTTGTACCAGCAAGCACATGTTTCAACGTGTCCCTAACCCTCAGCACGCCCTCATGGTCCCTCCGGGCCGCCTCCTCGTACGCCATGCGGTGCACATGTATGTTCTCCCAGAAGGGCAGCCTCTTATCCGTCCACCCCGTCAGCCGCCGGATCTTGGTACTATCAACCCACTGGCTGTGGCCAAGCGAGATGTACAAGGACCAATCGACCTCGGCGCCCCCGGCCGGCGCCCGCACCACGTCGCGCAGCCCGTACTCGGCCCTCAGCGCGCCCGCGATCATCCCCAGCGTCTCGTACCGCGCGCCCGAGACATTGAAGCACTGCCCCGCGACGGCGCCGCGGTCCGCGTGCTCCGCCAGCGCGACGTACGCCTCCGCGCAGTCGTCGACGTGGCACCCGTGGACGATCGTGCCGAAGTCGAACGGCAGCTCCAGGACTTCTTTCGACGCCGCGGCCGCGGCCGCCGCCTCGAAGGCTACCTCGTAGTAGCTGCTGTCGTAGCCGTACACGGGCGTCGGCCGCAGCACCGCCGCGTCGAACAAGTCCCCGTGCTCGAAGACCCGCAGCGACTCGAGGGCGCGGTCCCGGATTATGTCCAGCGGCGCGAGGGGCGAGGTCTCGACGTGCGGCGCCAGCCCGGCGGATCCGTGGACGCCGGTCGCCCCGTAGTCCTTGCAGCCGGAGGTGACGAGGACGAGGGGGCGGCGACGGCCGCCGCTGTTTGCGACGGAGGTAGCGGCGAGTTTGCGGACGAGGGAGAGGGTGGCGGCGAAGTGCGGCGCGAAGGGGAATTGCTGGGTGCAGGAGACGATGACGTCGAGGGTTGGGGCGTGTCTAGCGAGGGCATCGGGAAAGGTGGCGTCGGGGGTTATGGACCCGATGACGGGGATGATTTCCTCTGCGTATAAGGCCCCGGCTGCTTCGGGACGCCGGATCAGGCCGTACACGCGCCAGCCGGCGCGGACGAAGGCCCGGCATACGGCGGAGCCGATGTAGCCATTTGCGCCGGTGACGAAGACGGATTTCTGGGGGGGTGGGGATAGGGATGAGGATGGGAATGCGGATGCAGATGCGGATGGTGGTATAGGTGTAGGTGTAGCCATTATGACGTCACTGAAGCGTTATGCAGGTATCTCGGCCAGGTCTAGGTACCGAGGTAGTTTTGGAGTCTTGTTTACGCTTTGGACCGTCATTTTTAAGTCAGGATGAGGGTCAGACTTTATGTATCTATTTATACTATCTCCCTCCAAGTTCTATCTCCACGAACAATTGACGTTGTAGAAGTCCGTTTGGGAATTTGTAATCATCACGTTGAAAACGAGTAGTTGAGTTTGTGAATGTCTGGATAGATTCCACGATGCGGTCAAAGTCGGAGCAATAGAGGCACCGTGCGATAGCTCGAGATTTCATGATTACCAAACCAAAGTCACCAACCCCTGCTGTTAGTCTTATTACGGTTAGGTTGAATGCATTCAAGGATACCTAGAGATGCGCATAAATATCATCGTGATAAATTTATAATTTATGTACCTGACCTGACCTTAGGTACTATCCTGGGTATCTCCGATAACATGACTGAAAACGCACAATAAACCGCGAAATGAGCCGGCCTGCCATGTTATCGGCCGGCCATATCCTGATCGTGAAGCAATTGCCACTTGCTATGCGACTCGTTAATGTGGTCCTTTAGATCTTCAACCCTCGTGTAGGTCTCTGTCCTGCCGCTGGAGGTGCATAACACGCAGCCGAACCCGCCATCGCAATGCGATTTCCCGAGGAACCGGGGTGTAATCTCAAACCCTTCCTTCACGATGACGGGGGTCTTGTCTTCGGTATGCGCTCTACCCCAATCATACCCGCACCTACAATTTCGGCCCTCTGGCATGGCTTTTCGGGTATTGACTTGGTATTCCAACGCCTCGGGACAAAACATACTAAATACGCTATTTTTGGGCTGCAGACCATAATCGTTTGTCATGGTTGTATGGATAGATTGGAGGTCATCCGGAATTTGCTTGGGAGTTAGTGGTGGGGACGGGGGTTCTGATTGCGGGTGCGGGTGCGGTAGCTTGCTGGAGCTTTCTCCGCGGCAATCCACCTGTACGCAATCGGCGGCGTTATCATTATCATTAGTACTACCGCCGTCATTATCGGCAGCCGGTTCAGCCGTCTCTTCTTCGGATATTATAACACTAAGTTTCGACCGCCGCTTAGTTCCGGGCAGGACTTGAGGGACCAGACGGCCAACGGCAACTCGTTTATATTGGCTGGCTAAAGCTGCTAAGCAGGAGATGCGGACACTTTCCGACATGCGGATGAGTTCGAAGAGCTCAAGTGGGCCATTGCCGGCACGAGTTGCTTTGCGTAAGGCATATATGCGCTCCTGTAGACGACCGAGGTCGCATTGTAGGCTCTCACGGCATATGTCTACATCTTCTAATTAGAAGGTTTGGGTTAGAGCTGTTAAATTAGGTAGTAAATAGCTCACCGTCTCCAGCCGAGAACCCAGTGCCGAAGATTTCAACTCCGCTGTCAAAAACCTCCTTAATTTTGTTCGGGGAGAAACTCAAAGATGCGCTCAGTCCGCACAGATTAGGTTGGCTCAGCTTGCCTCTATTACGTGTCTGATAATGATTCTCCTGCCATTTTCGGTGTTGCCATTTGGTGTAGTAATCTAGGCCTGCCGCGTATGTTGCAATCAAAGCCTCGACTACAGCGCTCACAGTGCTGAGATCCATGAAACTCGATTGGCTTTCCTAAACCCCACGCAATATATCACAGTTATAGTACCGTTACAACATAGTTCTTTAATCAGGTGTAAGATGGAGGCAGCAGACAACGGAAAAATGAACGACAAGGAGAAAATATGAGAAGAGGACGTAAAAGGGTGCGGAAGAGTATAAGAGGATAAGTTATTCCTAGGTTGGGAAAGATACAACGGTGTAGAGCTCTCTTTCGCATCTACGATCTGGGCGATAAGGACTTTTGAGACATCTGCACCAGCTGCCACGCTGCCACGCTGGTGCAGGACCTTATCCGGTATTAGATCTGTCGCCCCGTCACCATGTAGGTACGCGCATCCTCATCAAGCCAACCCAACCAGATCTTTAGTGGCGTCCGTCAGAAGACCTTGTTTGCTTCACGGGCGTTACGGACAGATTTTATGGCGACTATTGGGTGACGAAGTCCGGATAATGTCAGTAGTAGAATATGCGCAAACGGTTTCAAGTTTGAAGAGGTTGAAGGTCTAATAAATAGAGCTCTAAGATGAAATAGTACCTATTTAATATTGCTGCATACCTGGATTCTTACTTAAGCTGCAGGATACTAACCTAATTCATCAAGATATGCAGAGTATGCAGAGAGTTATGCGTTACTAATGAACAACTTATACAATATATGCTATATGCTTGTAAATTCCTTCAGCTGACGCTTTATTAGGCACTTATCCCTTTGCTGACACGTCCATATTAATCTTGAAAGCGTCGCCACGTTCAACACCACAAAAGTAACGAGGCTTACATTTCTCTTACATTCCTTTTCCCTTCCTTCTGCATTCATTTTGCATTCCTTACCTACCTCTCTCAATCTAGCCCTTCTCCAATATACCAGCCAAAGATTTACGATCTGAGGAGTTACTTAGGTAGAATTTAAACATCAAGATTTGGTTACGGAATGAAGCTTACCTCCTACCTACCCAACCTCAGGCAACACGGAAGCAAATATGCCACGTCCTCTGAGGTCGAGTTGTGATCGTTGCCATTCGCAGAAGCTCAAATGCCCAAAACAGCCTGGCATCGCGACCTGCACAAGATGTCTTAAAGCTGGAGCCGCCTGTGTCTTCAGCCCAGCGGGGCTTACCACGCGACGCGCGTTGCCGCCCTCTGGCCTTGCCTACTCGAACTGCGACTTGGACATGATGAATATGCAGTTTGATTGGCCCCCTTTTGATATGGATTTTGATAATGCCTTGGTCACTCCCCCGGACCTCTCCCAAGGATCCTCATCCGATCGACAAGGCGAACAAACAGAGCTACCACCGCAAGACACAAGATCGACTAGTGTCCGTTTTCTAACCTCTCTGGCCGTCGAAATCGACCAGCTTTCCATAACTTTGTCAAATGTATCCCACGTCCACGTGCCCAAGAATCGTCCAGCTCAGGAATATCATGATAAGTTTATCGAAAATAGCGCCCGCTCCGTCTGTATTGAGCAGCTCTTCACTGTAACCCAGAGCCTTGCGGATAACTATCCACAGGTCCTAAGTGTCCTTTTCGATCGGCCCGACTCCCCTGATTGCCAGGATCCCGATTGTTTTCACAGGTCTGAGTTGCCTCCTGATCTACAAGTATTCTTTCCGGCCTCAGGTGATAACCAGTATGAGATTGATACCTTTCTCTTCAACCTTCTGGTGTCTTGCCATGGAAAAGCCGTAAACGCCATTGGTACCATTATCAGTTGCGCTAGGACATGCACTCAGGTAGCTCTATCGTCTTCCGACTTTGTCGAACCACACGTGCATATACCAGAAGTTCGAGTTGGGAATTTCGTTGCAACTAATACGACAGCATCGGCAATGCATATCGTCCTCTTAATTCACGTTACATCCGTTCTTGTTGATAACGCCCAACAACTTACCAAACTAGTCACTGCTGCCCTTGAAGGCAGAAAGGACAGCAAACAGGCCCAAATGCTAAAACTCCAGTGCGAAGTATTGGAAGAAAACTCAATATCTAAGATGAAATTACTGCAACAAGCTAAGGGTCTATTCACCGGCATGAATTTGAGGAACTTCGAGCGAGGAACGGCCTCTTCAACAAGATGAAAGCGTTCTTCCGTACGTTTTTAGATGCCAATCAGTTTCACGAGTCTTCATAGAACGTCCACCAAATAGGTAACCCTTCCAGCCTTTGGACCAGCCTTTAGACTATCTTGGGCTTTTAGATTTGAGAACTCTTACGGAAACGATATATGCTCCCCCTCCGAGTAAAAACAGAATCAAGATGCGTAATCTGTCAACATGGACATCATGCTCCGTGATGCGGGACCCGTAGTGAGCCAATACTACTACGCAGAAAAGCTTTCGATTTACTCTGATACGCCCCGGATTCACTTGCTCAAGTACTTGAAAGTATCTAGATATATACCGGTACGGATCCTTGAAACACCGGCAGTCAACAATAAGCAGCAAGCTCACTTAACACTTGGCACGCGCTTAGACCATCATCTCCCTCGAACACTTGAAGAGCTACTATATGACCGCTTGAATATTCAGTCTTAGGCGTTGCCTGAATATATCCAAGTTTTGATTAATCATATATTATTATATATGACTCCATGAGATAGCTACCAGGTTAACAAATCTTTCATCATTCTATCAGCACATTTGTATAAACTCTTACTCACGACTTCCGTACATCTAGTTATATGCTTTGAGCAGTGTCATAACTGGATATGATCATGCGCTGCATCTTCTCCAGCTACTTTTCGCCAGGAGGAAAAGCTAAGCCTTAGGCTATCAGAATATTGCGACAATAGAACCTTTGAACTTCTATATCGAGGCAAAGGTCGACTGCATTGTCAACTTTAGCACGTCGTACAATCGATCTTTGAAACACACAAACCACAATCAATTGTAAAAGCACCGTCTTTGTGTTTACGGTCGAATAAAGATACTACTCAACATTTTGACCCAATGATATTTATACTCTTGGAGCAAACAATTCTACGAGTAATCTTTCATGTTTTAATATTGTACAGGTCACACTCGAGTGGCCTATCAAATGTGCATTTGACTATGAGCCAGATTTCCTCGCTGCAGAGGGAGATCTATGGATCACACGAGTTGATATTTGTGAAGCCGTCTAGACAGCGATCTAAGTCGCAGCCTATTCCGAAGAGGCGTAGAAGGCTTTTTGAAGACGAACAGGCACCACTCGATAAGAGACGCGAGAGGAGCGCCTCGCTCAAAGACAGATTTAAACAGTTCCACGAGAGGATGCTTACACACCTTGGTTGCAAAAGTACTGACGACGAGAGCTCTGATAGCGACGGGGAAGACCAGTGGAGCCTCATCCCCACGATACATACCCTACGCCGAGGAGGCAAGTTCAACTCCGTAATGAAGGCGAGAGTAGCTGAAAAGCACCAAGAGCTACTAGAATGTAGTTACGAACTACGTGGCGAGCTCTACACGGCGAAGCAGCGGTACAACAACGCGCGCGAGTGGCTGTATAATACTGCTCGCTCGGACTGGAGTGCCGGTACGTGCAGGAAGTATCGAGAGCTAGAAGACAACTACTTAAATCTGACTCGCAAAGTCTTCGAGCTCGACGATAACCTAAATGAACTCGAGGCCATGCTTCTCAGCTTTGGGGGCGGCGTGCCGGTGCCGGTGCCGGTGGGAGGTAGGTGGAATATGAACAGGCGCGGCTCGCGGGTCTGGTCGTTGGATAATGCTAGCTACGAGTGGGAGAGCCCGGAGAGTCTTGATGGCGGATCTTTATTATTGTGATAGTGCACTTGAAGGCATACGATATGTTTAGTTATAGTAATATACGCTATGTTTATGTTTTAGTAACGTCTATTTACTTTTTGTTTCCGCACATTGACGGGGAAAGGGGGTGGAGTAGAGACCAAGTTGGACATATTAGTATTGATTTCTTCCCCCATCGTGTTAATGGTCCGAGTCAAGTCACAAGCTGTAAAAGTTCATGGCAAAGTGAGAATACGGCAATCATTAAAATTAGCTACAATTTCATCGCTACATTACCTAAGATGCCAGATAGATAGGTACCTCCTATCTATACCAAACTCAACGCTTCCGTCCTGATTTTTCAAAGTGACGCGAGAGAAACAACTTGGCAGGGTGCTTCTAAATAGTAGATAGTATCTTCATGTGATCTCGTAGTCATTCAAAAGTACTGAATCTTCAGTTGAAGTTGACGATATCATGAGTCCTTTGGGACGACGGGTTGCCAGAACTGAACAATGCGCGGAGTCAACCCTAGGTGCCATGTTCCGCGCCAAGTAAACCTTAAATATTGACGATTTCTTAAGAGTATTTAGAAAGTTCTTTTTTTGGCATTGAAAGAGAATAAAATAGGGGCTATTTCTTAACATTAGAGGTGCGTGAGCAACAGGCTCAGTCCAACCGCGCTGATAAATTGCAGAGTTGTCGAGGGATAATGGAGAAGGTTGACTACTTTAATTCGAGGCAACGTCACGAGAAACATTATAGGTACCTACCTAACTTAAAATCGAGGCAGATGTTGTGAGTGAATTGCGTTTCTTCTGTTGAAACAATACGTTCGAAGTCGTCGGGACGGGATACTCCCATTTGCTGTATACAGACGCCAAAGGATGCAATCGGGGATGCTTCTGGGATGTAACCGCCTCCAAAATCATGACGCGGATCTCCACGGGTAAAGATACCCATTTTAAAGCTGCTGCTTCTGTTTGGCTGCGGGTTTCCATGTTGTAATATTTATAAGGGGTGCTTTAGGTGCTCGGTACGAATGATGTTGAAAGAAGGAGGTGATTATGTGGCGTTATTAAAATCGCTGTATGTTTCTGAAAATTATTCCTGTGGAATAGGGCAATAATCAGGATGACAAGTTCCATAAACCTGGGGGTGTGTGTTTGAGAGACAGGCAAGGAATTTGGGAAGGGCTTTGGATAGTGCAAGGCCCCCTATTTATATACTTTTCACGAGCCCATGGCATAAAACATCAAAGCTTTTGTGCCGACCAAGCCATCTTGGTAGGTCTTGATGTTGGGTTAGTAGCGGATATTTGACTCTAGTACTAATATGCTATAGAAAATGGGAGCCGTGCCAAGCTAGATCAAACTTCCAAAACAACGGCTTTCACGACTTTATCCATAGTGTCTGTTGTTCCAAGGTGGTGGAATCTCATATCAATCACGATGAAACGATTGCAAGAGCTTGTGCGAGATGTTTTTAAAAGGTATTTGTTTTATTATACATAGCTTAATATCTACTTTCTATCATCACGCTATCTCTACTCCTTCGCTCTGCGATTATAGGAAAGGGGAAGTGAACCATTACCGATGGAGTAAGGGCATATTACCTCTGTAACCATTTCTAATTACCTGAACTCATACTTACTTTCGCCTACAGCTATGGCACTTCTCATTGACGCGGAACGTGTGAGAGTCCGGGGCATCCATGGGAGTGACAAGCGGGCATCGGCCGTAGGTGGCAACCAAGGGGCATGCGACCAGCTGACTGGAATAGGCGTGGCGGTGTGCGCAGGCGAAGAGCTGTTCCGGGTGCCAGCACATGATGGGCGGTTTGAAGATTTGAAGGGTAAGTAAAAGGTATGAGTAAAAGTTAGAAATGGTTGATGAGATTCCCCCGGTGTAGAAGTGCGTGTGAATGGTTGATCCTGTCAACCAAAGAAGCCGATATTAAAGCTGTAGCTGTTGTGATGATGAGAAAATTCAAATCAACGGTGTAATCCAGACGAGTTCTTATACTTTCCCCGACAGCCTTAAAGACAATAGCCATTGTGTTCCATCAATTCGTGGGATTGTTGGTCTTTCGCTTTGACGGCTTAGGCCTAAACAGCTAATCACAACAAAGGCTATTGTACTTATTGTTAATGAAGTTCTCTTTTCTACAATAGTTATTCTCTATCCTCCATGTATGATTGACTGTCTTTGAAAAATCACAATCGTGCCAAGTTCTTTTAAGACAATGCTTAAGTCATAGACCTTCAAAGTCCTTCAAGCCATGATCTCTTTCATAGCATGCAGCTTCATTCTTCGGCTATCTAACAGGTAATTAGCTCAAGGTAGAGGTTCTGAAGTATCCTAGTGAAGTATATAGAGAATACTAAGAATATGAATAGAGCTTCAAGACATTGGCTGAAGATCTTGGGCACGGTAAGTTTGGCTTGTGAATATCAAGTTATACATTTACCTATGCGTTCGAAGGGCAAGACGTGTTACAAACACATCCAATTTCTACAATTCTATTTATGGGCTAGGTAAGCTGCAACTCAGCTCTATTCCTTTACATAATTGAGTGCATTGGCTTTTCTAAATCTAGAAAATCCAGGAATCCGAAGCTCTCGTGAGCCCCCAGTGGAACACGACGGAGCAGCCATCTGCCCGAAGTGACGAGGCAGTCTAACGTCTTTGACTTCGGTCCGTTTATTGCTACTACACTGACAAATACTAGCCCGCAAATATTGTGCATATCCCTAATGTGTAGCTCAGAGTCGGGACATTGGTCCGGCTTTTGTGTCGAAGGCACGCAGTCTATCCCCTAAGTAAAATGCTACTCCTACACTCCGAGATCCTGGTCCGGTGGACTCAACGCCTTACCCCACAAAATGTAGCCTGCACGTCTGGTTTCCAAGGCTTCATGCCTTCATATACCTCCCGTCGACTTCAATTAAGCTGAGGAAGCTGATTTGTTGTGGGTGAGATATGCAGGGGTGAGTATTATTTACCCGGAGGACCTTTATCCGCTCGGTAGGCATCTCGCCGCGTCCCAAGATGTTAGGTCGTCATTGAGCATGGTTCGATCATTCGCTAATGTAGGAATTAATTACTTCCTCTGTGCTTGTTTTAGAAATCTATAGAAAGTGAAGATGGATCCAAGAACAGCAGTACGACGCGTGGCCCTTTGGCATTTTGCTATATATAAATCTAACGCCGCCGATCTTTAAGGATTGCCATACTAGAGCCAAGGAGTTTGACCAGTTATCAACAGCAGTAACCGTCAACCTACACTTCAATATCTTGAGACAATGAAGGCTGTTGCCGCTATCCTTGCCCTTGTGGCTGCCGTCGAGGCTCACTGTAAGCCAACTGAATAGAGATTTAATGAATTTGTTGTAGAGTGACTAACGTCCCATCCCCAGATACCTTCCCAGCACTGATTGCAAACGGTGCCGCTACCAACAAGTGGGAATATGTGAGGAAGACGACGAACTACCAGAGCAATGGACCAGGTCCGTACTAGATATCCACCACATCTAAAAGCCATCTCAAATAATTCCGACTAACGCGACGATGTGTAGTGACCGACGTCAGCTCTGAGCAGTTACGCTGCTACCAGCTCGCACCGGGCAACGAGGGCGCCAAGACCATGACCGTAGCAGCCGGATCCACCGTCGGCTTCACGGCCGACGGCTCGGTCTCGCACCCGGGGACGCTGCAGTTCTACATGGCGAAGGTACCCGCAGGCCAGACGGCGGACTCGTGGGACGGCTCGGGCGCGGTGTGGTTCAAGATCTTCTCGCAGGGGCCGAACATCTCGCCGAGCGGGCTGACCTGGCCCAGCGAGGGCGCCAAGCAGGTGACGACCAAGATCCCGTCGTGCATCCCCGCCGGCGACTACCTGCTCCGCGTCGAGCACATCGCGCTGCACTCGGCGGGCTCGACCGGCGGCGCCCAGCTGTACATCTCGTGCGGCCAGCTCACTGTCACCGGCGGCGGCAGCAAGACCCCGACGAACCTCGTCTCGTTCCCTGGCGCTTACAAGGCTACCGATCCCGGCCTGCTCATCAACATCTACTACCCGGTTCCCACCTCTTACACCGCTCCCGGCCCTGCTGTCTTCACTTGCTAAATGGAGGTTGGAGAAGGGATGGTATAGGAAGCGAGTAATGCTATAGGTCAGTTAGTACAGAGCTACCTAGGAACTTAAGTAGATGTCTCGAATTTATTACTACGTAAAATCTTTACTTGGTTCAGATGTAAGAGCAATTATGACATTTGATGCTTGCTACTATCCTCACCTAGAGTTTTGTTTTGCATGTGAAAGATAGATTGCAATAACAGAAATGACAGAAATGATATAGAATTTTACGCAAGAGGAACAATTCATGCACGAACATCTAGTCACGAGATCAAACACGGAGTTATTAGATCAACAGGTATTATTGTGTTTCTTCCCTTCGGTATCGAGAATTAAAGTCCATACTCGTATTCATACATTTCCACCCCCTTGCCCATGAACAGAATCGCAGATGGGCCTTCATGCCAAACCAAAATTAGGGTATCTCCTCCTCTCCGGACATCAGGTCTCATTTCGATAGCTTATTTGGTGCTGGCATCGAAGGACAGGGCGGTCGACGGCTGGCCGGCCTCGTCCTCGTCTTGCTTGATGTTGTTGTTGAGCTTCTTCAACTCCTTGGCCATTTGGGCTGAGACATTCTTTCCTTGGGCCTGCTGGATCTTTAGGCGGATGATGGTGGCCTCGAGCTTGAGGACCTTGTTCTTTATCTTGCCGCGCTGGAGAGCCTTGGCAGCGTCGCCGGAGGCAGCTTCGATGGCAGGGTTGAATGCCTCCGTCTCAGCTTTGTTGCAGATCTGGTTGACCGAGTTGAGGAAGTCGAGGTCGGCCTTGTCGGCGGCGGCGAGGTTGTTCATGTCCAGCGCGCTGAAGACGGAGAGGGCCTCTTCCTCTGCGTTACCGGCAACACCTCCCGAGATCGAGATGTCATTGTAGGTCTGCTTGGTGAAGACGCCGGCCTGAACGAAAGCAGCAAAGGCCGCGATGAGAGCGATAGAGAAACGCATGATGAATTTGGTGTGGTAGGGTGTATTATAAAATGTCGAATTATACAAAGTCGTCAACGACTGGCTAACTGTTTTTTTTTATTCGACTTGCGAAATGAAACGAATACGAGTGATGGAAAGGAACAGCACAGCTGTTGGAGAAGAAAGAAGGTATAGAAACTGGCTGTTGATGTTTAAAGAATGGGATGGGGAAGAAAAGAATCATGAGAAACGTATCGGCGGGAAGCCGTAGATCTTATACGACTCGATTTCCATAAGATCCGGAAAATCATCTTTCAACTTTTCTGGGGCGCTCAACCCATCTCGTTGGTGACCGTAGCCGGGGGCTGAAGCCTCGTAAACGGACCTAAACAGGCACGCTTGTGCTAGTCAAGTTGGTTGTGCAACGCGCTTTGCGTGAAGAAGGCCAAAAAATGTCTTGGCTGAAACCCATGTCTCCTTTTTCAACTTAAGATTTGGTATCGCAAGCCGGGTCTGCGAAGTAGGACCCGACAGCGCCAAGGAGACGAACACCTGAAATGGTACCGGACGTATTTGCGATACCCTGAAAGATCCTTCAATAATGGAAGTGATAATGATGGGTTTTGCCCGTGTCCGGACGGCTATCTCGGGTTCGTCTAGCCTCCGTTATGAGGCTCCTCTCAAGTGGGAATCTTAGAATTAAAGAAACGCACGGTTCCATTTTTTTTTAATTTTTTTTTGCGTATATCAAGAGTCTATTATTACAATTAAAGAGGTAGAAGAATAGAACGGGCATAGAATAGTACCACCTAGAGTTGCAATGCAATAGTCAATAGCAGGGAGTTAATAAGAAATTGAGCATTAGCCCAGGTACCTCCTAATGTACCCTTTAAAGATTGAAAAGGAATATCGACCGAAGATAGCTCGGTTAGAGAAGAGAAATATTGCAACGATAGAACTGAAAGAGGGGGCTTCTCTCGAGTCTCCATGAGTTCATGTCGTCTGAAGTCTAACAGGGGTAAACAAGGGGTAAAGCGGTTAGTTAAAAGCGAAGGGAACCCAGCTCCACTTACAGTCCTCCCAGCGTCCCTGGCTAGCGAAAACTGGCAGGGTACATGTCCTGGCAACCCCTTAGCTACTCCATAGAAGCCGAAATCTTGCAAGTTCGTATGTCGAATTTTATGCGAAGTGAAAACCAGGCTTACCATCCATGGGCAAACCCACGTTTTAAGGCATATATTCAAGACGAGGTAGGTTCGACGATATCAACATTTCGTGTATTTGTCGTACTATTTTGATAGATACCAGGTACTTATCCATGATAGAGTTACATTTTGCTATCCGACAGGCGGATTCAAAATACGCACTCTCACTCGTCAGTACGACTCCAAATATCTTTCTCAATCGCAGAGCGCCGCCAAGATTATCGCGACGCCGGTATAATAATATTCTGAGAATACCATGGCCATATATATATCCATTGCATTAAGATTCCGTTTTATTTGCCGCTGCTCTGGAGCCCTCGGCACCTAATGACGGGAACTTTTATCTCTCCTCCTTTCTTTTCTTTTCATTTCATCATTCCTCCTTTATTGGATTACATATTGAAAAATGGTGAAGATAACATAGCATATGATTTCAAATCACTCTTTCCGTAATCCATATAGAGACCTCTCATCATGAAGCTGTTGCGTCGGTGTAGATGTGAGAGCGGCAAGACTAGTCGAAACCGTCCGGTCGGAGACTTTCTTTGATAAGCGTCACATTCAAGGAGTCAGTCATGGCGGTAAATGATACCAAATTCGCGAATGGAATTGACGTAGTAACCCTCGAATGGTTTATTCCAGCAGCCGACATCTTACTTGATTTATAAGTCAATACTGATATCGAAGGCAATGACTAAGTCCGACTGTCACCAATTTATGTAGCACCTGTCTATCGGGCTTTGGGGTTGGCTTCCCGGATCTCTCGCCATACCCCTCAGTGATGGCGACATCTCATGATGTATAAGACGATCCGGGCGGGCCGGAGCCCACCTTATAACGTAGAAGAAACGGTGCGTCCCCGCCGCAGAAAGGAATCTTGTAAGTCCGTAGGAAGAGAGAAACGAATAAGAGACCATGGCCGAACAACAGCAACAGAAGAAGAAGCAGCTTCATCTCGGCGCTTTTATGCGCCCCGTGAGCTTGCACACGGGAGCATGGCGATATCCCGGTGCCTATCCCGACGCCAACTTCAACTTTCAGCATATCAAGTCGTTTGCGCAGAAGTTAGAAGCCGCCAAGTTTGACGCATTCTTCATGGCCGACCATCTGGCCGTATTAAACATGCCGATCGAGGCGCTCCGGCGTAGTCATACCGTCACATCTTTCGAGCCGTTTACTTTGCTATCGAGTCTGGCCGCGGTGACCGAGCGCATCGGTCTCGTTGCTACCGCCTCGACGACGTATGATGCGCCCTACCATATCGCCAGGCGCTTCGCATCGCTCGACCATCTGAGCGGAGGCCGCGCCGGCTGGAACATCGTCACGACGGCTAACCCGGATTCGGCGCGCAACTTCGGCCAGGATGCGCATAAAGAGCACAGCGAGCGCTATGCGCGGGCCCGCGAATTCTACGACGTAGTTACGGGCCTTTGGGACAGCTTCGCCGACGACGCATTTATACGCGACGCCGAAAGCGGCATTTTCTTTGATCCCGAACGTCTGCACGTTCTGGACCATCACGGAGCTGAGCTCCACGTGAGGGGCCCGTTGAACATTGCGCGTCCGCCGCAGGGGTGGCCGGTGATCGTGCAAGCCGGCGCATCGGAACCCGGCAAGCAGCTCGCTGCCGAGACGGCGGAGGTGGTATTCTGCGCACCGCGAAATCTCGAGGCGGGCAAAGAGTTTTTCAAGGACGTTAAGGGCCGACTTGCTGCTGTGGGCCGGTCTCCTGATGATATCAAGTTACTACCTGCAGCGTTTATAATCATCGGCGACACGGTTGAAGAAGCTCAGGCTAAGCGGCTAAAGCTAGACAGTCTTGTGCATTATGAGAGCTCTATCGCCTCGCTTTCTATCTCGCTTGGCTACGACGTCTCCAACTTAGATCCAGACGGCCCTCTACCAACGGAGCTTCCAGAGACCAATGCAAGCAAATCGAGTCGGGAAAGCGTATTGAAACTTGCGGCTACAGAAGGTCTTACTGTCCGCCAACTTGCGCAGAGATATGGAGGATATTCTGGTCTGGCATTTGTCGGAACGGTGCAGACAGTGGCTGATGAGATGGAGCAGTGGCTTATAGAGGAAGGCTCAGATGGCTTCAATGTTGTCTTCCCTTTCTTACCGCAAGGTCTTGATGATGTGGTTGAACGCTTGATTCCGGAGCTGCAGAGACGAGGCATCTTCCGTAAGGATTACGAAGGGACGACTCTACGAGAGCACCTGGGTCTCAAGCGTCCAAAGAACAAGTTTTTCCCCTGAAATAAGGCATGACAGTATGATACCGATTAGTAAACGCATTTATATACCATGTGAAGAATAACGAGTTACGATGATATTGATATTACTAGAAAGCTTTAACACCTCCTTGTTCTGAATTTGATAACCTGTCGCTCAGCTACTTCTTACCACTACACTTTCTGGTCAGCCGACTTGTTGCTGATGCACGCAGCTAGATACTTGGGAAGAGCTGCATAAACGGTGTATGAACATTAAATAATACCAACAGATCTCAGTTCATTCTGAGATTATGACGTGCTTTGAGGCCTTCATATACAGTATCTAGGTACCTAGTAAAAGAAAAGGGTGCGTTAATTGGGCTATCTTGCAGTCAACTTCTTTCATAGTCTTTCACTTCGTTACGGTTAGTCACCTGACAAGAACGCAGCAGTATGTGTAATTATAGTCAATTATATTATAAACTGGTAAGCCATAATCATAATAGGCAAGTCGTTAGAGTTCCAGATGAGACATCTAGAATAAAGAATACTTTCTGTATGTATAGCCACGAACTCCCTCAACCAGGTAGGTTGAAGTTCCACCCATAACAACGAAGTTGTTTCTGTGTCTTTCGGGTTCCAGCCCGTAACATATACAAGTATCTACCCATTCATGTGATGAGATGCTTATACCCTATAAGTCAAGCCATGTTGTCGTCGATCGTAGGCCATTGGCATTTTTATATCTCCACCACCGTCCTGGAGTATGAGGGTAAAGCATGAGAAACTGCGTCACGCCATCTTCAACTCTGGGTATAAACTCTGGTAAAGTAAAATTTACTTTCCATAGCCTACCAATTTGTTAGTTAAATCCTCCTAGTAATTGACTGTGAATGCCACTTACCAGGGTCGCCAGAGGAGGTCTGGTCGTCGCCCTCCTTAGTGGAGTTATTGCCGGTTGTCTTAATAGCGTTGCTCATCTTGGCTTCGTGAAGAGAAATAGAAACTTTATTGGAGTTCTGATGATTTGCTTTGATGATTTGCTTCAATATTGAGATTTGTTTGAAAAGAAGAGGGTTTGAGTTGGAAGTTGGAAGTTGGAAGTTCAGAAATAAGGCACCAAGATAATGATGCCAAATATATAGACATTCTCAACGGTACTAAGAGTACCTTAACTATGGACATTTGTGCGACTCATTTTACGGTCTATCCTACTTACTTTAACCCCTCTTCAAATCAATATTCGCAATTGTTCCGGTGTGCTTCATGTTCAACTTCGCACTTGAGTGTTAAAAACACGGCTAGTCAATGGCGAACGGACCATGGCGAATCCCGCGCAGATGCGAAGATAATTGAGAAAAACTAAGGCAAAACTCGCCGTTGTATAGCTACCCTTAACTTGAACCGCATTATTGTGTGCTTGAAATCTGTGTTGATGACTCAACTATATTTCGCATGCGTATTTCCATCTAATACGCCGCCATTGTCTACCTACCTAAGGGTACATGTAATACCAAGGAACGGGTAGTATGGTCTATGCTTAACACCCTATTTTATAAGTGATATTGGAACATTCTTTAACTAATCGAAAGGGGCAATAATCGTAGCTTTTTGTTTATCATAAATGCGTATAATTAACGTATTATTGTATTGCGTATTTCGTTCCATGTGATCACCCTCCTACTCTCAAGTGGACTCTCCTTGATCCCTTCCAATAAGTTATACGCGATAGTGTCTAAGGGTGTTTTATATTACGATTCCACCTACTTCTCACCCTATTTGCCACCCTACGGGATAAAAGGTAATGTGATAAGGTAATGTGATCAACCTTGAAGTTATCTGCGCATATGTTGAGAATACGCCGTAGTCCAGTCTAAACAGATACCTCGGATTCATGAGCAAGAGGCAAGTCGATATCTTCACCGACAAGAGTTTAACGATTTTATTGCCCACTGCTTAAGTCATGTGAAACTATCCTAGAGTCTAAAGTCGTCCTGAACCCACGTGAAGGATGTGGTCTTGTGTAACACCACGATACCCTACCATCATACCCTGCGCGCGCGTCAAGCGTAGGTACCTAAGATATTCGGGAACATTCCGTATGGAAATGTTAGTCGGGATACTACAGTAAGCCCACGCGTCAAAGAAATCGACTTCTTCAGATTACCCTATGTCGAAACTGTTTTATGTTAATGTCTTCTTAGTGCCAGTACTGAATGCAGCGCATTTGCGTCGTTAAGTGTTGCGGTGTAGGATTAAAGCATCGGGTTGGTATTGACACGGATCGAATTTATTGGTGGGACTTGCCTGTATGACCAGGCCAAAAGTGCATTTTTGTGTAGGAGTTTGCCACTCGTCTGCGCAGCAGGAAAGGCTCTCGCGCAAATGCGTCAGGCTCTGGTTGTCAGCTCATGATTTTACCCCTGCCATAGCCTATCTTGTGATTTAATCCCTCGCTGGCCTTTATTCTCTACCCAGGCCAACAAAGCATGGTGTCTAGAGATCATAATACAGTTGCTTATTATTTTGATCACCATCTAGCAAGGCTCGTCGATAGCTGCGGAAACGAGATGATCTGTGAAGTCGACCAGGAAGCTATGACTACTGTGCATATTGAATTATACCACAACTGCTCTCTCTATTGGTAGAAGCAGTCGCTATGGAATCGTCTACGGCACGAGAAGTGATGCTTCTCTGCTCACCGCATGAAAAAGCTAACAAGAACTTACACACACAGGATGAATCCGGAGCCAATGCCGACATTGACCTCATTAAAGGCCCAAATCCCAACTCGCTTCACCGCATAGGCGCACTGTCAACCAGGTCTGACAGTCCAAGTACGGTCGAAAGTGTTTGCTGGGATCAAAACTCGGCTGTGTACTCGGAAGCAAGTCCAGCTTCCTTCAAGGATGACCTGTTTGTAGAACCGGAATTGAACGTGACCGACCGATGTGGGAGATCACCCGATAGCGACGACGAAGCCCATAACCCACCCCGTCTCCCAGAGGCGCTGTGAGTTGCTTTTATCCCTCTATCCCATCTAACACTTTCTATCGTTAATTTTGCAAGTTTAAGATATCTCAGACCAATACTCACAGAAACAATGGGTAGCGACTATCACGATGATGCGAGAAACGCAGATGCAAGACGGATATTATCTGACGACAACGACGAAAACGACTCATCCTTAGAACACCCAAGCACATCTAGTCAAATTGTAGACGAGGAATTTAGCAGCGAATTCGAAGACGACGATTTCGATTCGGACGACGACGAATGGGGTGGCGAGCCCGACAAGATCGATACTGCGGTGTTGATGAATGTTCCCGACCTGGACTTTGCTGCATCGCTGATTATGGAATTGCATAGAGACCGTGTCCATAGCGAAGCGCGGAGAATTGGAGGTTGGCAAAAAGGAGTCGTTACCTGCCAAGCATCACCTGGGTCGGGGGAGAATTCGCGCCAATCGTTTGCGAATTCTAGCGCAGGCCAGAGATCTTCTCAGTCCCGCAAGAAGCAGCGATTCTCAGATGCGAGAAGAAGAGGCTCTGATGATGGAGAAGGCGAAAGGGAGGAGGGGGAAGGAGGTGGTTCTCCTGAAAACCACGACGATGGTTCAATATCAGGCGAGCAGAGAGGGCGATATGCTTGCCCTTTCAATAAATCCGATCCGCGTCGGTTTTGCAGCAACCCTATGACTGGGGACCAATACAGAGTATGCGAGTCAGGATACAAGACGATCCAACGTTTAAAGTGAGGACCCGTGGTAAATACCGAAGAAAATGAACTAACTATTATCGAGGGAGCATATTAAACGGAAGCATCTGCTAATCCAGTGTGAGCGTTGCTATAAGAATTTCTCGGGGAAAGGGAAACCTATCGAAGACAGTGTCTCTGACCTAAGAAAACATCGTCAGCAGTTGGAGTCATGTGCCGTGGGAAGCTCCGAAAGCAACTCGGGCATAAACATGGAGCAATGGACACTGCTGGATAGAAGCGGAGGCAGAAAGAGGCAGAAGATTTCAGAAGTTGAGAAATGGTTCAACATTTGGGACACAATTTACCCAGGAAAGACTCGTCCTCCACACCCTTGTGGGTTTTCTCGCGGAAAGCAGCGGTACAATATCCGGTTATAAGTCTAACCTTTTTGCTAGGGGCTGAACGGACCACGATAGGCATTAGGTCATTACCAGCGCCGGCAAGCACTCAGGTTTTTGCGAACCTGTTCCAACGATTCCTGGACCACGGAACTATTTCAGGTAATATCCAGTTTGTCCAAGGACAAGAGGTGTTGATGAAAAGCCGTATAAACTCGTTGGCTCAAATGGCTTACAATATCCACATGAGTGTGAACGAGACACCTTCCTTAGAGAATTCTTCATCTAGCGGCCAGACAGCAACCCAAATCACCATGCCTTCAACTCCCGTTATCGGTAATCCAAACTTGACGAGCGTAGTCCAACGACATATGCCAGTCCCAAAGATGACCAGGCAGAACAGTCAACCAATGCTTATAAGAGAGCCCCAGCCTCAGTATATGATGCTTCAACCACAGATGTCACCAGCAATGAGTTATGGGCCACCGAATTTTCCCGGATACGGAGCGAATCAACTAGCCAGGATCCCGCCCAATCCCATGCCTGGTCCTTCTCAAGCTCTGGTGTTAGACCAAGCCGAGTATCATTGGTCTTATGGTAATATGAGCAACAGTTGGGCTGGGTTCGAGTATCCGCTACATATAGATACCGAGAATACGGACCTTTCTTATATACAACAAAACGAACAAAACTAAAAGCGACCCTACCACATTCCTGGGACTTATTCAGTAGTCCTACTTTTCAGGCATCATGGCCTTTTCAACAGACTTACGGACTACGCCATATTCAACAAATATCACGTTCTAGCTTAAAAGGTATTGAGGGGTGGATTTTAAATGCTCGGCTTCGCATTTAAAGGTTTTTCCTTATGTCATGGGGATTTGCTTGACACTATATTCATAGCTGGTGTCTGCTATGAATAACGGTCCTTTATGTCAAGACCAGGTGGATATGATGATTGGGATAGATAGGGTGGTTCTAAACTCTCTTTAAAAACAGCTAAAAATTTCAACTTTTGTCTTCCTTTGTTTTTCCTACATTACAAAATTACCTCAATTCAAGGATCTCTACCTACAGCAAGCGAATTTCATCTGGTACTTAAAATAGTCTTCTTCCAGTTGTACCTAGACTTAGAAACTTGTATAAATGAACTAAGATACCTAGCATAAAACTTTGCCAAAGCGTAATAGAAAAAAAGGAGCAAGACGAAATCTACCACACATTGAATATATTGATATTTCTCTTGGTTAACATGGATTGGAATATCAAATATCAGTATACCTCATATCACAAAGACCCTACAACCCTCACCACCAGTTCTCTCGCACAAAAGCTTCCCCTACAGCGCTACCTAGCTCTGAGAAATACAACCCCTGATTTTAAAACCTACTTCGCAAAGATCACCAGCGTGACCAACTCTCCCTGGCGATAGTAGCATAAGTGCCATCGATAACTCGGATATTACACATCCACATCCACATCACACACGATCTCCGCCCACAGTCGTGGCTCCCCAGCGCCGCTTTCAACACAGGTTTATCCCATTCTAACTTCCCACCGAAGTGTCCAGATAAGAAACATCAATATGTATTAATCCCATGACCCTTAGATTACCTGTTTACTGGTTATTATCTCCTACCCAGACCAGACCGTAGGATACACACAAACAACCAACTAACTCCCTTTCTTGTTAGCTGACCACTCCCGGGCAATCGTCTCAACGGTGCGTCTCGATCAGATATCCCGTCTACACGGCTGAAACGGACTTCGAAGAGTCGCCAGTATTGTCGAACGCCCCCTCCCCCCCTATTGCGTTCACGAATGAACTCTGAATTACGTAGACGACAAGTGGCGGAAAGGGATTCGGGTGGGAAAGACATGAGCACACGTCAAACCGAACATTCCCAACACGAGCGGAGTAATTAATCTTAGGTATTTAGACTAGAGTGGCATTTTGGGAGATAATACCGTGTACGCTATCGTTAATCTTTAGCTATCTGAGCATAAATGTACAATATGCCATACCTTAGGTTAGGTACACAACTGCACGTAACACCAAAAGTGCCCAAATCAAGCTACTGCACAAAAACCAAAGAGCGATACCTCGGCGTCCTGAAATGCAATCATCAATTGGGAAAGACTACGATTGTCCTAATAGTACATACAAGGTACTGAGTCTCAAAAAAACAAAGCAACATATCTTTGCGAACTCCATGCCATCTCCACTAATCCGTAGCTTTCCTTTTGTAATAACCACCCTGAAAAATCTAGTCGTCATCAGTGTATCGGGGGCCTGCTGCCGGTGTTTCTGCGTTGTAAGCACCGGGGGTAGGTGCTCCGTAATACCCGCTTGAGGAGGCAAAACCGCTTGCTGCTGGTGTTGGGGCAGCCGCAGCAGGAGTGGGTGCAGAGTCAGCTCCCCATCCACCTTGCCACGCGGCGCCGGGAGTGGGTGCATTCATAGCGCCAGGAGTAGGCGCGTTGTAGGCACCAGGGGTTGGGGCATTCATGGCACCGGGCGTAGGAGCACCTAGAAGACCAGCGCCGGGAGTTGGCGCATCGTAAGCGTTTGACGATCCGCTTGCACCAGGGGTGTAGCCCCAAGTATCGTTTCCGCTGGCTCCCGGAGTGGCCGCAGAAGCGCCGTAAGGTGTTTTGGAACCCCAGTTGTCACCGCTACTACCACCGTACGCAGGTGTCTTAGATCCGTGACTAAAGTGGTCAGGTGCTGGTGTTTTGGCGCCTGAAGACCAGGCAGGTGTGCGGCTTCCGGAACCGTAAGAAGTTTTGCTACCATCGTAAGGATTGACTGTGCGAGAACCATCTGCCCACGCTGGCGTTCGCCCGCCGTCGCCACCTTTACTCCACGCTGGGGTGCGTCCACCACTGGCTCCAGCAGACGGCGTCTTCCAGGCAGGAGTTCGTGATGAGGCTCCACCCACAGGAGTGCGACCCCCGCTCCAGTCCGAGTTTCCTTGAGCAGGTCTTCCAGGAAGTCCTCCTTGACCAGGGCGGCGTGTGTCATAGTTTTTGATTTCACGCCCAGTAATACTATCGCGGACCGTAATATCGCTCTTCAATACGCTGATGACTTTACCCTTGCTGTGCATTTCCACACGAGCGTGAGTGTCTGTGGTATCTTTGACACGACCAAGCACGCCCTTGTAGCCTCCCTTTCTAATCGTAACGGTTTGGCCGATTAGCTTATCACGCCCGAATGTCGCTTTGGGGGGTGGCATGTTGTTCCTATCACCATTGGGGCTCAATTTCCTCGCAGGATTCATGACCGTTAAATCCGGCCCAGAGCTGCCGGCATTGACGCGGCCTCCCTTCGCTGAAATCGTGGAGACATTATTAACCTTGGATACAAAGATACCGGCGTTTTCTGTGGTAGCGTTCGTATGACAGAACACATAAGTGCGGTGGATATGAACAATCTTTCCTTGCCGACCCATGCCGCCATACTCCTTAACCACATCATCGGGCCTGATCTCGGATCCGTTGCGATCGGCAGCCACAGCGAGCTTTCGCTTTGGTAGTTTGTTCGCGATTTGTGAGGGCATAACTTGTCTCGTATCGCCATTCTGATCTAATACCACCAACGTCTCTCGGTCGACCTTGACAATGCAGCCTACAGTCATGGGATCGAGCTGGACTAAGTCAAGTAACGAGTATTGACCTAAGGATCCTTGGCCACCGATATCACTGGCCTCTCTGAGATCCTTACTGAATACGGTAATTTCGGTAGTCGTCTGGTCAGTCAAGAGGGTGACACGATCTTCGGAAATGTTCACCACCATACCGACCTCGTCACGATATCGACTACCACCGATGACTTTAACGTGGTCACCAGTTCGGAATCGCTTGCGAAGGCCTTTCGTAGGTACCTCAATGGTCTGCCCAACTAGATCTCCTTCTGTGACTGAAATTGTGACAATATCCGCCTGAACATTTGTAGCTTTACCAACTACACCTTTCTGTTCGCCTTCGTATACCTCTACTACATCGCCGGGCAGATATGCGACATTTGCATTACTGTCCTTGAGACTGGCGGCGAGAGATTTGAGATCGATGTTCTCAACTCCGTCTTCACCTCCAGAGGCAAATCTTGTGACCTCTTCCAGCGTTGGGTTTACATCGCTAACAACCAAATGCTGAATTTTGATATCCTTGACCTGGAAGCCCTTCTCGAATTCATCGCCGTTGTAGTTCCAGGTGTTAGTTTGACTGCTATACTGGAGCGTGCGTGGGTGCCTCTTCCTCGCTTCCACTTCGCTAAATAGCCGCTGAGGAGGTCGTGGGCCTACAACAGGCCGCCTTCGTTTCTTGTCAGCAGTCAAGGGTATCGATTCGTCTCGTAGTCCATAGTCCAGCCTGGGGATGAAGCGCACTCTAGCATCGAGGCCATTCTCCGTGATATCGAGAACCTGCGCCAGATCACCAGCGTGTTTAGCAGGCCGGCGGAGTCGTACCCAAGCACCAGGCTCTAGTGTAGGGGTCTTCTGAACTCTCAATAGATCAGGTCGTTCTTTGATGTCGACAAGAAGCATTTTGGTACGAGGATATACGTTCATCATGTCCTCGAGCGCTAACATTACGTCGGTCTGTCGGGGGGCTTCGACGTAGATAAGGCCCTTCAAGATGGAGTTAGGACCACCTCGCTCGAAGACACTGGTGACGGCTAGCTGATCTTTTGTGTTCCAGCGTTCGGCTATCCTCTTCGTAATGGCTTGGACTACTTCGCGCTCCTTGCCTTCTTTGCATCGCACACCCCAGATACCAGGGTCATCAACACTAGGCACGAGTAGCCGCTGGGGGATAATGGCCGAGTCGCCCATGCCCCTAGCAGTGCGGCGGTTTCCATATTTGCGTACGTAGCCTTCAGCCGCGCGCTCTAGATCTTCCTGTGTAATGGCATCTCGCTGTCGGTCGAGCTCACGGTGTCGTCGATCGTCATCTAGTCGACTCTGCTCGCCGAAATCGCCGGCTTCCTCGTGTTCAATAAATCCCTCATTCTCTTCAGCGGCTTCTTCGTCATCTTCGCCCTCATCTTCGTCATCGACCTCAGCTTCGATATCGATGAAGGCGTTTCGTCTATCGCGACGACGCTTGCGACGATGGCCCTTCAAGTAGAAATTGAGTTAGATATTGATTCCGATGGTGTGTAAAGATAATAAATGCATGACGAAGGTAATAGCAGGATATGGGATGAATGGAAAAATGCTTACCTGAATCTCCTCGTCCTCTTCATCGTCTTCTTCTTCTTCGTCCTCCTCTTCATCGTCATTTCTGCCAGCGTCATCCTCGGCGTCTTCATCTTCTTCATCCTCTTCATTATCACCTTCATTGCGAGGAGGCGAGGATTTCCGTAATTGTTGTTTTGGCTGGTCATCCTGTCCTTCCTCGTCGCTCAGGTCAGCGGGTGCAGGATGGAAGTCATCTTCGTCCTCGGACTCGAGATCGTGGTCGCGAGGGTCACTCATATTGGTTGGAAGTATTAAGGGGATATATTAACACGTGTAAATGTTTTGGAATGGAGGTAGAATTTGTAAAGGAAATGAAAGGAAAAGAGAAGAAGATGTGAAAGATGAATTAAAGTTGATGAAGGATTGAACGTTGAACGTTGGACGTTGAACGGTTGAACGCGACAGATGGTTTCTTTTACACGTTTAACTGCTGCAGCCGCAACCTGCAGAAACGTACTAAATCTCTGGGATAATTCTGGAGAATGGAAGCTTCAATTACGCCAATCCTGATGAGGCTTAGCCGTAGCTGTCGACTGGCCAATGATGAATTTTCTTTTTTTTTCTTTTTTTGGAGGGGGGAGATGTGGCTAGGCAACTAATGGTGATTGTGAGTTAACCTGGTATTTAACCATCATTTTTTTGTTGTTCGATCAAAGGCAATGTTGTAATGATATGAAATGATAAAATCGGAGGACATCGAAAAATAAAGTAACAATATGGCCTTTTCCTTTTTGAAGAGGACCGTATTTTTTTTCTAAGCGTAGAACAAGTTTGTAGTACGATTATGTATTATAAGGTTGGCGCTATGAGCTGGCTATACAAATTCAAATATTAAAATTGTTTTAAAAATCCTACTTAGCAAGTGATTCTAGTACTTTAGGTATACATCATGAAAGATAGTATCAGAATAATTCTTGAATTTCTTTCTACATAACAGTATTTTTTTTGGGGGGGGGGGGGGGGGGGGGGGATAAATAGCCAAAAAAAACGGGGTAAAAAGTAGGTTTAAGTAGTATTGGTGTAAATAAAGGAACTAATATAGCAGGATTAAGTTAATGATAAA